GGTATCTCTCATCTTCAGAGTTTACGTTTCTATCTTCGAGTGAACTTCTCTCTAAACCCTAGTGTTACACTAACACATCCACTCTGTACCTACCAAGTGCGCGGATCGTTGACGTGGCAGCTATGACTAGTGCACACTAAATTATCTACATCAATATTTAGAGTAACCTCTACTTTAGTTCTAACTAACTAAAGATGGTTACACGACCATGGTCGACCTTTGATCACGTTCGACCTAAACTGGGAGGCGAACCGCACAGAAATCACACTAGTCGCGCTGCATACCATGCTTTGAACCTGCCAACCGCGATTCACCTCGCTGAACGTGGTTACATTATACCACGGTTAATCCTCCTAACATGATTCTTCCCTCGACCGTAGTTGGTCTGCAGTTTGACCTGTCAACCGCGGTTCACATCATTGAACGTGGTTACACTCTACCACATAGAGCTTCAACCACGACGGTGACAGCGATTGTAACCACAACCACATGCACATCTACCACGTTCAGCCCAAACCACGTCTTACACGACTGTGGTACACCCTGATCACGTACAGTTCCAACCACGTCCGATCTAAACCATGCTGCGAACCGCGCAGAACCTGTGCTAACTGCGCTGCACACCGCGATGTGCCATAATCCGACCGCAACCATGGTTGCCCTACCAATCAAAGTTGATACTCCTCAGGTGGCTGCACTAATCACGGTTGATCCAAAAGACTTCATTTGTCTTGCCGACCGCAGTCCTCTATTCGATCGTGGGGAAAACAGTAGAGGGGATGGTTGAAGATCCGCCAAGCGGCGTGATCCTAGAACGTGCGCCGCTCGGAGAGGGGGGCAAGGAGCCCTACCGCGCGGCTGGGACATTGCTACTTGGTCGCTCCGGCCACCTTCCAACCCGCTGTTCACTGCGGGATTGGGGAATGGGATGCTCCCACTTCGCAGCCCCTGCCTGCTTGTTTCGCCTCTCTTGGCCGCCCTGCACTCCACTAGGCTGTAGGTCCGCGGCCTCCATTGCCGCATCGCGCGGCCTAGAGACACCTGTTGCTCGGGGACGTCCTCCTCACCCGCCCGTTTTCTGCCCTTTGTCTAGTCGTTCAGGACATGAAGTGTACCAGTCTGCCATTCTGGGCCTCGAACACTACCGCTTGATCGAGGCCCTGTTCTTCCTACCGCTGTGGTTTTTCACGGTCCGCCAACCCATGAATTTTCACAGCCGTAGGAATGTCACCGCTTCCACTAGCCATTCACGATTTTGAAAATATTCATACTCAAATTCAACTTCACTAGAGAGATTTCATCGTGGGTGTGGCATCTCGAGTACTTGCAGCTCATAGATTTCTAGGAAACGACTTCGAGGGCAATCTTCTTGATCCAACGCGTTAGAAGCATCCAGTGATTTCCTTGGATCTGTGCTTGTGACTGTGAGCACGATGGCTTCAAGAATTTGGACGACGAGGAGGTCAAAAGCCAACATCAAGTAGTGATTGTCTTTAGCAATTCTGGCCATCTGAGTATGTTGCAGCGTGAGCTTATGTGCAAGTTAGCGACGATCCATTCTATAGATGTACACTTAGTTAGAATGTCAACTCATGTCTTGAAGTTGTACACAACGGCAGTGAAACTCATATCTTCGCATCCTCACTTCTTCTTGCCAAAAATTTTGAGGTACTGTTTGAAAGAAAACTTGCGAATGCTCTATAGCAACAACTATTGATGTAATTGGATTCTAGCTGTCACATTCTTCCTAAAGTTTTGAGGATGTCCATCCTCGTTCACCGACACCTTCACTTCGCTCAGATGCTCGATTCCTCGAGTTGATACTCTACCACAACCTCCCCGCTCGCATCGCCATCCACTTGCACTTCACGTTCTTCATTCATCTACACAGTTGCCTCGGCAACTCGGAGCTCATGCTCCGCACGTTATGAGGATGTGTTGATTTCATGTCAAACTCTCACAATTGAATATCATTCATTTGACGCTCTTCTACCCATTTCCAAGATTTCAATCGGGTCATCAGTCTCATGGTCCGAGCGAGCTTTATCATACTAGACGAGACACAATGAGATGATGATCGAGCTCCCTATGGTTTCAATCCTCCACCTATTTCACAGCTGTTCTGATATCCGAAAGAACACAAGAGCTCGATGTCATCGTGCACGATGGACGGCAGGATTCCATTAGATCTAGGCATTTGCTTCAACCAAGGTTACTTACGTGATCCTGAGGTCCGTGGACGACGAGGAGATGAGACTCGCATGACCTCGGATGAACATGGAGCGGTGCAGAACACACTCTACTCTTGGGAGATTGCTGTTGCTCAGATTATGTACTCTCCGGGCTACTTCCCTGAAGAAACCTTGAACTTCGATTGTCACATTGTGCAAGTCATGAAATTTTCAACTTCATCTTCTGTCATAAAAACTGTGATCTCGCAATCTTTTGAAAGAACAAATATTGTTAGAGCAATCCGCAAGCTCTAATACTGCAAAATTGTTGACAAAGTTTGGAAAACTTAAGACTCCCTCTAAGACTATCACAACTCTGAGTCCGAATCGGAATCGGCTTTGATACCATTTGTAGACGTAAAACTTGAGAAGCATCAAAAGATCACGAGAGACACATGTAACGTGGTTCACCCTCGTGGGAGGAGGGCTACGTCCACCAGGAACACTGATACACCTTTTACTCAAGGTATGTCGAGAACGACTGAATGTACAAGGCAGAGGTCAGGGTATTTAACCCACAGTCCAAGCGACATCTGAGCTATAAATAGCTAAGTCTAGAGGTTACTCCTTAACCAGAGTTAATCTCAACAAAAGAGTATCAATAAAAAGTTATCATTTCGTGTCATTTGGAACATTTGCAAGCCGTGACGTTCGCCTGAGATGACAACAATCCACAACCACAATTGAAGTCACAATTAAAACCTCAACACTGGCTTCAAAGAGTTACACCAATACGAACATGACCAACAAGGTTTTGATAGCTCTGTGCAACCACAAGAAGAAGCATCCATTGTTCATGCAAGCAGACTTGATCAAGTGGCTTCAAGTAACGCATAACGTTTTGGTAAGTCAATGAACTATTTCTATTATTTGTATTCCACGGTCGGTCTTGAATTTTTTTTATATTGATAACTACTAAGTCAAAGTATTACTAGTGTATTAATTATTAACTTTTTAAGATTTATTAAGAAATGTATGGGGCTCTACTTGAGACTAAACCGCACATATTAATTATCACATGTTATTAATTTAGGCAGTCATAATTTAGATAGGTTCTACTGTATATGTTTGTATTTTTTATTATATATTAAAAAAAGTTATCATTTTAGTTAAATAATTGAAATTAAAAAATTTAAATCTTTATATAAATATTAAAATTTAGTACATAATTGAAAATTTTGAAAATAACCAGAACAATATAAAATTATGAAAATCTTTTATAAAAAATGATTTAAATTAAAATTGTAAGATCATTATTCACATATGTGGTGATATTATATTAATGTTCTGTGTTATTGATTAAGTAAAACATCCATACTTTACAAATCACTGGCATATTTATTCATGAAATTAGAAAAAATATTGCAATCATTTCTTTAAAGACTATTTTTCAAAGAAGCAAATTTGACCTAAATATCTATCTAAAGCTTAAATTTATTAAGATTAAACAGTAGAGAAAGCAAACTTGATAGTTCATAGATATTATAATCTTTTTTGCTATTTTATAGATTTTTCTAATTATGCAGAATTTGCATAGTATTATTATGTCTATAAATTCAAAAAAAACACCATTGTATGTATTTTTATAATTGAGTGAAGTGTGAATGTTGATTAGCTCAAGCGTCAGATTAAAAAAAAATATTTGATAAATAATATTGGCTGCTTAGTTTGATTATCACAATAACAATATATTATATTATAATTTAATCTAATAGTTTTCTTTGCTTATCATCTATTACATTCAATTTTTATAGTTAATCAAATCATGCACTTTTGCAAAATAGACTTTCAATTAATATAATCTAAAAAAATCTGACTTTGTGTCAATGATTTAAGGAAAAAAATCTACATTTTACATGATTCATATACTTTAAAACTAGATCCCTTTATGACACTTACATTTCCTTACACTTTTTGGATGTAACATCAAGTTGATCCTGCTTTTTTACAAATGAAAGTATTAAAAATTCAGAAATTGAATATTTTATTGCTTGAATTCATCAATATAGGCAAGAATTCAATGTAGATACATTACACAAGTCTAACTAGAGAAGAGATTGCTAAAGAATCTTCTTATGCACTACAAGATGCTTATTCACAAACAAGCTGCTGAAGACTACTACCATCACTTATGTTCACCGAGAGTGCAGTTGTAAAGCAAAGTAGATTGTACTAAGTTGTTATACTAAAGAGAAGATGGCTACTTTGACTGATCCTCAAATCCAACTTCGTTATTGGTAACACACATGAGATCAACACTTTACGCAACACAACAAAATTAAACAGGAAGCCACAATGTAGTTATATGAATAACATAAGTCAGAAATAGTGATACTACATCTTGAATACATTTATCAGATGTGCATAACTAACCCAGACTCACGTATGCTCATGAGGGCATTTTGATTACTCTAAGCAGATAGCATGAATCTAATTAGAGTAATTCTACCTATTTAGGTCGTGTTCTCGTCATATCCAGGTCATAAAACCTGATGAAGATAGTCGTGGTTGGTAGTGCTGTGATGTTGCGGCGACGACCATGGTTCTAACTCTCTCTTCGCAGTTGCAAGTTCCTCGACATTAATGCGTCAAACGTCCGTGCCCCGATACCGCAAGTGGATTCCATTTCCGCCCGGATACCTCAAGTGGATCCGTTCCCGTAAGTTTCGACTGGAGTGTGAGTAGATGGGCGATTAGGGTTTCAATTGACACCATACACTCTCTATATCAGTCAACTCGAGCAGTGTCAAAAGAATTATCTCTTGTTTCATGTACCGTCAAGCTTCTTCTGGAGTTCCGGAGATTTTCGACCTGTCTAATAGTCTTCTCGCACCGGAAGCACATGGAGCATTCGGCCGCGACTCGGCCTGGTTTTCAATCGTTTTGTACATGTCTCGTGAAGTGTTTACCGCTCGGTACGTGGTTTGTTGTCAACGGGCTCATGGATCGACTGAATCCAGCGATCGCAGGGCAATAGAATCTCCACTCTCGTTCTGCCTATCCTGTGAACCAGAAGCACAGACGATCTTCTCTGCAGTGAAACCAGCATATGTCAAGGGCTTTTTTTTTGGACAGACTGTTAGCCTGACAATGTGGTCGGCTCGCCAATTTTTGCCTGCGGATTCATTCTGCTCACTGTCAGTCCAGTACCATCGAGAGTCTATAGTGGGAGGAAATGCCTGAGATATTCCCCTCACAAGTTTGTTCTCGTAAAGCAATTCATGTAGGTCGAAGCAGGTTTGGTGTTTTTTTCACTTCACCTCGTGTCTGCATGATACAAATAGCCTTCACTTCTGGAAGTCACGGCCAAGTTAGGAACGTGTCACATATGATGTAGCATTAAGCCGCGGGTTGGACCCATATTTTACTCCTCAGAACGTGTTTGCATTGGTTATATGGTCTGGCCAGTGACGATGGAACTGGACTGGACATACAGGTATGTCCACTTCTCGTGGATCGTACTCTGTTCTCGGCACTCGACTTTTCCACCGTCGTATTTTGAAGGTAAACATGCAGAGCTCGAAAACCATGGGCGGTTTTTAATCGGCCAGTCAGGTTGTGTGAGGTGAATGTGACGCTGAAATCTGTTCACCATATAATCTTGCAATCTGAGGATAGACAACACAGCCTTGTGAAAGCCTTAGAGCGTTACTTGTGTACACGAGATTGCATAGCGTAGACATCTCTAGGCAGCCTGGAGATCCACGCAACAATCATCTCAATCTTGATCGAGAGAAGTAGAACGGATCCTGACAGACCTGGATTTTCTTCATTTAAATGACGATCAGTCAGTCATTCCTTCACCAAAAAGCCAAAGGCTTTTAGAAAATCACGAATATACCTTCCTCACATTAGTATTGACATTATTCTCTACCACTATGCACTGCAACTTACAGGAAGCGAAAGGGAACGAAAGTGTTCGTTACCATGATAGATTTCGCAGTAGGTCTAAAGTTTATTTCCGCCGGTGTCCTCAGCTGTGAGATAAATTTTCTGCATCAATACTCTTGTTCACTGTGCACAACCCATATGGTACCTGCCGCAAACATCAACTGTATATGACCGTACGAACAGCTCAAACAGGTTAAGTTACACGCCCTGACGTGTAAGAAACCGGGACCGATCGATGGAGTTTACAGGTGGTTGAGACAAGATCACCAGAGTCGTGGAGCGAAGAGGTGACATACTGAGAGTCCGATATGTTCAATGGTGAAAACCCCCATTGAGAACGTCCTCACGTTTTCCTGTTTACATTTCTCTGCGAGAACACCACCAATGTTGAAAAACCCCATTGAGAAAGTCCCCACGTTTCCTATATACATTCCTCTAGTTAAGAGAACACCACTACATCTCATGTTAATGATATAGAAGAGTGGTTGGAAACATGTGTGATGAAGTGGCAAAGCTTGGAAACTTTGTCATCAAAATTGTTTTGTATCCATATGTTACCATCTTACTAATATATATACAATTAGTTTACAAAAACACTTATATGTATTGGCTAGGTTTTGTACCTAAAATAACATGGAATTAAGTATGGAAAAGTCCAAAGTCATGATAATGAGCACTAGATCTAGATTTTATTTTTATTACAATAAACTCTAATTAAAAAAGTTGAATAGTTATTGATATCTAGTCATTGATTTTTCTAATTATTATAATTAGGCACTTGGAGTGAAAAAAAAAGTAGAATATGGTTACACAGCTCTATATTCATGGTTAAATCAGTGTTGAAGTGCTCATTTAGTGTCTTAGTAAATTTTTATATAAAAACTTACTGATACAGGTAGTATTAAATGGAACCCAAGTGTATGGTATTGGTTGTAAGAAGACAAGTTGGGAGCATGTGGAGAGGATGCAGAATATCTTTCTACAAGAACATGATGTAAGAAATCAAACTCCATATGCTATTTTTCTTGAAGAATCAGGTTATTTAACTCTAGAGGTTGCAGCTCTATACTTGACGATCATTTACATCAAAAGGGTGAAATTTCTTGATACATCTATTCTTCCTCTTCAAACTTTCTGTGCCACATGTTCCAAGATATGGTTAGTGGATGTGATAGCATGATCTTGGAGTTAGAATGTGGCGGAAACCAATGGTATTTGCAAACTATGGCATTCCACAAACCTATATAGAAAGAGTTTCTCAACCTTATTTGAAACAAACGTGTCACCAAGATGCAATTTTATCAACTTCATATGAATCCTATACTTGTTTATTGTGAACAGGAATACCTACTTGCAAGATCTCTACGTTATATTATCGCTAGATATAGAATTGGATCTCATAGTCTTGGAATTGAGGAATGAAGTTGGCATACTATTGATAGTACACAATTTATCTATAAGTTATGTGACGGTGAGTATATTGAGGATGAATAACATGTTTTCGTTACTTGTACTAGGTACAACAAAATTAAGCTTGCTCATAATATAGATGTGGAAAATTTCTATTCTTTATTACAATTAGTTACTCTTGATTTAGGTTGTTATATTAGTAACATCATTAATTACCTTTCTATTGCTCTTGGCACTAGCTAGGGATTGATATTTGGGTTCTTCTAATTTGTTTGTGGTTTTCAACCGTTTGACCTTTGGGTCCCCGGGCTTGGTATATTTATCTATTTTTCGGTGTATTGGATAATGCAGATATGAAGATCTTGAATTTCAAATATTTGTTACTCATTTATAAATACAATTTTACATACGAAACAAAGGCCAACGTAGCACTTCAAATCTGTACCCATACCATAACCATCAACAGCGTCTTGTGCCCACCCATGCCATTCAAATTACACCAATTGTGTTGTGTATTACCCGGTTACATCAATTCTTGGTTGGATATTACAAATGATGCCAATAGCATTACTTGTGCCCACCCACGGTAAAAAGATCTGACCCAACATCCATGGGCATGGGCATCCACTGTTAGGCTCTGATACGAACAAAATAATTGCTATCTAACTTGTACTACTCTTGGAAAGTCTGATTTTTTTTAAAATTACCGGAAGTATGGACACCTTTCTGCACCAGAGTCTTTACACAACCCAATCTCTCGCTCTAAATGCTCCTCACTTTCAGGTTAAGATCCTTTACCATCCAAACTTTGTCTGTACAAAGTTTTATTGATGGACACCGTAGCAAAATAGATAGCAAAATTTATTGAGCCACTCTATTGAGTCGATTGCAGTATAGTAATTGCAATTCTAAATGTGTCTATAAACTTCACGTCATGCCAAACTGCTTATGACTATGTACCATCGGAAAATATGTGCAAAGTGTAATTCTGTTGTTATTGAAAAGCCAATGAGTCACATGAACATATAAAGCACTTAAAGTAATACTGCAATACAAACCGGCTTAGGTGAGAACTCATTGCTCTAAAAATACAACTAAAGCAAGTTACAAAGTCTCTGTCCATGATGAAATCAATGTCCCTAATTTTGCGAAGTGTCTAAGCGGGAGCGTTAACTAGACCTAGTAGTGGGAGTAATGATCAGTTCCACTAAAGTGATAGTTTAGTAGCTCGTTGAAACTAAATGTAACTAGAAACAAATTTTTAACGTCTATACAATCTATGGATGTTAAAGAAATAAAAAACTCGAGGATTAAAGCATCTCTATTTTGTTGTAAGAATACAACAGAAGAGATGATGGGAGTATGATATTAACCCAAAATTGTTATTATGCAATCTACAAAATCTATAATAAACTTCTCATTCCATATGACATTGGCAATGTATCTAATAAGCCTTAAATTTCTTTTTACAAGATTTGATACTTTAATACTTTAGAGTTCAGCTCAGTAGACGAAGTCAAAGCACAAACTCTTTTCTCAATCTTCTAATGTAATAGCTTTCTCAGTCTCTTGTGTTGAATTGTAGCACCAAGAGTTTGAAGAGGACTCCCACTACAATGTATGAACAACGTCCCATTGCATAGAAGGCCATGATTCACAGTACAATTCTTCTGTCCTTCATGAAAGCAAAAGTTGCTCCTGAGCATGTAGGCCATCTCCGAGTCTCTAATTACAGCATTGACGTAATTATTATAGTCAATATGATCAGAGTCAGCGTCGACGCTCAATGAGATGCAGGTGCTTCACGACGAAGAAGACAACACAGCAGTTTCCACCGATTGAACTCAGATATAATAAGATGGAGTTGAGACACAGCGGACTTTCCACCGATTGAACTCAGATATAATAAGATGGAGTTGAGACACAGCGGACTGTATTGTGCCAATCAACGGAGTTCGCAAAAACTGCAGAACGGCCTTACCATTAACATGCACTGGGTTTCTGATGCAGAGAGTTCAACAGAGTTACTCATTTACTTACAAACGAACATATGTACATTTTTTCCCTAAGACTTTTTCTGACATCTGATTTACATGAGGTCCGTGGTTCTGATCCTTTCTCCTGTATTCCGACGGGGCAATTTCCAACAATTCTTACAAATCCCATCCTTTGCCCTTACTCGGACAAAAAATGTCCGACACGTTACAGAGTGCACACGCAGCATGCTTACGAAATACCCATGCTCAGTGCGGTACATAGTGAGTAGAAAGAGCGGATATGTAAGCACAACAACATAGAAAGACAAATTTTTCATTCCGCGAACTATGCAGTGAAAGGACATGTCGACACATCTCAACGGACAATTCACTCGCAACAAAGAAAAGTAAGCAGAAGATGATTGTCTGTTGGGTTAGTGAGTGATACCATGTAATATTCGTACCGAAGTTCAAATCCTGTAGCTCTGCTTGACCCTGCCGTTGCTTGCCTCTCTACGTGTCAGACTGGAATGGATGATTCCAAGAAGGACGATGAAGCCTGGATATATCGTTGAAAGCATAAAAGCATACAGTAAAAAGCCATCCATGAGAGCTCCAGTCAGGACGAAGTTAGTGCAAGAAGACTGACTCATCCACTTGATAGTTCACATTAGTTTGTTGATCCATTAGTATCAAACGTGTGAGATTCTACCTCATCACTTTCGTCTCCACAATGGTTTATGTTTTACATAAGGTGCTCTGACCCGTTTTATTGACGCAAACTGTGTAAAAGAGGGTCTCTTTGTTTGTCATTTCAACTCGATCTTCCACATTGATGCAGACTACACTGGCAACCCAATTCCTTCCTGGGTTCGACCAAGCATCTTTTGGATTCCCGTGTCTGATGAGGTTCCCCCACTCAGCAAGAAACAATTCATGACACATTCAAAACAAGATTTGGACATGTTTTCCTGATCAGAAGAATCATGTATCTTCGAGTCAATATAGAGACTAACAATCTGTAATGCATCCTTCATCCTGTTCTAATCGACCACAATCTGTTCGGCCTCTTAACTTCTGCCTTGAACGATAGTACCAGATCCAAAACTGGTTACTCTCCCGACAGTCGACGTAGGTGTTAGGTCTTAATCTCATGCAACCACATCCTCCTCTATTCGCTACGAAGCTCCCGTCAAGCTTCCTGCTTGGCTTCAATGCTTGATAATTTATTCTTTTCACCTAGTGGACCCGATGTGCTCTGTTGCTGATCCTCGCATGTCGTCTTCAATCGATCTTGTTTGCTTATAAGCGTGATTGCATCAAAAGTCTGAAGGCAATCCACTGGCACTGTATAGATGTCCTCAGTGAGGGGAAAAGCTACAGCAAGGCTAAGCCAGAAGGGCCTCCAGTTTCGCTGGTCAAAAGGCTGCGCTTCCATAGAGTTGCCACAAGAAATATCTTGGAGCAATTGGCATTGTGAACTCCAGCAAGAGAATTACACGATTACCTCCGAGAGATGAGGCACCGTCAGCTTTGTGAGTACTGTGGGAAATATTTACCACAGGATGACAGGATGACCGAAATATAAATGACCTATCTCAACCAAGGCTCAAGTAGCTCCTCCATTTCTGCTGAGTTACGGACTGGCTGTGGTCCTCCCGCATTTATACCGGGTCTACCCCGCCCACGCATCCAAGGCCAGCACATGTCCAGGACTCCTCGCGCCCAAAAATCACCTCCCGGCTCCAGTTCTTCGAGTGCCCTAGTCATGTCTTCGACTCTATGGCGCAGGTCTGAAGCTCGTTCATCCGCAATCTGGAGTGATCTTTCAGCAGCGTTTCGAGCAGCAATGGCGGCCATGGCCATTTGTTCTTTAGAGCTGACCTTACTGTTGGCCTCTTCTACCATCTCTTTCAGCTCCGAAATACGCTCATTCAACGTAATAATCTGTCCAACAACCACCCAGCACGTCCCAAATACAACGTTTAAACCCTGATATGGGGTGCACCCATAAAAGTAAGCATGACAAAATGACATAGCAGCGAAACAGTTTGCTTGCCTATGTTTTCTAAGTACTAAAACCGACGAAGGCTGAAGACCTCAGCATTTCGACAAAAACAACTTACATGTGTTAGAGATAACGACAGCACAAGGCTGCTGCAATCCTACATATGTCCGACTAAGCTACAGTTGATCCTAAAACCAGTTTAAGGCTGGTAACTTCAAGAACTTCTGAGTGAAGTTTTAAGAATGAACGGAAGCAAAGATTTATCAGTATGATAGAACAGCTTAAACTCACAAGGCTGGGCACAAGTTTACTCTGCTTGTGAAATTTATCCCAACGAAAAAGTTGATGTATTTACTTGCATTATGGACGATCTTCTTACAACTTAGAAGATGCTTTTGTTTACATTCTCGTCTCCTTTCTTCTTACCGAGTAAACATACAAACCGAAGAGGATCACGCAACTGTCATCGCCGTGGAAATAGGTGTAAGAATTACTCAGTACAAGTCCGTTATGCTTCTAATATGTTCCGTGCTCCAATGGAGGTGACTTGTAAGTCCAGGCTTCTTGATATTCCTACATTTCCTCCAATTACTTTGTGCTAAGCTGTAAATTTCCAGCTTACTAAAATCATTCTAGGATCGAGAGCTACTTCCACCCATTAAGGTATCAAACATGCATGCCTAAAATCTGATGCAGAAAAACCTTCCAAATTCTTACCTCCTTATTACGTTTCTCTAGCTCCTCTAGAACTGCTGCTCCTGCAGCAGCTTCTGCAGTGGCTGCCTCCTTCCATCTGGCTACATCCTCTTCAGCTGCTATAAGTTCACTGGTGTAAGATTCATACTGTAGACATCAACAAGTCCAAAGATCAGGCCAGTCAGCATATCTGGACGTCGTACGCACATCAGGAAATTTCATTGAAAATGCTTCCTCGTACATTCTCTTCGATGTTCCCGGTCAGATCGAAGAATGTATGGAAAATCGCATGAACAAGAATGCGACAAGCGGCTTACATGCTCCTTAGCAACTTTCTCCAAATCTTCAATATAAGCAGTCTTCTCTGCAATTTCCTTCCCTTGATTCGCTACAACCAGCTGTAATTTTTCAATTTCACCTCTGCAGAGGAATCCCAAAGTCGACATAATAAGAACATACGATCATTCTAGGCCAGCCAGTGCAGACCCTAAAACCTTGATAGCTAATCATCCATACATGACAAGCTATTCTGACCTTCTCACAGAGAAGGTCAGATCTTAGTGCATTCCTAGAGTGTGAACTTTGTACAAAATCTCTATATTAGATAAGAATTTACCATAGTAAGATCTTGTATGGATGACATGGTCCTACTGGTGAGACAAACGGTTATCTTTAACTCTCTACTACACGAGATTTCCAGCATTAAACAGGAGGTCAAATTACAGTTGGTCTAACCTTGCAGAGTTGGCCGTCCTCTGGATCTCTTGTTGTAAGAATCTTAATTCTTCTTCCAAGGCAGAATTCTAGAACCATTCAAACGTAAAACCAGTCAATAGCTGGAACACACTCCTCCGAATCGGTCAAACGCTCTCTTCAAGGACCGCACATACAAGGTTCCGTGGACTACTTGAAGTTGCAGAAGTTAATAATCTGGAAGGAGCTGTGACAGTGAAGCTGCCTACAAACCGAAGTTGAAGGATTTGATTTGCTACATCTACTTTCACTCAAAAAGTAAAACTACTTGATAGGACCTAGTAACTGGGAAAAAACGCGATTATCAAGCTTAGGAACATGACAAGTAGCTTTGAGGATACTGAAAGTAAGCAAAATTAGCTAACTTTCGGACAGCATTAGGAGCTCCAAACGCCTGATAGCCATCTCTTGGATGTACAGGGCAGAAACGGTAGGATATTTTATTCAGAAAAACCAAATGTTACCTTCAAGACAGCCTGATCATATCTCTTCTCAAAAGCTGCAAGTTCCTCTTGGAGGACTTCCATGGAAGGTTGCTGACGTACTTCCCCATTCATTTTGTGTGTATCTGTACAATCATCACTCGTGAGATCGGAATTGTCTTGATTTGATGAGACACTTTCATTAGCTGCTTCCGACTCTCTTGATGATACACCCTCATTTCCTTCTCCAGATTCATGTCCATCTAGGCGTACTGAAACCTCAGACAATCTTTCCAATCCTATATCTCCTCTTCTGCTTTCCATAACAGACTGAGACTCTCCTAGTGCCGAGTCTCCGTTTTCGAGGTAGATCATCTTTGAAACAAGATCGTCTTTCTCTTCAAGTAGCATCTTCATATGAGCTTCCCAGTCTTCTTTCTGCTTGACGAAGGCCTCTTGATTTTGCTTCCAGTAACTCTCCACTTTACCAGCAAGCTCTGTAAGTACCCGAACACTCGCTAGAGGATCCTCTTGTAGTCCTTCTTCCCCAATTACAGTGACCTCCACATCACTTTCAGAAACGTAAGGCATTAACTGCAGAACATCCAGAAGGCTGTCTCTGGCTTTAGCTGCATACTGTACATGTTGAGATATACATTTATTCACAAGTGATAACTGGTTTTCAACCTCGTTGACCCTCCTCTTCAAATCTTCAGCTTCTTGATTCGTCCTCCCCAATTGTTCCTGTAACGCGTGCTCTGCCTCCGAGGCCTGCTTCTGATTCCTCTCTAGTTCTAAGGACTTCTCACTCACCTGCACCTTCAACTGAGTAATTGAAGCCTCTAGTTCAGAAACCTCGATTGCGATGCTGTAATTCCGTTGCTCCATTTGCAAACGGATTTCATCTCTCCTCTTGACAGCTTCTTCACGCTGCCTGACAACTTCCTCCACGACCTCTTCCATTCTCATTCCAAACCCAAGAGCAATGGCGACGAGGCCAGTAGCCTTCGGGAACCTTGAAGGACCTCCAGAGAAGGGTTTTACCAAATTGGCGATAGACATGATCTTATCCGCTTGCGTCACGAGAATCCGGGCAACTTCTGCAATTTCAGACTTGGAGGCGTCGCGTGCTCGAAGAATTTCATCCTTCTGTCGAGAAAGTTCGTCCCTCTGGGCCACGATCTCATCCCTATGCCTGGTGATCTCATCCTTCGACTGCAATGCTTCCTCCAGTTGCCTGGTGCGCTCATCTTTGGATTTGATAGCTTCATCCCTTTGCCTGATGGTTTCATGAACGAAGGTTTTCAAGCGTTTTATCTGAGAATCCGCTTCGGCGTTGGCAGCTTCGGCTGCTCTGCGAGCTTGCCTCTCCTTCTCGAGCTCGGCCAGGGTGGATTTGAGGTTGTCGGCAGCAGAATGGGTGACATTTGCGGATGCAGGTACCAAAACCACAGGCGCTGCGTCCAAGTCATCTTCCTCAAAATCACTGAGTGCCTCCTCGTCATCCAATCCACTACCCATGTCTGCGTCCTCACTAGCCATCCAACCACTAACTATTTAGGGCAGCGGAATTTGAGCACATAGTCTTCGCGGAACACGCTGCAGGCGAAGATTTCCAAACATCTTCTCAGATAGCATAACAATCAGCAGATGATGATCTACTCTTTCATGCGATCGCAATCCCGTCACTCAGGAGGTTGCGCTGTACTGAAGTCACGCAAGTCCGGGATCCTCATCCGAAAGCCGTGGCAACCGATCGGACCATGCTAATCAACCCTGGACGAACACCAAGCTTTGGAAGCGCAAACGCCCATAAATTGTAGCGAAACCTCCAGAAAGAGTGCCAGAATCAGCCTCAGTTCTCCATCTCCTCCTCCTCCTCCTCCTCCTCCGCGTCCTCACGAGCCCTAAAACCTTCAGATTCTGTACAATACAGCGCAAGGGTCGGTCAGTCCCAAACCATCATAAACCTCTCCTCGGGCGAGCAAGCGAGCGAGGATGCCAATTCTCAGCCAGAACCTCACTATCATGACTTCCTTTCTCCCTCCTCGCCCGCCCGCCCGCCCGCCCGCATGCAAATCTCTCTAATCTCTCGCACACCGCCGAGAAACCTCAACCCACCTCTCCATCAGTGCCATGAGTCAAGCGGCAGCACACATGCCTGCGCGGGATCCAGTGGGCCTCGCGACGGCCCTCGACCTCGACCGACCAATTAATTCTCCGCAGCTCGAGCGGCCCCGCAGCAGCAGGATCGCCTCGAGAGCTCCAATGCAACCTCCGGGCGCTCGGGGAATCTGACCTGATCGATCCGCGCAAACGATCAGGTCATGCACCTCGCGAATCTTCGCCCTCGGCCTTCTGCCAAACAATTGCCGACGCGCCCGTCGAACAAGCGAGCGCGCGAGAGCGAGCGACGACGAGGACGGACAAACGACGGAGACAGAGCTCGGCCTGCTCTCCTCTCGGCGGCCTCGCTCCAGGTGTCGTGCTCCCATTCGTCGCCCCTTCCGCTCCCTCGCTTGGACTCACAGTCTCCCAGCCCGCCCGCCCTTCCTTTGCGCTGGATCTCGACATGACACACCTTCACGAAGCGGCCGACCTCCGGTCCCAGCCCGATACCTGTGTGCACGAGCGATATCTCGCCCGCTTGTCCGGTGAACCGGCCAAACCGGTCTAGCCGGCCAGCTTGTGCCCAGACTTTCGACCGGCCAGGGAGATCCCGGTAGGAGAAATGTGACAGTGAAGGGAAGCGCCGAGATCTACAGACCAAAAGCCAAAGCCAAAGCCAAAGCCAAATGAAGAGCAGAGGAAAGGTTTTATGGTCATAATTGCAAATAGATACATACACAAGCTCACGTTGGTTTGGATGGAATTGCCTACTCCGTACACTGCGCTCTTCACCGTACATCCGTTGACTACGTAGGCAGAAGAGGACGCGGTTCCTTCCGACTCACGGTCTCATTGATTGCGCGATACAGCACAGTCAACTATGACGTTGGGGTTAACGCTTGTTGTCAACCCTTTGCCTCATCCCCACGGCACCCGGAATTCCATCGAGAATCGGGGCAGGGGTACGAAGCTGACACGCAGGTCCGTTTTAATGCTTTCCTGACAGATCTCTAAGCTCATGCAAGGCCACTGCTGCAGGACGGGAATGTGGCAACGAGGGAAATCACCACTCAGAGTAGCTCGGTAGCATGGACTTGTTTCAAGCCCGTCGCTACGTCCCCTTTGTTTCGAAGGCGGGACGAATGTGGCATCCATGAAGGGAAACCATTTCTCGTCTGTTCATGTGACGCGTTTACACCTTTGAATGCACTCACTCTTCTGTACATCCAAGGGTGCATCATTTTGTCATCAGGCTCTGGAGCATCCGAGAATATCATGAGTGCGCTGGACCGATCTGCTTGCTCGAAAACAGCTGCCCCTGAACGGATTTCCGTTCGCCTTCATCGTGACTTTCATCGATGAAGTCGCACGGGAGGAAATCGAAGGGGGTAGGACGGGGCTAGAATCCGAACTTTCGTCATTGAACATGACGTTTCATTCAACGGTAGAATTCTGCTCGTAAGAGTTAGAATTTCGGAAGATCTATGCTGGGGTCATTCTTGTGTGAATGAATGAAGCCTTCTGGACAAGCTTGCTCATCATTCTCGTGAAAAGCAACAAGCACTCTGCATACTTTCGTTTGGGTGCTCGGTTTGAACGTTTACAGCATAATCCCCACGATCAGTCGAACAAATTCGCTCAGCCGAGCATTGAATAAATTGTGGCTCCCGTATGATATCAAGAATGCCATTTTAATGCTTGGATCATCTTTGCCAGGATATGGGAAGACCGTGCCGAGTGCATGTGTTTCGGAATTCAGTCTTCATGGGAGATTCACCGACGACAGATGAGGTAATCACTGGCATCGCTGGAGTAGAAACAGCGGCAGTTAAAAAATTATAACCTTCTAAATAAGAAAATTTTATTACTAAATTTTTGAAGTAGTTTAACGAATCACACGTAGAGCTATAGATAAAACACTTAAAGCTAAAGAAATTTCATAAGTTATAGTTATAGCTCATATTGTTGCATGTGGTCTTCTCCACAGCACAAGCCATGTCAGGCCTGAACACATCGTCCAAATAAAACCATCATGAATCGGCTTAATGACTGCTGGAAGAATTATAATTTCACAATTTCAGGCTTCCGGCAGATGACGACGAACCATTGGACTACCTCTCAACCGACAAAAGTTGCTCCTGAGAGTCGTTTTAGTTACACATGTCGACCATGCAATCTTCACTCGATCATATATTTCCATTAGAACAAGACAGCAGTAAAGCCAAGTTCATGAAAAGCGTGAGGCATCGGAAATGTTTCCTTGCTTCAGTGAATGGGGCATCATTACTGGTTCTGACTCTAGCTCCGTGACAAAACATCAGAATTTTCAATTCGCAGAGGCAAGAGGACGAGTCAGTCCGAAGATCTGAAGGTACTGAAGGAAGAGTCCACGACAAGTGGACTGTCTGGATGCGGAGTCGTAAGCGCTCCAGTATCTTCAGCCGAACTTGTCGCTCGTGCCGACTTGCTTCTATGAGCATGCAATGAAATACCTTCCAAACACAGCTGACTTTGATCTCGAGTGATGATCGCCATCCATCTCAAGCTATCTTGAAGTATCCAAGCCATGTTCAACACTGCAACGTACATGAGCACAAGACCCAAAGCGCGACGCAGATTAAGCAAGTAATCAGTGAACTGCATGCGTGCAATCACGCTGAAATGTACGACCTTGAGAAATCCGAGCTTCAACCATCTCGATGTGCACGAGACTCTGTGCAGGATGCTCAGAGTCTCGTCCTTGCATCTCATCTATTGAACTGGAACTTGCTGCAACCACTCTCCGTTAACTATAATTTTCCATTTGTTAGAAACGGCAATCGAGACCTGATTGAAATTAACTTCCTGCTGGTGGGGGAACATTACAATAGCCTGTGCGTGAATTGTAGATCTATTGGTGCATTCTTTGATACCACGGGTGAAGAATGCAAACTGCTTATATCACTCCCTGGTTTGATCACGTTGCTCATGTGTGGTGACAGTTACAGAGTTTCGTTTGGATCTGCACAAAGTTTGCTAAGAGTCCAAGATTTCTTGACGCACCTGTCGATATATCATCTGACCATGAAGGCATCTTGGCGACAAATTCTGCATTTGGCGACAAATTCTGCAAATACTGGCCATTGAAGCAAAACGGTTTTTTCAAATCATGAAATTTCACTACTTGTACCCAGTACGTCTCTCATTCTCTTCACTGTTATCTCAGGCTACGCTGAATATACCTTCCAGCCGTTGAAAATCGTTGCCATCGCTTCGATTAAGGACCTCTCTTCTTCTCTTTTGTTTATTATATCATACGCTCTCGTTTCTCTTTAACATACGTTCAAGTTTGTACTTGATCAAATATTTTTCATGGTGGCGTCCGATCACAACACTGTTCCCCTGTGCGGCCCAGTTTACTAACAGTAACTGGTGCCCATTGTCCACCCCTTCCCTTTCTCGAGACTGTACAATGCACAAACACTGGAACCACCGATGTGCATCGACAGAACTTTCGGGCAATGTCAATGTACATCATCTGATTTTGATATAATGACGATGGACATTACGCGAACCAGATTAAATAAATAGACCGTCTTACACTGATGCAACATTTCGTGAAAGTCTTTTGTAATAGAAATGGTTCATTTGGACGAGAGCTGAATTGAGTGGAGAGACCAGTTTTACAAGCTTTCAAGCCAATGGTGCTAATCGAGTTCTCACAATTCCCCGTCCATACATAACAGAATGGAGTCACGTTCAACATAAGCTGGGGTCGCATGAACTTCACTGTAGATTAGTAAGGCTACATCGTTCCTTATAATGACTCGTCACCTCAAAGTGTCGAATCAACATAGTACACCCCATCACCAGTACCAACCTTACACGTGAAAACTACCATGTTACAATAAACTACAATCACCTCATCTAGAACTGGCCGAGATATCTGGAGGCAACAGGAGTAAGAAAAATCGTAACCTCTGTTTGGAGGTTGGTTCCTCACGATTGGAGCTCCATCTCCAATCGTGAGGAAAACTACAGGTCAGATCGAGGAAAAAGCCATTCACTTTCCACTCTATGCCATCAGAGAGAAACAGATTCATACACGTATCCGTTGATCACCTTCGACGTAATTTCTTTCTCAGCTGTTGATGTTCGAGTCCAGTCGTCCTGGGCTCGGGTTTTGCATCCTCCGTTGGGCCTATGTCTACTAGTGTACATTGAGTGGAGCAGCGTATGGGTCGCAGTCGCAGTGTCCTACACATCAATCTCTGTCCCTTACTTCTGCTTCCACGTCAACAATGATTCCACCAGGTTCTGCACATGTCGAGCGTATTAGCCGAATTAGTATGCATCATATTTGTGGGAAGATATACATGGTTAGGCATAGTGATGCACACAATTACCAGGTTGGCTGAAAAAATAAGATACCATTCAGTGGATACGTCATTCCTCTTTATCATTTCCAACATGCTCGAACACATAACAGCAAGAAAATCGTAACCTCTGTAAAAGAAGGGAGTTGCAAATCAAGCATCTTACCTTGGCTTTCGTCTTTACGTGTAGATGAGGTGGTATCACGGCCAAAACCTGCACCGAACGGGGACTTGAAACCTCCACCGAATCCTCCAGGATTCGTCCTTTGACTCGAAAAACGGGGTTCATCCCTTATGAACTTTCCATCTTCCACTACAAAAGAGATTGTTCTGTCAATACGAGCTCCGTAGTTTGTAGGTTTACGGTCATATTCTCACCTTCTGAGTGGTGTAAAGTGAACTTACATTTGAATGGCTGGCTGCAATAAGGACAGTACTGAGCTTCTTCTTTGACTGCGAACCTGAACGTCACGGCAAACAAATCACCTATTTAGCTACAAGTCATCGAAAGAGATTAAAAATGGAAGTGATCTTTTTCCGGTGTACGCTTCACAATTCGCAGAGAGATTGTAGAAAATAGTTAGCCGAGACACTGTAAGGATGTAAAGGTGTAAACATCTGTTTACATCTCTAATCTACGACTCATGACTTTTGTCCGTTAAGTTGAATTGGCACAGAAAAAGAGCAGGCCGAATACTTACTCAAACACTTGAAATGACTGCCCGCAATTAGGGCACTGCATGAACATCCAAGCAGGGCCAAGCGTTAGTTTTCAGAACTATGAGATGATACTCTACTACAGTAGCTCAAATTTTCATTCATGTCCACGCTGTCTGCAGTAATGTACGCCGATATTTTACAGGCAAGCAATCTTCATGGCCTATAGCTTAAAAGAAGTACAGATGTCTACAGCTTGGAACTACCATGGTTTGTGCCGGAACTTACAGCACCTGTGATAACCTCGCGCTCTGCAAACCACAGGAAAGCTATCACGCCAACTATGGGTAGCAACACCGCCAAGAGCTGATGCAATGACACAATGCATCCCGTTAGAAAAAATTCCGAAGAAGATGCTGCAACACTAGCGACATCAAATCGCATGAAAATCCCGTGGTCCCTCCCTACCAGATTTCTTTAAGTAGTCAGAAACCAAGATCTTCGGCAGAACTGATTCAACTTTTGGAACGAAGGAAGACCAGATTAACCAAAGGTACGCGATAAAAAAGATATTGTTGAAGAAGATAGTCTATCTAATCTATGATGATCGTATGATCCAACTCGAGCGCTTTGCGGGTTGAGAAAAAACCGGACAACACCATAAACGAAGTAAGACCGACTGCAGTTTCAGTACGTAGGGTGCATCTAATGTTGAACGTAAACGCAAAAGCAATATAAAATAACAATCTGGAAGAGAAAGTGACAAACGGTATCTCAAGGTTCAAACGAAGTGAAGTCAGCAAGACGAGAACTTCATGAGGAGTTCAGTTTCAGGTCCTCTGTTCTCCTCCTATAGCTGGGATTGTGAAAGAGAACAAGCAAAACATCTTCTCCCCCGAAGTAAAACTAAGAAAGTCGTCGAGAAAGCAAGGTACGCACCCATAGAGAAATAATGGTGTCAAAAACCCAGCCGAGTTTACCCGTCACCGTCAGGTAAGTCAGACCACCTGCGAGAGCAAGATTGACGATAGTTCGTCCAATTCCGTTGCCATCACCTCCTCCTCCTGGATCCAATTTCATCCCTGCCTGGATCACCATTCCAGAGTTCCTCCAAGCCTTCTTCGCTTTCCACCCGCACAAATTCAGCCGCTTATCCAGCAAAGCGAAAGAATTTTGCTGCTGCCATGCACCTAAAGAACCAAGAGGCGACAGGCTGGGAAGTCCCAATGCCGAGCACCCACATCTAGACGACGAAGACGACGAGGCCGACGAATCGCCAAACGAAGAATCAAAATTGGTCCTTGCCAACTGCACCCGCTGAGGTCTAGGGAACCTGTGACACCCTGCAGATTGGCGGGGATCATGATGTCCCAGAGACAACAACGGAACTTTGAAAAGCGCCGAGGCCGTCGCCATAGCTTTCACTCACAAACTGACCCCTGGCCTGCGGGGCACAAATCTGCTCAAGATGAGGCAGACCGATAGAAAAGATTGCTCAATGCGGGACGGGGGTCTGGGCAACAATCCCGTTGAAGCACGGATGACGGCTCGAATGAATTGGCACTACACCGGACTCCCGCCTGCCAATTGGCCAGACAGCAAATTGCCCGGAAGCAAACACAGTGAGCCGCCAGTCTCTCTGCTAGAGTTTGTTCCGAGTGTGCAAAGATAAGATGCTGACGGCAGACCGAGTAGTGAAGGAGAGAGGAACAAGAGGAATGCAACGAATGGCATCTCACCAAAACGACAAAAGGAGCAAGTGCAACTGCAGTTTTCACTTGCTGGGCACTTGCTGATAATAACCCCCTCTTCCTTGTCCACCCACCATCCACTTCACGGTGACGAGGTTATTTACGTCATTTACCCTCCTTGATTTGTTTCGACTGCGAAGCTAGCAAGGCCTCTGTCATGATGTACTGGGGAACATACCTGACGAATAAATCGGTGTCAGAAGGCCTTGATGCTATGAATTGCTGTTCCATCCTATTGCATGGATGAAAGCTGACTTGACTTACCGAGTGACTGGTCCTCCGGGAGGAAGCGGCGTAGAGCTGGAAGGGTTGTCATGTGCAGAGTCCGGATGTCAGCAGCATCTTCCTTTAATTACTGGGCTTCGATCCATTCGTCGCCTCCACGAAGAGATAAAGTGGGCGAGTCACGGTTTGACAATGCATGTGCACGCTTTGGATGAACACTGATGACTGAAGTCGAGCGAGGGGGCAGACTCGGAGGTCCCGAGCATGGCAGGCTAGGGGGAATGACACTCCTGTACATTTGGTAGGGTCATTTTCGAGATATATCCATAACTGCCCTGGGGCCTACTTGTTGGAGCCCTTTTGCTGCTGCTACTCACACTACTGAAGAGGCGCCTTTGATTCGAAGGCCATCATGAGGGCCCAGCTCTACATAGTCACGGGTCTTTCAAAAGTGGAAGCCGCTGCTATGAACTCACCACTCAAGTACTCCATTTACCGGCATTCCGCACAGCATCCTTACTGCTTGATGAAGCTCAGAGTATCCGGTTAGAAATTAGTGTCACCAATAAAATTTCACATTGTTCACGTCTGCAGGCTGTTCGTTTTGGCAGACGTAACGTTGGCTTCGGGTTGATTTGAAATTAACTCGTTTGCGGCTTCTCCTCATTCGTGCAGGTTTCGTGACAGTTAAATGCGTTCAGTATCAGGGGTGTTTGTCGTTGGATTACAAGGTTGTCCGCTGTAAGACGAAATCAGACCTTTAGCGCCAACCTCGACAATTAGTAGGGCAATTCCACTCCACACCTGGAATATTTCTGACCTACTTGTTAATTGTTGTGCTGTTTTCCCCTTATAAGCCTGAAATAATACCTTGCACCTGAAGCGGGATAACCAGCGCTGCCCGAAATTCTCGTCTATCTTCAAAGAGCAGAGAGAAGTGACTGAATGGCCCTAAACAGATGACTGACTTGATGACTAGTCAATTCTACCAAACAAAGAAAAATGAATCCGAAGCTACATAAATACCAAAATTCATCACGGTCATGACACGTTACTTTAGAAAACACATACATCCATGCCGAATGGGCCATCGAGACGTTTTGGTTCCACTAAAACAGGTCCCAGTCCACAAATCTCACAAAAGTCAAATCAAGGCGAGCTGTAAAAAAAAATTCGGCCGAACTGTCTCCAAAACTTCCAAAATATAAGATTTACACATTACAGTAACACTTTGTGACCACTAACACCATTATCTCCCCTCCCACTCGTTCAACCGTCAGTTCCAGCCAATACTTTGCAGAGACATACCTCGATTGATAACTGTTCAAGAAAATGAGCTCGAAGTCGATACAATCAAAACTGTTTCCCCTCGGTTTTTTACCAAAGAGTATAGGAAACGGTGACAAAGCTGGTCAGAATGTGCTCAAATCTTCCAGCTGCGACCAGGCGAACCATATGCCTAGTGTTCTGTAGAACTACAATTTTAAAAACACATCTCATCTTGTATGCTCGTACATACATCAACGGAGGCAACCTTTACAGAAAGCGGCTCCTAAGCCCAAAAAATAAACACTTCCAAGGCCTTGTATGATCCTACCTATCAAATCTCTATCCTAACGGGAGTTGTGAACTAATCATCATCGGAATCAGCCTCTTTTTGCTCAAGTTTAGATACAATTTTTTCTAAAAAATCTCTACGCACTCTCTCCGTAACGGCCTCTCTATCGTCGTCATTAGGGCCCAATAGAACAGGACCTATCGAGACCAACTTAAATGCCACATCTGCAAACGATTCCAAAACAGAAAGTGTGGATATCAGTTGATGGTAACCATGGGCTTCTTGCATTCGATGCACCACTTGCACCTTCAGTAGACAAGCGAGGACATTTAAAAAACGTATTGAGATCCCACTTACATGCCAGAGTTCCTTCTCCATAGCCCAGTGCCTCCCGTTCAGCATCTAAGTAAAGAATGGGGAAGAGATGGACTGAACTAACCTTCTGGTGTGCATCTCCGACCTCCGTAGTGTTGAAGACCAACTAGCGTGGCTTTGACATTAGTGTTGTTGTAGACAAGTAAAGTTGGTAAATTGAAGTCTGGATAATCTTTGATGCAATCTGTCGACACTATCTTCACAAATTTGGTTCCTGTATACTTGGTAGCCAAGTCATCTAGACACTGACCCAGCAGCTCAGAATTGGGATTTCTGCAAGAAACAGAAGTGATGAGAACACAGTACTTCATGAAGTGCTCATATTCGCCACAGGGACAGCGCTGACCTCACACTCCCACGACTCTCTTATACTAAACTTTCCCAGAATTCCTGATGAACTGAGAACATAATAGGCACATCGCTCAATGATATGATGATCAACATATAAACATTGTATTGCCTACTGCCTAGCGTACGAGCTCCTTCCTCAGCAACAATTTCGAACAAATGCCGGTGCTAGGAGTCGGCACTGCTGGAGGAAAAAGAACATACCATCGACAGTAACAGTGGCTTTATTTTTATCTTCGACAGGCTTAGAAGCCAAGCAAGAAAACTCCGTGATTAAAAGGGGACTACGGTCTACAATCACCTTGTATTTCCAATCATTCGACAAAGGTTAAGGACACGTGTACTAACCCGTCTTTGTAGAGGTGGACGACAACCCAGACATCCGGAGGAGCTTGTGAGACCTCTCGTATGAAGTCCGATCCTGTGATGGACACAACTGAGCCGAATCGCGCTTTCCTAGTCTTTTCCGTCAGCTCTTGCATACGTTTTTTCCTGCTCGAAGAAAAGTATCAAAACTCAGCACCGACTTTCTCCTCCCAAGGTTTAAGTTCTCCGTCGGATTCATTCCTGCTAGAGAAACACATTTTGCGATTCGGGACGACTTGCAATATGTTCTCTTTCACGGCGAAATCTTCTCAATACCACGAACAAGGGGTCCTCGAGATGGTAAGCACGTTCAACCCTACCCGTGACTAAAGCCCATTTCTCCATCCCAGTCATTTCTCAATATTGATACTCATGTCAGCAATTCCGAACCTGATCACCTTTCAACACCTCCAAGTTCCGAACATGTGTCGGGAAGATATGGAGACGATACATATACTCAATCACCAGCAATGTTTATGCATGCACTAAAATAAGCCAAACCACTCACCGATACTCCTCCATAAACCGATCATCATCCAGATCTGGATCATCTGCAAGGTCTTCCAATTCCTCTACAGTCTTAGTGCTCATCCACTCCTTGTTCTTGACCTGATCGCGCTCGTCTTCCGCAGGGCTCCATGCCGGAGGCTTGTGAGGAGCCGGCTTCGCGGGCCGATTGCCCAATTTGGTTTGAATGTCATCCCACTGTGTACTCGTCCCCTCCACGTCCTTGTACACAAAATGGTAATCCGACATTGCTCTGCCGGGCTCCTCGCCCACCTCTTGCCAGATCTCTACCCTCTTCCTTCCGTCTCCTCCAGCAAACGAACCAACTCACTGTCGATTCCAGCACTCCTTCAAGTTCCAACGCTACAAAATTCTCCAGGTCTCGTGGAGCTCACGATTTACGCGACACGACTGCTTCCAGCAGAACTTCCCTTCCCTGATACCAACCAATCCTGGTGATGGCAATGGATCCTGAGACGGAGCTCCTCGACCTGCCCACCCTCCAGGCCTGCCCTGGCCTTGCGCACGAAGAAACGTGCGCTGCGAGGAAGAGACAAACCACGCACGCAGATGCGTTCTGTCGATCTCTGTTCTGCTCTGCTCTGCCTCACCGCCTCCTCCTTCGTGATCCGCGCTCTGCCGAAAGGTGCACGAGGCTCTTCCGTCTTTTGGCTTTTGGCTTTTGGCTTTCTGCTGCATTCCTTGCGTCTCCCTCTCCATGTCAATTGCTACTTCGACGACGTCAGACGAAGGCAACCGAATGCGAGAGGAGGGGGGAGGAACTTTGGATTGCATCTGGGATCGTGTTACAATTTGGTATTGATTGGTGGAAATCCGAAATAAATCTGTGCATTCTTCTTCCACTTCATCCGGCTTTCATTCTGCTTTTGCAATTGATTATTGCTGGAGTTGTATTTCCGGTGCGTTCGACCTTCACGTTGATGGTGACGATGTTGCCTTCCAACCTTTTTGACAAGTTTCCCAATGTGGGTTGGAGTTTCGATTATTTGTTTTCCACAAATCAATGGTCCGGACGATGCATTCGATACCCGGTTGAATATTACATGAGTAAAATGATTGCCGTATGAGTAAAGTAGCACCTTCCTTTTTCCCTTTTTTAAAATACATCAGAACTAAAATCTAAACCAGGAAACGCAAATTATAAAAGAAATTATACAACTAAAGAGAAAATTCTTTGAGTTATCCCAAAATATTTTCTGGTATCCAACACGTTTCATTTCACCTACTCCACCCATGTTCCATACGAATTTTTGTAAAATGTGTGATTTCATAAAAGTGCCGCTCGTAATGTTCACAATAGAGTGATAGTTTTATTCGGGAATGTTAGCAAAATGCAATTACGTCGAGCAGGTTTCCAACATTGATATGTGTCCAGTTGATAATTCTAGTTTTCTGTAGTAGCTCCCTTGGTACCTCTCGCAATGTTGCATGAGATTTGAGATTTTAATTCTTGGCATCTCGAGTTGATTCGTTTTTCCAACACAAGCGGTTGCAGTCAATTGTACTTTTCTTTTCGTATCATGATCTATTGTTGATTGTGGAAATCGACTCGAATAGATGGACGTTGGACCCCTAAGCAATTGCAAGAATTCTGATGGGAACGAGTGATGTGATGAAATGAAATGTTTTGTGTTGTGCTAGATCCCATCAAGGAATTTTCTTCCAACTAACACGTTAAATTACAATCTTCTCTTATTTAGCCTTAACTTGTGATTCTATAAATTTATATGCTTGATGAAGAATATCTTGATATGCACCAAATAATCATGTATGTTATCATCTGAGCGTTCCTCTTCTTTTGATACATGATGAGGAAAACGTAAGGTTGTCCAGAAGCGGACACCACTACTTTGTGTTTCTTATATTTCCAACGATTATCAAGAAAGGGAATAAGTCTGATATTAAGTCGATACATTCTGTACCTGTCTGACAACCTACGTATGACAACATGCTAATCAAACGCTTGTAATCTCTCATCAAGATATTAGGCATGTGATGCCAAAAGTAATTATCTACATCTACGGTCAAAGAGTATATGTGAGTGTGGCTATTTTCTGTCCTGTTACCTTGTTTTCCGAATGAAGATCGGAATAAAACTGAAATATATGAAAAACCTGCTCACGATATATGAGCCGAATGAGAAATGAAGATGTATTTGCTTCCGTGACGAAGAGTCCTCGACTATTGTAGATTAATGCAGTCACATACAAGTGGTTCTCATCCAAGTTTCTTCTCAACCTTTATTCACGCGCCAGTCAGTAAAATCCACATCCAAGAACCTTACATCATGAATTTGGTCATAACATAGTGTAACGTGGAGCTCGGAGATCAAGCAAAACGAAACAGATGATCGTGAGCATCCTAGTTCTCAAACTTTCCCTCGTGGCCTGTCACTAGCACGCTCCCCATCTCCCCTCCCAGTCGTGCAGATCCCTTGACAAGTGACTATCATCAGAGCAACCCACATTTGTTGTAGTAGATCCAGGGGAACCGATGGTTTGGTGGATCTAAAAGCACGTAAGCGTCCATCTGGCTGTGGCCACCGATCATTGTAATTGTCGAGGGATCATCCCTGGCTTCAACAAAAGGCACACACACGTACACCAATCTAGATTTTTCCGTTGAAGACTTCAAGTCCCCGAAGGCCATTCCTGAAGTGCCATGCTACTCTAGGAATCGGAAAATAGTCTTTCTCCAAGCTCATCGTATCCCAGAAAGGACTGACACCACTAATGGTAGGAAGGTAATATGATGGGATCCGAGTTGATCTAACGCGAGCCTCAAAGCTGCTACCAAGAGATTGTACCCAGCAGAGCGAATGTAAGAATACGGCGACACTGAATCGACCACGACTCCACCACAACCACTGCTGTACCTGTCGAATGTTCCGGAAGGGACACTCAGAAGTTGATCGTTGACGCTTATATCCGGTTAGTGGGCAACCAGTGGAGTGTATGTCACCAAACCTTCGTTAGCCTTAGTGCACCATACTCATACTTTAACAGTGTCTAACTCTTGGAGCTTTTAGTTCGTATTCTGTTTGCGAACCTCTTCGTAAACCTTGAAGACGCATGCAAACTAGAAGGAGGCTGAACAGATTTACCTATCGGCAGGGGCGGAGCCACAGGGGGGGCAGGGGGGGGGCATGCACCCCCAAGCCCAGGAAGGGTCTACACAGATTGTGAGTTACAGAATGTGAAAACGAGGTCGAGAAAAAATTTTAATTCGATATTGGCGGGTAGCCCCCCCTCGCCCCCCCTCGCCCCCCCCTACCTGAAAAATCCTGGCTCCGCCCCTGCCTATCGGAGTACAACAAAACTTTATCGCATCCAATTCTGTGTAGAGAATCAGAGGTCTTGGGTTCAGTCTGTTCTTAGATCGGAATCACAACAGCATTCACAGGTTCGCTGAGAATTTTGCTGTTTGTTGTCCAGAACCGCCATAAGTGCAGATAGTACAACAACAAAAGGACATGGAAAATCATACGTAGATCACATATCAAGGTTAGCAGGGGTGTAATTAGATCGAGAATTATCAATCACGGCACATAGCCAGACTGTGAAGCTAAACACTTTTTTCATTATTTTCAGACGACGTAGTGTACTCGGTTGCAGACCTGGAGCTACATGATTATTAAATCTGCTGTCGGAGTTCAGGCTTTGCCGACGAAGACGTAAACAGAATTTGCGTGTTCATTGAGTGCTGCATGGCAGTATCCACACATGCATCCCAACGTGCTATCGATCTGCTCAGGAAAAGAGAGCCCAAATAAACCCAGGCCTTACTCTGAAAACCAGAGTTCCGCATATTATTATGTAATACTATTATTTTTTTCCGAAAATACATTAAAATATATTTGTATTGAGTTTCAAGACGATTCAATATATTGCAATATCTAATATAAAAAATTAGATATATTGAGACCATTTATTTTGCTTTATTTTCTCCGCGGCTCGGGTCATCTTCCTCACAATTGAGACCAAGGCCATGTTACAAAAGGTGCGAATCTGTTTGAGTAACAGTAACGCATCCAGAGTACGGAGAAACAATCGTTGACGTTTGTACTAAAAGATTAGCTTGCTCATATAGAATAGCCGCTCGACATGGTTTGATGTATGTAAGAGAAATCTGAAATCTTTCACCAAGCAGCGGACCAATCAAACAAATCTCTCCTTTGAATACACGGCTCAATCAGGCAAATCTCCAGTCAGACAATAGTATTGATATTGTATTGAGCAACAATACAATATATTGCTATTGGAGATGCAAACGATACAATATATTGAATACAATATATTATAATATATTGTTAGATAAATATATTATTTCCAATCTTTGCTAAAAACCGCATCCGAGTCCCACGGTACTTGGAACAGAAGTAGCCCGTCCTCGGTGTTCGTGCTTAGAAGCTCGCACCATTCTTTGACATAGAGGCATGAATTGCGAAATTCAAAATTCAAACGAAAAGCTTTCAATCCGGGGGAGAATTAACTCACTCCTCGATTCTGACATTGGAACAAGGTGATGAGTGCTGATGATAGGGTGGGTTTAGGGTTTAGGGTTTAGGGAGTTTCATGGGGGGGTGGGTTTAGGGTTTAGGGTTGGAGTGATTCAAGGATGGGAGCGTGTGGAGAGGGTGCAGAAGATATTTCTACAAGAAGAATTGGGTGTGAGAAACCAAACCTCATATGCTATTCTTCTTGCGGAAACAGGTTTTTTACCTCTAGAGGCTGAAGCTCTATACTTGACCATCACTTACATCACAAGGGTGAGATCTCTTGATGCTTCTCGCCTTCCTCCTCAGGCTTTGAGTGCCACACGTGCCAAAGGATGGTTAGCGGATGTGATAACTTGGTCTTTGAGGTGGAATGTGACGGAACGCGATTGGGACCTACAACCTATAGCACTACGTGACCGTCTAAAGGAGGAGTTTCTGAACATTATTTGGAGCAAGCGCGGCACCAAGATGCAGTTTTATCAACTTCATGTGAATCCTATGCTTGTTTATTGTGAACAGGATTACCTACTTGCAGGAATCTCTACGTCCTTACGTCATATTATTGCTAGGCATAGAACTGGATCTCATAGGCTAGGAATTGAGGAAGGACGTTGGCTTAATATTGATAGGAGTCAACGTATTTGTAGGCTATGTGATGGAAGAGAAGTTGAGGATGAAGAACATGTATTTCTTACTTGTACTAGATATGCAGATATTAGAGTAACTCATAATATAGATGTAGAGAATTTTTATTCTTTGTTACAGTTAGTTCCTTTTGATTAAGGTTGTTATATTAGGGACATTATTAGTTATCGTTCTAGTGCTCTTGGCACTAGCTAGGGTTTGGCCTTTGGGGTCTTTTCCCTTGTTTGTGGCTGTCGCTTGTATTGTGTTTTTTAGCCTTTTGACCCTTTGGGTCCCCCGGGCTTGATCTATTACCATTTACCATTTATAGTATTGCAACTGATTCAAAGAAAATAGCCCATTACGTTCGACTTTGAACTTCTAGTTCATGTGGAACACATGGGCTTAGCCTTGTCCATATATTTGTTGTCTAGTGCAAGCACGAAGTCCTGGTCCACGACCTTGACAAAGCACTGCAGTGCTCGAAACAAGTTGAATGTCAACAACTCTTTGTTTTGCAAGATCAAACCTCGAACTTTAATAATTTTATGGTTTATGATAATATGGATTTATAAATAAATAAATTTATTTATTTATTTATGTACAATAATCTTTTATCATTTAAAAATATAAATAGTGTTTAGCTCAAAATATTCATGCAAATTGCATGAAAATATCTTGATTTTGTTTAATTTTTACATAGTGTAAAACAAACTGATATTTCTATGAAAAGGTTATGTTGCAATTCATCATTAAAGTTTAATAAAATTTTCATTCTGCATTCACATGTTTGATGACAAAAAATGACACATATCACTTTATTTAAAAAATTTAAAAAATTCATGTATTTCATTTCAATTGTACTACAATTTTATATCAGTTCATGAAATAAACACTTTTCTAACAAAAAATGTGTTTTGAGCACGCATGTTAGCTCATTTAATATGCAAATTAATAAATCTTTAATATTTATTAAATTTCAATTGACTGAATTAGCATTATTCATGTTATTTTTCTACTTCGTATAATTATTTATACTTGATTAAATTTTTAATCCAATATTAAACTTTTATTGTCATAAGTTTCACACAATATTTTGATTAAACATGTTTACTACAAATTTCATGATATTTTTTCATTTCATTGAGAATATCTTATTAAGTAGACTTTTTCTACTTTTTTTATAAGGTAAGAATGTTTCTAACAAAAAACCACAAGCTATTTGATTAATTTATTAATGATTGGAATTTTTTGACAAAATAATGAAAATTGTATTTCTTTTTTGCCAAAATTTTGGCACAAGATTATTATTTAGCGTATTTATTTTTTACTTGTAATTTGTGATGAGCTTCACATTTTGATTTTAATATTCATGAAATATCAAAAGTAAGGTGACAAATCAATTTTAACATTAAAAATAGCATTTAAATGTCAAATATATATATAAAGTAAAATAGAACATCAAGAACATACTAATCACAAAGTATGCATTGCATTTTCAAGTATTCATCACGATAAGTTATGAAGTGTAAATGGTCAATTCAAATTTGGATTTAAGATTGCAAAGCCATGCACACTAACTTAAATATGAACATACTTCCTGAACTTAGAGTAGTGTACTATGTGAGGTGTGAGATTTGAAGTAACTTTAGATTATGTGCATGATTGTTTTGTTGTTTTTGTATGAGATGTATGTGTATGTTTGATTGGACATACTAACTCCTCGGAAGACTTGAAATACATTTCCACTTTCACTCATATCTTCTTGATTTTGATCAACTTAATTGACTGTCAAGTTGTTGATTTTTGACAACAATATTGCAGCAAATGTGACTAAGTCAACTGCACAAACATGTTATGTTAGACTCATGTGATGAGTATGAAAAATACAACAATACAAGACGAGAATAATATGATCTTTGTAATGATTTTCACATGGTTGTAAACTTCTAAATAAGACCGTTATTATTCTATTGACTGCTGTAAATATTGTATCTTCTGGACTATGATGTGTCTACATGCACTTTGTATGTTTGAATTTATTCACAAATATTTTTGATTTTTTGAAAATTTGACTTTAAAATATGTAATTTTGGAATTAAACTTATCCTTAGATAATATGAAATTTTATTGTGATGAGTACATATTTCAAAGTGAATTTTTTTTTGAAATTTAATTTACTAAAATTTAAAATAATCATGAAAACATGGAACAACTCAATTTGAAATCTGCAAATACAACTTTGTAAAAGGTAATTTTTTTCTTGAAATCAAGCACTAAATAAAAAAATACTAAGGATTTGTTTGAAAAAATTCATCAAATGATTTGCATGTCATAAGTTAAGAGATTTTACATTTTTATGTCTAAGTATTTTTAATGAACTAGTGTTGATATGAGTATATAATGAACATCAATGTCTTAAAATAAACTATACAAATCAAGATCAAGGCTTTGAGACAAAAAGTTTGAGTTTCACTACATGCCAAAACTTCCCAATCATTCATTCAAAACTACAATAGCTTGAACTTCTTGAGTTTTTAAAATTTGAATTCAAGTTAATTTTTTTAACAACAAAGCCAACATAGCTCAATGAATAGAACATGCAACCAAAGATTCCCGGTTGGGGGTTCAATTCATTTAATATGAATACATTTTTTTGAAACTAAACATTTGAGTTTCACATCCGTGACGAGTAGGATTTTGCTGCGATAAGCAAAACTATCCGATGACGGCTAGGATGAATTTAAGGTTTCATTCTAGGTCACATGAGCTTGATAGAACGTTTTTGCTGGAACCTAAGTTCACATTTGAGTATTAGCTTGTGTTAAAGTTTATGATCATGTTAAGTTCAAAATCTTAAACTTTGATAGATTGTTTGACATCCAAAGAGTTGACTTGATCACGCTTGGGTGAAAACCTGTTTGAAATCATCTTGTAAATTGTAGATTGTATCTTGTTTTGAAGAGTTTTGTTTGCTCCCGTTGCAAACTAGACTTGTAAGAACTTGATGCAATCTATGTTCGACACGATGATCTCAAACATGAACGTTTGAAAATATCACTATATTTTTTTTGATAGCCAAGTGATTAATAATTTTTGATATTAGTATATACTTTGTTAATTTATGTCAACCTTATTTGTTTTCCCTCTTCGTTGAAAATTGTGGAGTTTTGTCCTACTTTATTTTACAATTAGAGGAATAAAATGAATGAATACAAGAAGCACACGTTGCAATGTATCATCGCATACAAGATTTGAGTTCTTCAACAAATCATTTGTTCAAGTCACATGGTCGTAAGTATTATTTTCTCTTCTGAATGATTTTCAAGTCACATGGAATCATTGTATTTATGGCGCGAAATTTGGCCGAAATGTCGCGGCACTTCCAACTTGGAAGAGCAATATCCTCTGGATAAGCGAAGCCGGGATCGGCTGAGAGGATCTGAAGCCAAAAAACGGACGGACGGACGAACAATATGGCCAGTTTGCGGCATAGTATCCTTAGGGTTCGTGGCATGCAAATCGTCGTGTCCGTTTCGGGCATGGCTCTTTCGCTCCGATCTCTCGGAGCTTTCGGGTCTCGACGAGGAAATTGACTCAATCTGCAGATGCAAAAGCTTGAGAAATTCGAGAAATTCGAGAGTACTCGGTCGGTCGAGCACGAAAATTAATTCAAATCGGCTCAGATTTGTACTTTGTCGACAAGGATTGTAGAGAATAATAATGGGAAACAGAAGAGAATTCCGGTGGGGAGATGCTGCGGACGAAGATGAAGGAATTGAGGGAGTCTTGCCTCCTATGCATGTTAAAGGTCCTGATGACAAGGGAGTGAAAATTATCACCGAGTGGAGAAAGAGAGAGGATGGAGCGAAAGTGAAGGTCACCACCACTGTGAGAGTGAAAAAACAGGTCAAGAGGCTCAATCCAGCTGTGATTCGAAGGCGCAGCGTGAAGAAGTTCGGGGACGCTGTTGGTCAGAACTCGTCCGAGAATCTCACTGTGGTCTCCACAGAGGAGATATTCTTGGAGAGGTTCCGGCCTGTTGGACAGCAAGGGCAGAAGCAGGAAGAGAAGGGTGCAGAGCTTGCAAGTTTGGGTAATGCCTCGTTGATTGTTTGCAGAACTTGCGGGAAGAAGGGAGATCACTGGACCTCTAAATGTCCCTTCAAGGAGCTTGCAGCTAACCGAGGATTCGGAGAGAAACCTCCAGGTGATGACGATATGGGAATGTCCACATCTGCGGGCCCAGGGGGCAAGGCTTCCTACGTCCCACCCAGTATGCGTGGAGGCTCCAAAGGGGATGGAGAGAGCATGCGGAAAGGAAGGGATGACAATTCCATTAGGGTTACCAATCTTTCTGAGGATACTAGGGAGCAAGATCTACAAGAGCTGTTCAGGCCATTTGGATCTATCTCTCGTATTTACGTTGCATTTGACCGCGACACCGGCTTGAGCCGAGGATTCGCCTTCATCAATTTTGTTAGCAGGTATTTCTCTTTCCTCACCATGCACATTAAGATGAGAGATGCCTTACAGATTCTGTAATAAGCAGAAGCTGAAGAACGTCCACTTGGTATTGCCACAGCCTACAAGAAGAGGGGTTTCAGTTACAGTTATATGCATATTTGAATTGGCATCTAAGTTCCTAAAACGAACCTGCCGAATCACGAAACCGGAGACCTGCGTCTTTTTTAGGACCTGATGATCGTAGTTGGGGGCGATCTTGAGGGTCAAAAGGGTCGGTGTGTTATTTACTCTGCGTGGGATGGCCTCTATCGATACATTAATTCTCATCAATCAAGATTGCCTATTGATCCCGAATCTTCTTGTGGTACAGGGAGGATGCTGTGCGTGCTATCAACAAGCTGGACGGATATGGATACGACAATCTAATTCTTCGTGTGGAATGGGCCACTCCTAGAACAGACAGAGCTTAGACAGACAGAACTACCTCCCCAATTAGTAGGAACTTTTTTTTACGTCCTTACGGGTAACCGCTCATAGTAGGCTGTATGGGCGATATCAGTCTTGAAAGAATCTTTCGCAACTTGTTGATGAACTGCACTTTACCTCTCTGGACGTATCTCAGTCAGCGGTGGGCTTGTGTAAAAGGAAGTACCGCATCATTAGGTGATGAGCACATTCTCGAGTGCTGCGGGAAATCTGTTGGATGTGAAACGTTCACAGAAGTGGATAGTAGTGTAATGGAATCTATCATTAGCTCGGGAGCCTACAGCAGTATCCAGAAGTTTTTCTGTAAGTGTCAAGCTGTTGTAATTGCGGGGGGAGGTCGATGTTTTCTGATCGACCATCAATTTTTTAGTCAAATTGCCCGGGAGGTAAAAAAATGGAGCTCATCAATTGTGTCGAACGTGTTGGTTGGAAGTTTTCTTGAGGCTGTGGATTCTGATAAGACACTAAGGTTGTCAGTCTCCGATGCACTGCAGTCAGTATCGTTGAAATACCGACTTTTTGTGCAGTCCACAAAGGTCAAGGGATATGTGGTGTAGCTAACTTCCTCCATCATACGGTTCTTCTGTGAAGGTGTACAGGTCTCGCTTCTAAAACTGGTTGTATCAGATCAGCTCCTCTGACGTCCATCAGCGTAATGCATTAGCAAGTTCGAACTTTGTGGTGGTATAAACGTCGTCTCCTTTCTGGTTTGGGCTCTGTATCTTCCTTAGCCATGAAGTCCAAAACCAGTCGAGCTGTGACATAGTTGGACAGGCCATGTTGTGCAATAGTCTTTATAGAGTTTCGGATGACCTTTTCTTCTCTAATCACGCTCCGTGTTGATGTAGAGTATACGTCTTTCTCATGTATTTGGACTTGTGGATGGTTTGTTCTTTACTTCATCCTTCTGCTCTCTTGTCACGGACCGGGAGGTCTGCCTGGGTCTTTTATGCGAGTGTGGAGCGTTCATGTGGAGCATCTTCTCATTGGCCTTTCTTCGTTTTTGGTCCATATAGTCAGACGTCGATGGGGCGTTGACCCTTCTCGCCTTCTTCTATCATAACTGGGATTGAGGTTGGTTCGTACAACTCTGCCTCCCTTTCTAGTTCCCGGTTGGAAGTTGACGAAAGGAAATCTCCAGGGGCTTTGGCCACTGCGCTTGTCTGAGCTCCACGCTGACGAGTGGAGGGCCCGCTGTCGTGGGGACCTCACCGTGTTTCGGTTCAGCTTTAGAACCTCGTTCATGTTAGGAAGTTGAAAGTGCCCGAGCCGTCCCTCTCTTTGGGCTCATTACTCTGTTAAAAAGAGATCGTTGGTCGGTAGGATCGTCGGTCTCTATTTGTGCCTTTGAATGTGATATATATGTCGAAAGATCGATGACAGCTATTCTGCTGGGGCAGTTTCATCGACGCCCTCATGTTCTTGGGAAGAAGCGGCAACTATTGGCTGGACTTCCGGTTCGTTCGTCTCTTCTTGTGCACTCACAGGAGCTGTCGGGACTGATACATGATGTGTTACAGCTGAATCCATCGTGGTGGCATGTTCCTGGGAGGATGAAGCGGCCACCGCTGATACTTCTGCTTGAACCTCTGAGTGTGCTGCATGCTGAGAAGTTGACTCGTCCTGGGAGGATGAAGCTGCCACAGCTGATACTTCTGCTTCAACCCTTGAGTGTGCTGCATGCTTAGAAGTTGACTCGTCCTGGGAGGATGAAGCTGCCACCGCTGATACTTCTGCTTCAACCCCTGAGTGTGCTGCATGCTGAGAAGTTGACTCGTCCTGGGAGGATGAAGCTGCCTCCGCTGATACTTCTGCTTCAACCCTTGAGTGTGCTGCATGCTGAGAAGGTGACTCGTCTGTCGTCGCCGGAGCAGGGTATTGGGTTTTATCAATGTCATAAGACGTGGATCCCATCACTGGAGCTTCTGCTTCTTCCTCTACTGTCGAGGCTGCAGATTTTCCATCACCTTGTGTAATGTTCGGATCCTCTCGTACATTATCCATGCCCTCAAAAGTTGGTCCCGTTATTAAGGATTCGACTGAATGAGTTATACTTTCTTCAATTGTTACACTTTTAGGAGCCTGAGCACTTGAACTGATTGTCTTTTTAATACTGGATCTGGCCGGTTCGTTCTGTTTTTGCCACTGCCTGAATTTCTCAGCTTGTTCTTCTGCTTCCTTTCTTGACTTTTCTCGAGCTTGTTCCAATTCTACTCTTATTTGTGCTCTTCTTACTTCCTTGGCTGCCTCTCTTTCTTCTTCCTTTATCTGAGCTGCCGCCGCTCTGGCAGCTATTTCTCTTCGTATTGCTTCCTTATGCTTTTCCTTTGCTTCTTTTCGGGCATCATCCTCTTTGTCAAACTCTGCGAATCGTGCTTCGCGCTCGTACTCTGTTCCAGCGGCTTTTGCTTCCTCCTTCGCTTTTTTATGAGCTTCTCTTTGCATGAACTTCATTTTGCGATGTAAAGCCTGCAAAGACTCCATTTTCGAGTTACTTAGAATGAAAGCGCATGCTTTTGCAATTTGCAATACAATCGTTTTGCTCAAAGTGATTTCTTGTTTTTTGGTGAAGATTAGAGGTGCATTAGAGTGCTGTTTGGTCACACTTATTCGGGCCTAAGTCAAAACCTCCTGCAGTAGCAGAATTGAAGATTTGTGGTGGCCTAGTTTCGCAGGCATTGCAATGCCTGCGAAATTGCAATGCCTGCGAAACTACGTCTGCCCTAGCAATATCTTTACCTGCACTAAATTAGATATACGCTCCTGACACAGAGTCAAAACTTCTTTCGTTGCGCCTTCTCCACTCGGCTGTACAGCAGAGCTAGGGTGTGAGTAAAAGTACTTCGCATTAGAAACTTCACGAGAAGAGTAGAACACTCCTACTAGCTTTTAAAACTTACTCTTAATAATAAATATCAAAGCATGAGCTTCATGGCACATGGAGAAGATCGTATATAAAGATCTGATTTGCCACATTCTAGATTGTTTTCAGCGGATTTGTACATACTATTGTCAGGTTTCCTTCATGCAGTCTTTCCACCAGTTTCTGGGTTCCTTCAAGGATTTGAAGGAGTGGCAGTGATCCTTTTCGTGATGATTGCCTTCGCACTATGAGCTTAGTGCCCTCAATCATGTGTTGGACAGCATGAGGCTGGATCGAGCTTTTCCTCTGTTGAAAGCACTCAGTAGTCAATACTTTTCCCGTATTCGGATCACTGTACAGTTGTCAGTTGTATCTCACTGTACTTCTGGACGGACACGTCCTGCGTCTAAAGACTTCCTGGTGAACGACAAGAATGCGGCTTTTCGTATTTACGCTATGGGCTGCCTCAGCAGCTCCGGCATTTTTCTAATGAGTGAGGTAACGCTTTATTGTGTTGCCAAAATATGTCCATAACTGAGCAGGTATACATTTTCCTTCCCCTTTCAGGCTCTCCGCACTGTTCTGTCATCCTCGTGTGTAGTTTTTATGTATAAGAGCTTGTGGATGCTTTAAGGAGGGTCGTCCGCTCAATCCACGAGGATTTCTACCCATGATTAGCTGATGAACTTTCAAAAGTGTTCTTTCAAGATAGTACTCGAAGATACACTATTTTTCATTCTCACTATAACTGCGTCTTCATCGACGGATGTTTCATTTGATTCAGACCTATTTAGGTACCTTCTTCTTCCCTCAAACGTTTTCTTTCCTCGAATCTGGTGATGGGCAGTGTCGGTTTGTGAAGGGTGGGTATCATGCTGTAAGTCGGTAGATCATGCTTTAGTTAGTGAGCTGAACTGAGTAGGACTGAAAGAATACCCGCGGAGGATAGTCGTTCTTGAGCTGGTCAACTGTTCGTTTCAGTTCGACGTATATCGACTGCAAGTATGCAGATTGCTTTTCTTGGAGCAATAACTGATGATACATTTCTCGCATACTTCGCACCTCCATCACTTTTTTGATCTCCTTGATTGCGGCCAGTATGTTAGCCTCCATCTCGGGGGAAACCATGTCCTGCAAAGGGTAACAAGTCATCTTACAGATTGAAACCGAGCCGACGCGTCCTACTGACTTCAATTGTACCCTCTGAACTCTGTTATGCTTTTCACACCGTATCAGGGTTTGGAGTGAACTTGTTCTCTTGCTTAATCATCTGGCTTCTGCTTATAAGTGAGTACTACCTATCCAAATCTCTTTGTATCCAAGGGATTCGACACTGTAATTTTAGAGCATGTTTGAAAGCTTGCCGGACTCCAGATACGAAACTCACCCTTCCATCTCTCCCGAACAGCCGTCCAATCAGCTGTCAATCAAACCAGTACAGCTTTTTAGTATGTGACTGGAGAAGCAGGAAATTTGAATCCCAAATATCAGATCTCATTGGCAAATTTTTAATTGGTTAGTTGTTTTGCAACCTATACAAACTCAAGTTGGATGTCTTCTACGTGACAGCCTTCTCTGTATGCCCCGTGTGATAGCCTGAGCCATAAAACCATGCCACCTACCTACCTCTTCCAACTCCTTTTTAGAAGCGTCCCTCGCTCGGATAGCATCATGATGTGAGTGGATGAGTCTCTCACATTCAACTTTCTTTATGTTCAAAACGTTTTGACAAGCCTCCAGCTGCACCAGCCCAGGTACCATGACGTTGTTCAGATAATGATGCGGGTTCAAGTCCCAGTTATGCAGGAGGCTTCATTTCATAGAAGATTCATGAGTATCTCCCTTTTATAGCCTGACGACCATAGATCCTTCAAAGACTTGGTCAATGAAGTAAGTAGGTACTGTTTGGAGCAAGGGCTTCTTCTTTTTCTTGGATGTAGCTGGGACCGGAAGTAAGGAAGGTACTAACTTTTGCCCCATACGAATAGTACTCTTCTTTCATGGGGCTCAAAGTCGCCTCATAGTGCTTCATCAAAATCTGCACGTCTTTTGTTTTCAGTCGAACTGCACTAAGCATCGACTCCAATCGGCGAATCCTGATCAAGTCTGGGGTGTTGGGGTCAAGAACACCAGCGCATTCCAGCTCTGCTGAATGCGTGTCCGTTACTTGGGCCTCCAACTGGGTATCCACAAACATCAGTAATTTGTCAGATGAGAATACAATAGGGTCGTTTGCTCGCAGTTATGTCGACTTAGATCTACGAGCAGACTTTGATTTTTTACGATCCTTAGGGAAAGCGGATAACGGATGTCTAGTAAGGTGAGAAAGTCTAGGTAGTAGAAGTTTCTAAATGGGAAGGTCTGGTCGAGACCCTCGTAGAGAGTGGGTAGGACTACAGATTGCACGTTTGTGTTGGAGGTTGAAGCTTTGGCAGATCATTGGCAGGTTCAGTGTACATTAGCCTATGTGAGCAGGGTTCGAGGAATAGAACTGGTTAGTCGCCAAAGTAGATTTGGTTCGAAGGTTGTCAGAGCTGTTAACCTTCCTCTGCCTTGAAAATACGAGCTTTCTCTGGTGGTCGTAGGTGACTCGAAGAGAGGCCACTGTTTTCCGCAAATTGTCCAGATCTCCCAGATTCTTTCGAGCAATCAATGCTTTGTGTCTCAGCGTGTCGAGAGCAGCATGCAGTAGCATATTCTGGGTTCGAGCCAGCATTATCTGGTTGCGATGTCTGTTCAATTTTATCTGAACCAAGTCATAGTATGCTTTTCCAAGGATTCCTGCTTTGACAAGAAATGATCAATCAAAGAAGTTATTCAACATAGTGCTTGGCCTCAAACAGCTTGTACACTTCATTTAAGATCCTTCTGTATCCTTCTTGATGTGTCGTTCACAGTTGAAGCTGTCAATTTGAAGACCTAGTTCTTTCATCTGCCTGTGCCAGATGGACATGTACTCATGCGCTTACGTGCTTCACATTATGGAAGACGCTGGAAGTGACATACATGTGCGTTTTGATAACTCTGTGGTCGTTCTCTTTCTGGAATATGCGTAATATGATGCATGTATGAGTTCAAGGGTGAAGCAATTTCTCTTGTATCGGGACGCTAGTTGATTAGTCTGTTGAGGAATCACATAGGTCAGGTTTTCAGCTGACTGGGGAAGGAGCTGTTATGGATGGATCTTCTGTGGCGGATGATTTCTCCCCAGATCTGAATCAAGGAAGAAACAGCGATGATCTGCCTCATGAGAATCCTATGAGGCTACAATCCCTTGTCCTCCCCCTAGTATAATTCCGATGCCCGGATGCTAATCGTCGAACGAGTCTCGTTCCATGGAATGACATCGCTGGTCTAGATCCGATCGATGACTCGATGTTTTCTAGTCTTTGACTTAGATTTGGAGCTATCGTGAACACCGTGTTTGTCTCCACAAATGTAGGGGAGCGGCTAGACCACGTATCACTCCGAGGTATCAGGGTCTCTCCTGAGTTTTTCTTGAAAAATCCGGAGTACGTGTTCCCGCCACGCCATAATCTTAGGAAGTGGCCAAAATCTTAGGCGCACTCCTGATGGATCGTATCAAGGGTCTGGTTTTCAAGGATTTGGATCAGAACCTCCGAAAGTCGACAGTCCGAAGGAGGCGACACGACTTGCAGTAAATTCGTCTGCAGTAGTTGCCTTCCGGTCGAGGCTGGACACTTTCTCGGGCACTGAGTTGGGACCTTCCATGACCGTGGGGAACCTGAAGACTCTGAATTCGTTTTGTACCCGCATCTGATGTGAACACTTTCGAAATAGGTCTCGTAATCTCGTATGTAAACTCTGCCTCTCTTAGCTGCCCTCTCGAGACGTGGGCTTCGAATGGTGGGAAATCGAGGGTTCCGGCAATTCACCGACCTGCAATCTATAGTATTTACAGAATTCTGCGATTGAGAAACGCACCGAGTCGCGAAATTTTGAACTCCAGATCCACAATCCGTTCCTTACACATGTACTCCCGCTTGGCCTCCATGACGGCTGACGACTGCAATTCGGGGAACGAGGAATGAATGAGTCGAGCCGAATCAGTCGAACATCATCATCGTCGACCGTTGCCGTTCGTTGGCCCGAAAGCACTCAACGGCTTCGGCCGACCAGCCCGCCCATCGCGTTTTCGTCCTCGTTCTCGTTCACGTTCTCGTTCGTTGCTCTGACTGTCGGCCGATTGCGCGCGCGCGCGAGCATCGTCCAGCCCATTGTCACAGGAATCGGCCTTCTCCATCGTTCTCTACATCGTTCATCGTTCATCGTTCGCGCACTCCGACCGACGCCTCCCTCCCTCGAGAGCCGAGCAGCTCTCATCAACGACTTTGTTCACCTTCGAGCGACGAGAAACGAGCTTGTGTAGATCGTGGTTCCTAAGGGTGAATAAAATATATTACAACTGACATTTATAGTATTCCTTCAGTAAGTAAGATGTGCAGGCTTCACTTTTACATGTATAACAATTGACGTTTTTTAATTGATACAGACATGTGAAATTCGGAAGAAGTGAATTATGTGTAATTATTTTTCCATACGTGTTGTCTTGTCTGTCTCTTGGTGTTTATGATATACAAAATGAATGCATTGGCAAGTTATTTTCTACTTTTTCACATATGAAATCATTATGTTTAAACATGTAAATTTCAAAATAAATATGTCAAATGTACCATTTAAAAAATATCTAAGTAAATCAAAGCCCTGTGATCTATACCAATATCAAGAAAAAATTCATGATTTCGAGTTGAATAATAGTGAAGTATTAAAAATTTAGGTCAATAAATCATGTGTTTGTAAAAGTTTATTTGATTGTGTTAGTTAAAGATGATTAATCTTCACTCCAGTTTAATATATTTTTGTTTATTTTGTTTTCAAATTTTCAATGATCACTAATTGACATATTGAGTTTACATATCTTCCTAACATACATCTTGTCAACCTTTAAATCATAACTACTGTACTCTCTTCAAGCACTCGCTAAGAAAACAAATCCCAAATTTTCTTCCTTATATCCATCACTTCATTGGTCATAATTGTTTATCTTTGATTGTTTAAAAAAAAAAAACAAGAATGCTTTGAGATATCACATTCTCAAATTTTTTTCTTTGTTTTGATATTGCATCAATTGCAAATTCATCATCTATCAACACCTTGAAAACATTTTATTTATAAGATTTTACATTCATTGAGTGATCATAAAACAATTATGATCAATCAATTAAAATTATGATACATATGATTAAAAAAAAACATGATATCAAAATATATGTAACATTTGATGTGCATTGCAAATACTAGTATTATGAGCTCAAAAGACAAAATACGATTTTAATATTCATGCATTGGCTTCAAACCCAAAGGTTGTAAATTTAGTTTAACAATACTCACCATCTATTTCTTAAGATTGTCTTAATCATGATTGAAAAAAAAGGAGTAGTGCACTTAAGCATGTTGCACAAGGGCGTAGTTTTCAACTTATCTTTGACTTGACTTTACTAGAAGAGATAGTGGGTCAATCTATCATAGTTTGACTATGTGATTTTCATTTCCCCAATTCTTATACCAACCATTTTGTTACATCAAATCTTGGACATTATCACTTATGTCTACTTATTGAACAAATTCTCCTTACTAATGAAGAAGAGAAGTGTCACTAAAGTTGTTGTCATGTTTATTGCGTTGGAGCATATATGGATGAATAACCATTGATCAAAGATGTTGGAAATAGTTTTGAGTCTCAAGACGAACCAATGTGTTTTGAGTAAGGATTACAATGCCTACGTAATCAATTATGTTGCAGAAACTGCTTGATCTAAATCCTATCGGCAATGGGTATGGATTCTAGTACAAAAGAATATAAAATCTCTCACCTTGCAATTGGATGATAAGTCATGTACTCGCAAGAAAGAGACTTGCTCATTTATTAGGTGATCCAGCATCAAGAGTAAACCTCAAGACACATTCAATACATAATTTTGAGTCTCTGCCAATGTAACAGTTCTTCTTAAGGTCAAAAAATTCAGATGAATAACAAACTCGAGGTCAACATAAGGAGAAATTGTGCAAGTAAACATAGAGTAGCACATCCGTTGAGTTGATTCCACAGGAGTTGAAAGAGAAATTTGAGAGAAAAAAGCTTGAAAGTACTCAGGAAGTTATCATATTAAAAAATGTACTGAAGCAAAATCTCTCCACACAAGTAAAATTCCTATGATCAAATGCACTCGGCTCTAAAACTCGAAAGAAAGTACAAACAATTTTTCTTGAAGACGGCCGATAAAATACTACTGAACCAATCGTTCACAGAAATTGCAGCTTGCAATTGAAGTACAAGCCGGAATATCCACTATGCTTAGCTTTGATCTATTTCCCAAGATGTGATTCAATTTTCTGGAATGTAAAATTACTCCTTATTCATGTCCCACAAATCTGTCACGACCTCACTTGTTGCATTAAATGTTTCGACTTTGTTGAGTATCTGATAGAACTGATTCTACAATATAAGTACATCCTTAAACCAATTGTTAGAGATTTTTCAAGAGGAAAATTGCAAACCATCACAACCGACAGAGAACATGTGTGATTCATTTCTCGATGAGGCTTCGTACACGGATACAGAAAACCTAACTCAAAGACCGAAAGTTTGTGTAGCAGAGAGCTAACATTAACCTTAGTTAACAAAAACGAACTTGAACACTAATAAATATAATATAAAATGAAATAACTAAATGGATATTAGACATCCACGATTTAAAGTTTGAGAAAGTATTTTATTTTGGTACAAATAATTAATTATCAAAATCGATTTCTTTTAACTAATATTCAATATGATTGAAAACCTTATTTAAATACATATACTTTCAATTCAAATGTAATCAGAAAAAGTATAACTCATAGAACATCATTACTTGAGTCACAAATTTTCATGTGTAAGATATAAACATTTTTCAATGAAAGATGAGAATAATAAGAAACAAGTTAACTGTAGAAGACAAGAGAAAATAGAAGTTGCATCTTGTGAATGTGAATACAGCTATGTATTTCTTAGCTAGTAAAGTTCGAGAAAATATTTCATTCGCTTAAATTAAGCCATGGAATATATATATATCTTAACGAACATATTTTTTTTTCCATTGAAATAGCTGGTTAAGTACAAAACATGAAATGCAAATGAAGAAAATGTGTGCAAGTGAACATGCGATTGCTTACATGGAGTTCCAGTATCAATATTAAAAAGGTTTTCAATACGTTCATATTCCAAACTTAGTGGCACAACTGGAGTGAACATTGCGAGGGATCTGATAAGCTGATAATCCGAATCGTGCTCTTTTCCCCACATGAAGTTAGGTAACGTCTTGACGAACGTCTTAAATATCGACGATTATATCCACTCTGGAGAAGACTCGCCCGTAATAATTAAGTTGGCAGCTACCTCAGGCGGAAAAAGCACACTCAATACTCTCATTCTCTGAACTTACATGGCCAGACGAAGGACACAATTCTCAACACCATTGTTGGGCTCGATTGTTATTGCCAGCGTTTTTGATTAATCAGAAGTTTGATTTTTCCGATCTACTGCTTTAACGCAGCGCCTGCCTCGTCTAATTTTTCCAACCAAATCTCCGAAATACTTTTGTCGTTCGCAGTTCTCTTCAAACGTGGGACAGAATCAGAAGGGGCTAAACTATTTAATAAAATTTAATGTAATTTAGAGTGAAGGACTCGGTGACTGGCATTGGCAGAACAGGGGACGCAGACATTTTGCGAAGGGACGGGAAAGGGAAAGGGAGTGGAGTGATTGGGGGCGGGGGATGGGGGCCATCGAGGCATCGAGTTCAGCTGAATCATCGGCCATCGACGAAGGCGCATGACGTTGGATTGTCCAGAGCTGGCCGCCGTGCTTCACATGTAGGTTGCAGCTCGTTTAGTGTAGTTTCACATTTTCGGTGGCAAGTGTGATGGCATCAGCTGCCAGGCAAGGTGTGCAGAGATCGCTGGCCTCGTGCTCGAGAGCAGCGGTACGGTTTTGTAACAAGAGCGGCCCACAAAATTCCAGCAGTGGCTCCAGTTTCGCCTCTCGCTTGCAAACCTGTAGTGAATCTAATGTAGGAACCAGGACAGGATCATTCACAGCTCCACGGTCGCCCACTGCGAGCTCTTCTTCTCCGTTTACTGCAAGTCGATCCTCGCCTTCTTCACCAATTGGCGGTCGGAGTTTTGCTTCTCAAATTGTCAGGTATAATTGTATGGTCCATTCCTACCCATGGAACAAGTTCACTGTTCTTATCAACACCTTGGACGTTTTTTTTTCTATTTCGAAATCGTGCTTTGATCTTCAGATCTTCAGATCTTCAGATTCGATCAGTGAGACTCGAGTTTCAAAATTTTTTGGAGATTTTTGGCAGTCACAGATGAGTGTTCGAGGAGAAGACTGCAGGGTTTAGGGTTTTGTACCACACGTAAACTTCCATATTTGCTTGCCTAGAACGAGGTGGCAATTTCTGGAGAGAAGAAATTGACCTTTCGCTTCCTTTAATTCAACTTCCTACAAAACGATAGCTCAAAACTTTCATCCCAAGCCAGACATTGGGAGGAAAGACTAAGCTGAAGTTGGTCAGCTAGATCCTGTTTAAATGACTCTGTTTTGAGAAGTTATTCCTCCTTATTCTGGAAGAATTATACTGATTAATTCAGAATTCGGGCAACCTGCTTGTTGCTTCAGTATTCATGTGTCTACTAGAAGAGCAAGATCGTTTTGCTGCTTCAGTAAGAGCAGAAGTCAAACGAGGAAATTTATTTCGTATTACTTATAAACTAGGGCCTTTGTTGATGCTCTTTCATGAAGAATGGTAGGGGAAGTTAGCACCACTTACCTAGATCTTGATAATGCAGGCTATAGACTCTGACAAACTGTCGTTTCCAGACTACCTGGAGAGATCGGAGTCTTGCAGTCTATGATGCCCCTCTACAGTGCAACAGCTAACTCGAGGCTGGTTTCGAGAATTGGCACGAATGGAGATTCACCTATTCTTCAGGGTACGCTCACGCACATCTCCCCAGAGCTCTAACATTCAGGCTGAATGTTTCCCCCGCTACTAAACGTAAGCATTCTGAAATTAAGTCCTGACGTTTTGCTTGCGATCATGGTTTATCTCCTTGAGTATGGCGACAACTAGAAGTGGTCAGATGTCTCAGGGTCAGGAAAATTTAAGTTCTTTGTTTTGAGTAGTTTAGGCAAAATGTTGTTAACTGCAGATCATCTGCATGGAATGAATAGACTAGACGCGCTTTTGGTTGTCTTTCAGGTATGTATTGCTCAGTAGAGATTGTTTACTTTTTCATTTAGTCATGGTATGATGACTTGAATGGTCAGATGATGAAGACGGTACATAGCGCAGAGGACCAGCCCTGGACGGGTTAGTGGATGACTTTCACACTCAGTACAGTCTTGAATCAAGTACTGCACGGCTGATCCTATGCCATGCCGTTTGCCTAGATGACTTCGATGGCACGTGACGACCCGCATGGTATTCAAGGACGATATGCAGAAGCCGAAAGCTTGTCACACCTAAAGACATTCTCTTGTAGGCAGAGGTTTGATCACAGTGTTTACTCTGGCAGCATTGATTTCAATCAATGTGCACAAAGTCCTTGTGGAAGCGGATCATTGAAAGCAAAATTTAATTCTTGAATTTGTTGGATATCCATGGCTAGCTTTGTCAATGCGAATGGACCAGAACATCAACCAAAGCTCATGCAGGTGCAATCTCACCTGTCACCAAGAATACATTCCGCACGGTCGTATGATGGAACTCCACATCTGAATTGCTGGAATAGCATAGTACAAGTTGATTGTGCAAGAACTGAAGCAATTGAGTTTCCGGACTTGTTTATGTACAGCCTACAGTTCAATTGTTTCAATAGTGAATGCAAATTTGTCCATTCGCGAGGTAACTGCTGATGGCTGGCTTTAGGGCCTGGTTAGCTGGACTGACGAAGGAAAGTGATACCTTGCTACTCAGTTACGTTGAACTAGAAATGCAAATTCTCTGTTTCACAGCTATTACTTAATGAAGTGTTATGATTGTCGCTCGGGACGACTGAGCTACCTTCTTTCGTTTTGTATCGTGTGCCAAAATCTGGTTTAAGCACCGGTGAAGAGAAGAGAAACCCTATTGTCTTTGACAAAAGCTCAGGGCATATTTTGTCATCTCTTTGACACCTTTCCTATGGTCTGAAGGAGGTTTAAACCTGGAATGTTTTGTTGCATTCTGGCACATAGTCTGAGCTTTTTCTGTCTCATGCACCTTTGTTTTGGGGGAGGTATTGAGTAAAATAGATACGAACTTTCTCAAAATTGAAGGTTGTCAAACAATCGAATACAACTTTCTATTACTCACTATCACAGACGTTTGAAATAGTGACGTGCTGTTACTCACCTGATTTGTTGTAATGCATGATCAGAATATTTACATCATTTCTTCATGTCAATCCATTTCACCCATTCAGTGGAAATTTTCTGCTTGCTCTACCAATGTGATAAAGAAAGCACCAGATTTCTTACCATTAATATTCAGGTAATACATAGGAATTATTACCCTGAATATTAATGGTAAGAAATCTGGTGCTATGTAGACATGAATTTGAGAATAGTTATATGGTGCCTGAATATGTTCCTGAAAGGACACTGTTAAGCACCCACACGATTGGGTTACAGATGTATGGTTGTCTGTCTACCTACCGAAGTCTTCTCTTTTGTAACCTTAATGTTGCCACTCAGATATTGAGGTCTAAGAGAAAAATACTGCTCTCGTTTCACGGGTTTTGAGTTCACATATCTATGAATTTGTTTTTCCTCTCGGTATGATTTCATCCTATCAACTGCTCGAAGCTTTGGAATGACCACCCCGGCCGAAAATCCAATTCCGTTCCAGATGAAAAGATCCCACAGGAAGGAGTCGCATCAACCAAATCCGACTCGATTGAAAAGAGACTAATTATTTAAATTTCGAAGGAATTTACACGGAACATTCACTGGGTAGACATTACGCATTTGAGCAATTGAAGTAAGGAAGTAGTTCCACTACAAAAAATAGTAATTGCAACACCAATGGGGAAAAGTCGTTTTTGAAGAAGTAGTAGGGAGATTGAATCAAATTTGACTGGATGCAAATTATCGCCTAATAACTTTTTCGCCACCTGTTTCACAGATTTATTCATCTATTCATTTATTCATCAATTACAAGGATTTGGATTTGCGGGAAGTCACCCTAGAAACGCATAGATTTGAACTTGTACAGAATGCGAAAGACATCAGACAGAAACCTTCCTCGATGAATCCAGCTTCATCGATTGGCAAGTCACATCTTCTCCAAGAAGAGTATCGGTATTGATTCGAGGAAAATAAGAGCTATGTTAATAGCGCCATTTCCTAGAGATTTTTTGCGAATTACCGGTAATTATTGTGGGTTGATTGAGAGGTATGCAATGATCGCCAAACCTTTAACTAGGTTTTTGAATGATAACACTACTCCTTCACAAGCTACACCGGAGACGTTAAAGGCTTTTAAGAAGCTAAAGCAACTATTGTTTTCAGCACCAATTTTACGAACATTGTTTTTCTCTTTTTTTATAGATCCATTTGGAGAAGGAGTGAGCATGTTGACACAGTTGGATGCTAAAGACCATCCCATATATTATGCTAGTAGTCAACTCCAGTTGGCAGAAATGAATTACACAATCACAAAATGAGAAGGTCTAGCGTTATTTTTGAGCTGAAGAAATTTTGACACTTCTTACTCGGTACAAGAACTAAGGTGGTAACATATCATCAAGCACTAGTTTATTGTTTCAACAAACCAAACGTTATGGAAAGAATTGCATGGTTGATAATTTCGCTTCAAGAACTGTGAAGGTAAAGAATTAGGTGTTTGTAATGACAGATAAATACCAAAATGCAGAATAATGGTAAAGATCCGATCCCACGAGGACAGAAACAACACAAAGATTACCAAGTGTCACGTATTTAACAGTCTATTGAGGAGTTTGAATTCTCATGCAACTGTCACTCCCAGAAATACTGCAGGTGCTAAATCCGAAAGACACACAATGCAACGTAATTCACACATCAATCCTGCAATTCTCCAATCCAACATCACAGAGTTCGATCTCGACCCTGTCTTGGTATTCGGGGGGGGGGGGGGGGGGGGGAATTTCTGAAAAGTACACTCAAGAACTACACGAAGCTTCCAATTATGAACTTGCTTAAATCCTGATCTAGCCAATTGCTACTCAGAACATTCGAATTGGTCTACTACCTCGTATGCGGTATCTTCGACAAAGCGAAGTATATCTCACGAGGTGACAAAACATTCAATATGTTTTCAACATTGCCTCGCACGAACTTGTAAGAAACACATCTAACTTCCTAGCTAACTGACGCTGCCTACTAACACTACACACTATCATTGCGGACGCACGACGCTTTAAATCTCGTAACTGCAATCAATTATGCGTGTCGACCTGCCATAATACAAACCCTCGCAGACGTCAATTCACTTTCTTGGTCAAGACATCGTTCGTCTGCTCCGCTAACTGTCAATTCTCCTCCTCCGCCTCCGACAGTTTCGCCTCCATCTCACATAACTGCTCCTTGGCCTGCGACCGCTAAGATTTCAGCTCAATGCACTAGGCCTCCAACTTCTCTATCAGTTCTTGGTCCGACATTCTAGCAGCCTTACACTCTGGTAGAGCCTTCAACTTCACTGCCAATTCGTCTGCGTGAACTTAATCCTTCTTCTCTGAAGCTGCAATCAGTTCGTCTATTCTTTGCGACTTCGCGCTGAAAGCTACCCGCAATGCCTCCAGTCTATCCCAGAGATCGACTGTCGCACACTTGGTGACCTCAATGTCAGCCCGAAGATCCTCACTGGTATTTTCTAAAGACGTCCACAACTCTACTTCTTCGGCCAATCTTTTCCAAAGTACCTCGTGCTTCGCCTCTGTCTCTTGTAACTGCTGCTCCTTTGCTGCTGTTGCGGAAGTCGCTGCCACCTTTGCCCGCGTCCTATTACGCACTAACTCCACGTAAGATCTAATGTTGGTGGTAACTGCATATTTCCCAAGCTTGCTATCGAGATATCGGAATAGTGGGATCACCTGCCCACACATCACGTATGCGGCATTGACTCCTTCCGACTGTATCTTCTCCGCCGAAGGATCCTCGCCGGTTTCCAATATAACCGTCCCTATGGACGTCCGAGGTGACGCCACCTGCTGCGGTGCAGCTGTTTTTCCTACCACGCCTTCCATTACCCTCTCAGCGATCGTCTTTAAGGCCACACTGTTCTCCTCTATGTGCAATGACACTGTCAGTACTTCGGCTGACTTCTGCAAATGAGCTCTTACCCTGGTTTCCGCCAAAGGAACTTCATCCCGTCTTGTAGTTACTTCCTCCGTCATGATAGCTTTACCTTTCTCCTTCCTCGTTGCCCGTCGGATCACTACTGGCGTAGGGCTCACCACATAAGTCCGAAGGTTCTTCTCCACTGGCACTTCCTTCTCTTTCATAGCAGTCTCTACATTCAACCCCGCTCCCGCTTCTGGATTGGAATGACCTTGCAAGGCACCAACTCTACTCTCCGTGCTGCTATCAGCATCTAGTATCAATCGCCTTGCTTTCACCTTCGTCATAGCCCAAGCATTAGGCGATCTGAACTTGATAGAAACTGTCCTACACTCACGTTCTTCAGTCACAACGACCTCATGAAGCTTCCTTCTCTTCCGTGGCCGCTCTTCTCGTCTGTCCGTGGGTCTCTCTGTTCTCCACGGAGGCAAATTAATCTGCTTGTCCTCTGAATCAGTATTGACCTTGATGAAGCTTCCTTCTCTTCCGTGGCCGCTCTTCTCGTCTGTCCGTGGGTCTCTCTGTTCTCCACGGAGGCAAATTAATCTGCTTGTCCTCTGAATCAGTATTGACCTTGATGAAGCTTCCTTCTCTTCCGTGGCCGCTCTTCTCGTCTGTCCGTGGGTCTCTCTGTTCTCCACGGAGGCAAATTAATCTGCTTGTCCTCTGAATCAGTATTGACCTTGATGAAGCTTCCTTCTCTTCCGTGGCCGCTCTTCTCGTCTGTCCGTGGGTCTCTCTGTTCTCCACGGAGGCAAATTAATCTGCTTGTCCTCTGAATCAGTATTGACCTTGATGGCACTTAGAACCTCTTCTCCTTCCTGCGCGTGAGTTCGCATCGAAAACTTCCTCCTCTCTACAACAGTTAACAGCCCCATCACCCTATAAAAATTAATCAAGAATGGGGACCGGTAATTGGCCGATCCTCCTGGAAGTACTCCAATGTGTTGTCGGGTGGCAGTCTAGAAGATTTGCGCCAAGTGAATGCGATCTCCTCACAGTGCTCGTTCCACAAACCCAACCTGCCAAGTCATCATGTTCGTGATCCGAGAAGGTTGAAGGATCTGCATTAACGCCATCGCCACATTCCTCCTGAAACGATCATGGTACCCTATGATGCGATATCCATTCTTGCCGGTGCGTTAGTTCTTGAATAAAGCTGCATAGGACTTCTATTCCGCTCGCGTTACCTTGACAATCTCACTATCGAAGGTAAGGTCGCCATCATCTCCTCCACAACTCCCCAAGACTTTTGTCAAATCCCAACTTTGCCAAGTCTCGAGATTTCCTCAATAGCCTGATGGCTTCGGTGTGCCATCGTTCTACCACTCCTGCACCATCGATGCACATACCCAATTCCAGCTGCAAAGCAAGAAGTCCATCTCTGCAAGAATCAATTTACCACCATAAGCTCTCAATCCTGACTTAGGAACTCTCAGTGCGATCAATCGAATCGATCGCCCCATAGCTGCTTCCTCTCGCTCGAGCTTTCGCACCACGATCCTTGTCGATTTGCGATAGTGTGATTGTGAAATATGGAAACCGAACTCGTGCCCTCCCGGATGTAACCCGCCGTCGCAATGGTAGATTCAACCCGTGCAAATTGAAGATGCCGCCATTCAAATTTCTTTCCCTTGCGGCGCCATCTTTTACTCGGCTAGGGATCCTTCACCGGAAGAGCTTCAGAGATAACTCCGAATTCGTCATCGCCGAATACCGAATACCCGTGTCCGAATACTGACCTAGGTCTTCGAAGAAGTTGGGTCTTCGACCGTCGTCCCGTCGCTTGAGTCTTCCTGATCCGTTCCTTCGGCTTAGGATCTCATGGGCCTCCGCCGGCCAAACTCTTCTCATGACGATCCTTCGTACTTCTTATTCCTACTTAGCATCTATAGTAAAAAATTTTATTCTCTTCTATTCTAATTACTACTATGTCAAAAGTTAAAACTTGCATGGATTTTTCTTACTAACTATATTTTTGAATAATAAAAAAACTGCACAACCACAATGTTCAAGGCGGGAGACTTGATGATGTTATACTTCAGATCGAAGTGTCATGCCAAAATGAGGCGTTGAGTAGTAGTAAATCAAAATGATGTTGTCCAGGAAATCCTTGACCTTTCGTTTGTCGTATACGCCACTTCCGTCCTTTGCAATTCTGTGAGCTTCCAGCAGAAGTTCCTTGATAACTATTCCTCCAAGAGAATGACCCACCAAGACCACGGGTTTTGACCACATCTCTTACTCCTTTCCAGGGTTATGCAGGAATATGCTGGCTAACAAGTTTTCTCTTATTAGGTCTTGTCTCCCGTTTCTCGATGTAAGCTTCAGGCTAAGATCGTAAGAGGCAGAAAATATCCGGGCACCTTGCACTTCTTCCGCCAGCCAAGCCTCTGGCCACACAACTTCGGCACCGCTAGCATTTTGACATTTTGACGAAACCCAATCGCGCAAATAGATATTACCAATGTCCTCTCCATCATTACAGGGCCCGTGGAAGAAGATGATGGACATTTCGAAGGCAGCTCTCTCATTGAGGGCGTATAGGTTCTCACCGAGCTGCTTCTCGAATGGAGGTTGGATCCGTGACCTTTCTGCGAGCATGGTTCTGAAACAAAAAAAATCAAGACAGCGATCATGAGTCGATAGGAGGAACACAAAACCTTCTTTTGCTCCAAATTAACGATCAGGAGCAAGCGGAAAGTCAGCTGGTGTCAGCAAGTTCAACCTCACGCAGGAGTGTTTGCAATAAACCTCAAATCTACACTCTGCAATAGATATATGGCAACAATACTGCTACATACATCGCCAACTACGTCGAGAATCCGACCAAAAGTTAGCAGAGGAGCCATATGCTCCATCAAGAGTACAGACGGGATCCTTGCAACTCATCCAGCAGCGACAACTTACTCCGATTAGGCTTGGTGCAAATTGACAAGCTGCGAAAGATTTCATTCCAACGAACCACGCCAGGAGTCTACTGTGAAGAAGATTGCACTCGGAGCCTCTGTATCTTTGCTGGAATCCTTTGTGGGCGAAAAACACAGCATATTATAGTCGTGATGTTTTGTGAATGTAGCTTGTTCTAGGATCTAGTTTTGTTTTTCTGTCAGAGACATTAATATCTCTCACGAGCTGCAGACGTTCGATGGACGCGATCGCATCAGAGCTTTGATTGGTGAAGGTAACTAGAAGTGGACCTCGTTCGTCTTTGCGAGCAGAATCGTTCAGCTGCACTCGGAGAGTGACCTTCTGGAGTTCTCATTCACAAAGACATGATAGTTCCTTCTATCTACTGAAATGCAAGACACTAAACCTCTTTCACATCTGAACGACGAACAAAATTCTCGATTCATGAGTCCAAACTGACAGACGATATCACAGTTAATACGATTAAAGCCGATTCTTGCTCTTGCTCTGATCATAGAATGTAACTTCTCATCTGCATGGTCCAAATGCGGACATATGTTTTCTCCTCTCGTCTTTGACTGAGAATTCGAAAAGGAAGTGAATCATCAATAGAAAGAAGAAACGATAAATCAAGTTCATCAGTTAGCTGCAATTCTCCAGGCATGGAAATAAAGATGTCAACGACGGAAGAAACTTTGCGAGGAATCCATATACTTCTCTATTTACTTACGAATAAAACTACTATCTGGTTCGATTAGATATAAAAACCGACCACCATGGTCAATTTGAGACATCAAAGCTATAATGCTCAATCCATTTTATATTAGTAGGCCCGAATCTGCACTTTAAAAACAATGACAACTGCACACAAACTGTCCTAACATGAGCTTTGGATACAGCTGTAAAATTCCAGGTGGAAATAAAACTGTAAAAAAAGAAGTACCACTTTTCTCAGATTCTATCAATGCAGGAGACCGTATGTCTCTCGTGTCCAGCAGAGGTTTACATTCACTTTACTGTAGGTACAGTCTTACGATATTTACATGCTTCTTTGACATGATTAAGAGTACTTGAAATTGCCCATTTTAGTTGAATATCACATTTCCAATGAATCATCGTTGGTAGTGTGCACCTAGGATATATATTTATACCACGGCGGTCATGAGCTGCCCGTCACCTTTCCATTTCTTTTGTGCTCTGATACTAGTTGATGCGTTTTTGGCACAGGTTACATTGTTCGGAGTCCATTCTTTCCAGAGTTATATGAAATTTGCTGGACTTGTACTAGGAGTGACGTCCTAACTTGCTGATCAATATTTTTCCGAATTTCTCTCATTTGACACTTTCATAGTAGTATGGCATTTGAGTAAGGTTTTCAGATTCACGGGAGCTACCTCAACTAGCATGAGTCCCACCATTATAATATAGACATGACGTAATTTGGGTGAAGAATCTGCAGGAGCTCCTACAGATACAGAGAGGCATAGAGCGGATATCGCCCACTGTCAAATGTACACAACGAGTCGTCGGAATCTATTCACTACACTACGGGTTGAGAGCTCTACAGCGAGGTTCTCTTCTGATTTCACCTTTTCAGCCATTTCAAGGGGCACACAACAAGGAGCCGCAGTATGCGAGAATACCTTCTATAGACTAACCCCATCGTACAAGGCGATTTTTCAGTGCTGAAATGGAAAAAGGTATATTTGTATATAAAAATTAACATAACGTGTAATACATTGTCGTGAGATTCGGATATCATTGAAGAAAACAACATAAAAAATTAGTACTAAACTCAATAGATTCCGTACTTTATTCAGAACATACGAAAGTTGCCTATTTAGAGAGGCCTGCTCATGAGGCTCACTCGTCTATGTGACCTACACACTGTGTAACATTGGGCCAAGAGGCTTCCCGAGGAAACTCAGCAACCGAACCCCACAAGGAGGAACCTCGTAATCGGCTAGCAGAGGAGGTATTTTCTGATTGCACATATGAGATGGTCTGGAGGGATTGAGGATTTCGATTGAGCGATAAGCTGTCGCTCAATTGAAATCTGGAAGCGATCAGAAATGAGCTTTGTGTTGTCGCTGAGAACACAAAAGCACTTATGTTAGCACTTGTCTACTGACGAGGAGGAGAAGTAAATATATCACATACTCTCCATCGTTCTTCTAGAACGGGCGTCGATTATACAAATCAAATACAATGTCTCTGCCCCCTGCGGATTCAGCCACTGCCGCGCTGAGGGTAAGGAAATCACAATTATCTATGCAAAATACAGTATAGCAGTTCTGGAATGTGTTTGCGCTATTTCCAATTATTTGTTGAAATCTAAGAATCTCAAAGCTGCATTACGTAAGATCGGTTGACGTTGTCTTCGCTGATCTGCATCAGGTCAATCGGTTAAGCGACTCTATATACGAACTTTACAAGCCAGGAGTTGAGTCACTGCTGGACATTGTATTCTTTCATGGCCTACAATTGTCACACACCTCTGATGCTCACGTATCTACATGGAGGTCACGCGGTTCTCAGAAGGAAGTATGGCCGATGACCTGGCTCCCGGAAGAGTTTCCAAGAGCTCGGATTCTCTCTGTCAATTACGATGCTTGTATCACGACATCAGCAGAGCGTGGAAGATTAGACCTCTACTGCACAGCTGAAAGTTTGATGGAAGATCTTAAATCTGCAAAGGAGGGGCAGCATCCCTGGCGTCCAGTTATACTTGTCGGTCACAGTTATGGAGGCTTGGTGATCAAACAATTGTGCCTCCACGCGCACTTCAGCGAAAGCTTGGATCGCTCTCAGTCCCCAATGGCTGGATTTCTCAACTGCGTCAGAGGAATTTTCTTCTATGGAACGCCCCATCGCGGAATGTCATCTTTCTTTAGTCCGAATGGAACAGAGCTGAAAGATGCTAGCCCTCTATTGAAATATGTGAAGGTGCTTTGCGCAGAATCAGCTCGCCTTCATCAATATTTTGATTCTTTACGTTTGATCCACAAGTGGAGCATTGCTGGAGTCGGAGAATCGAAAGTTACTCTATTTTTTACGCCTGTGAGTGTAAGACTGAGTTACGTTCACTATGTGAAGTGTTTGTTCTTTATTTTACTCGTCTTGAATTTAACCTGCTGAAACAGCATCAGATCTGCATCAACATATGATGGTTCGGAACCCAGTATTTTTTTGAGATTGTTCGGATATCATTTACAAAGATCCTGATGGGATTCATAAACTTGGCTGAATTCCGGTTTCATTTTTTGAAAATCCATCCAACATATGAAGAATTTCAAATGACGAGTCTGACCAGTGGTTTGTTCTAACCTGTTTCCAAAGTATAGGAAGGGAAGTCTCAGAGTGAGATGATTGTAGGCGAGGGTTCAGCTCGGTACCACAACTTCACTATGGAAGCTGAGGATCATTACTCTCTCTGCCAGCCCGAGAGCAGGACGTCAAATACTTACAAACGGTTGACAGCGTTCATTCAAAGTACTGATATCAAAAAGGTTGCTCACACGAACATGTCCTCCTTGGCTGTTTGTATTTTTTCTCAAGAAAAGCAAAGATTAGCCCATGATACCCTCTTTTAGATGTATGGGAGCCAAAATAGAGTCAAGAAACCAGACGAATTTATTGTGGGAGTCCATCCATAACTAGATCACTGTCGACAAAATTTCAAATTGCGGCTTTCAAGCAAGAGGCCATTCTAGTTGTGTGAGATTCTTCCTGACCTCGAGATCTAAATTGCGTTTGGCTACTGTGATTGGATATAGGTGGTGCCATCTTCGGCACTTATTGAGGTCCCGAAGATGGCAATGATGCTACATTATATCCTCTTTGAAAAGGTTCAAGATATCTTACGCATAGCTCCAGCAATAGCTCTTTGCGGCATGGGCGGTATAGGGAAAACAACTCTCGCGAAGCTGTTGTTCAATAAGCTGAGTGCTGAATTCGAATATACTTGTTTCCTTCAGTTGCCGAAGGGAGAAATCAATGGAGATTACATGAAAGAGCTAGAAGGCAGAGTGTGTTCGTCGATGCATCACCATGGCTTGAAGGTTGCTCTTATGGGGAAAGTGTGTGATTGGACTCATTTGACGCTAAAAAGACTTCTCCTTGTTCTGGATGACATTGACAATAATCGCCATGTTGAATTTCTCAAGCATATATCTTCGGTGAACAATTGCGCAAACAGTCGGTACATTGTTACCTCTCGAAGCTTAGAATATTTGAACAGATGCATTGTGACCTCTGGAGATAGGGATATTGACGCATGCGTGTTCAACGTGGAATACTTGAATTTCAAGAGCTCCAAAGAGTTATTTATGAGTCACGCTTTTCCTTATCCGACCAAACCGAGTCCATCACTTGCGGAATGGGTAGACAAGATCGTCGCGAAATGTGACGGACTACCATTAACCCTGGAGGTGATGGGCAGTTATTTGAAGAAGAAAGACAGTGAAAGCATATGGAGTCAGTGTTTCGACGCTCTGGATGAAGCAGAAAACATTTCCGATTGGGATGAACGGTTGTGGGCGAAGTTGGAAGTGAGCTACAAGACTTTAAAGCCTGATGAGAAAGAAATATTCCTTGATGCTGCGACTTTCTTCAACAATTCCATCTGGAACCTGCGAGAAGCTAAGTCTTGCTGGCGTGTGCTCTATGGCTACCAAGATATACGATGTAGGACTTTGGTAGATTTGTGTCTCGTCTACGATGTAGGCGAAATGGAAGGGATACAAATGCACGAGCAAATGAGGTCTTTGGGAATGAAATTGGCTAGGACATGGGGAAATAATCGCATATGTAGGACTTGGACTAAGAGCAATGTCCTCTCGACGTCATCCAACACTAATATGAAAATTGAGGTATGAGATTATGTTCAAAAGCTCCGACTCTTGTCTTTTCTGTAGAGCACTTGGAGACGTCAAATATCGGTTGTTGATGTAGACTACTGAATTTCACAACACTTGAGGCGCGTCATTGTTATGTCGGTTTTTCTATTTCCATGACCTTTTCTTTTGAAAACGGCCGTTTCAGATATTCATTGCCCTTCTTGGCGGTCAATGTACTGCTTTCTGGAACTCAAAAAACTTTCTAAGTAGATCCTCTGGCTTCTCTGCAGAAGTGTCTTTCAAAGCACTTCACTGTCACTCAGCGAGCTGCTTTTCAAAATAAGCAATATATTTTTATAAAGTCGCAGCCTTCTTCAGAAACGTAATTCGAAGCACCTCGTTAGCAATCAACGTACTTGCTTTCCTAGTCGAACCATCTCTTTTTAGCGATCAAACGACTTTACTTTTGTTATGTCATTGACATCATACGGTCTCTTTATCTTGCTCTTGATGGATTCATCAAGTAACGTAGTCACCACACAGCGGTATTGGGTTTGCCCATCCTGACCCTATTTGGACTTCAAAACGAGGAGCGTCTTGTTGGCTTTCCGACCACGAGCATCCCAGCCAGCCTACGAACAAGTAGTTTCTGTTGAGCGTGTGCTCTCTACTCTTCACTCAATCTGGGCTTTCCTATTAAGGATGTCATTGACTTCCAACCTGAAGACTTGATGTATCTGATCACCTGAAGACTTGATGTATCTGATCATCTGAAATGCTATAAGTCTTCTAGGTCAAGTTTAGATAGTGTACTATATATGTGGCTTGGGATGTGAACTACGCCCTGGGTGTTTTGGTGCAGGAGGTCATAACGCTTCGACTTGAAGACTCGATGCCCCTCAACTCCAGCAAAATTGGCGAGATGAAGAAGCTACGATATTTGGATTCCAAGAAGGAGTTGATGTTGGATGAAGTAGGTGGCATGCTTTCAAAAACCGTGGTACTTCTTCGACTGCGTGGAAAAGTGAATAGTCTTTGTGACCTGGTCGACCGAGGTCGTGACCGTTTGGCTGTTTTGGACTTGAAGGCACCGCTCACATGTTTGCCAACAACCGTCAGCGAGCTGCGAAACCTTGAAATCTTGAAGTTCCAAGACTGTCTCTTCGAAGATCTTCCCGAAACGTTCGGACAACTTCCCAGGCTTCGTCATCTGACATTTAGCAGTTGCCACAGACTTCGTTCACTCCCCGAAGCGGTCGGACGGCTCTCGGAGCTGCGGTGTTTGGAACTTCATCACTGTTTCAATTTTATAGCATTTCCGGACTCGTTCGTCCAGCTCCCCCGTTTGGAGAGTTTGATCATGACGACACTGCGCAATCTTCAAAGGTTGCCTGAGGGTTTCGGAAATCTGTCCCAGCTACAACTGCTGATAATATCAAAAGCGGATGTAATCTCAGAATTGCCTGAGAGCTTCGGCCAGCTCCCCCGTTTGGAGACTTTGATCATGATGACACTGCGCAATCTTCAAAGGTTGCCTGAGGGTTTCGGAAATCTGTCCCAGCTACAACTGCTGATAATATCAAAAGCGGATGTAATCTCAGAATTGCCTGAGAGCTTCGGCCAGCTCCCCCGTTTGAAGGGTTTGATCATGGACCAACTGCCCAATTTTCAAAGGTTGCCTGAGGGTTTCGGAAATCTGTCCCAGCTAGAAGGGCTGATGATAATAACTGGGGATAAATTCTCAGAATTGCCCGAGGGTTTCGGAAATCTGTCCCAGCTAGAAGTGCTGGTGATAATAACTGGGGATAAATTCTCAGAATTGCCCGAGGGTTTCGGAAATCTGTCCCAGCTAGAAGTGCTGGTGATAATAACTGGGGATAAATTCTCAGAATTGCCCGAGGGTTTCGGAAATCTGTCCCAGCTAGAAGTGCTGGTGATATCAACTGGGGATAAATTCTCAGAATTGCCCGAGGATTTCGGAAATCTGTCCCAGCTAGAAGTGCTGGTGATATCAACTGGGGGTAATTTCTCAGAATTGCCCGAGGGTTTCGGAAATCTGTCCCAGCTAGAAGTGCTGGTGATATCAACTGGGGATAATTTCTCAGAATTGCCCGAGGATTTCGGAAATCTGTCCCAGCTAGAAGTGCTGGTGATATCAACTGGGGGGGATGAATTCCCAGAATTGCCTGAAAGCTTCGGCCGTCTCGCTCGACTGCAATGGCTGATTCTCGATTTTATGCCTGGCCTCCAAGCTTTACCTGAAACTTTTGTGGAGCTTTCGGAGCACTCGAGTTTGATTGGTGGGCGGCATTTCCACCGTAAAGGATCCGATGATTTGAGCCGTGACGAAAATCCTGATATAACAGCAAAACTTCTTCGTTCAGATTTTATCAAGCAATTCTTGCTAGGACCTGTTGCTAGTTTTGGAAAGGAAGTCGATCTCCTTCATGACATAAATGAATTATTTTGTGAAGAACGGATTCATTGAAGAACCCACAACGATATGTTGTGGGAGTTTAGATGGTGCCTATTAGGATAGATACGCACGCATACGCTTAGCGTATCTAAGGCCAACTGATGCAGAGCAGTAGGCCGCCAATTCCTACCCGCTATTTACATCGATTTAAAGCGTTACGTGAGGTTTCGCGTAGTTGGAAATGAGCTTGCAGAGCTATTGTTGACGAAGTATGAAAGTGTAACACACAACTGTGTCGACCGTATTGTGTAATGTATCCCTAGTCAAATGTTCTTCAACATTTTGTGGTTTATTACATTTGTGGTTTACCTCGACTTTCTAGCTAGAAGGTCATGCTCCATATCTGCAGTTTTGCATATCCAACACCTCTTCTAATTTAGCGTCTAGACTTAGATGAGAACTATATTTCCATGAATGTAACCTAATTTCCGTTAGTGTTAGTTTGCACAACCAAACATTCTTCCAAAGATCCAAATATTTTCTGTTCATTTTCAAAGTGGTGAATGCTATTTCCTAGCGAAATCGGATCCACTGTAAGTCATTACGAGTGGTGAATAAGCATTGTGCATTCTGTTGCATTCTAACTGAACTCCATGAAGCATGCTCCAAATTAACGTACTCAATAAACTTGGTTCTCTTGTCCAAATCAGAGCATCAGTATAAGGATTGTCTGCACCTTGGGGATCCTTACTCAAGCAAGACAATTTACATACAATCTATACCACTTACGTTTTTACATGAGATATAGCCTACGCGTCTCCGTTTTGCAATCACGAGCACAAATGGAAATTTCAAATCGAAAACACGATCCGTAGTCGATTTTTCCATTTCTTTCTCCTTACTTTCTTGTCTCGCAGTCTTCCATTTTTTTTTGGGATTGTTGATTAATGTGGTAGTGAACAAGAAAATACTTTCATTGTTGAGATTCTGTGTAATTTGTCTCATTTCGGTGAATTTCGGTCAGACTGTTAAAACAAGAAATGCTCTTCATAACTTGGACGATCTAAATACTGCTCACGATTGTAAGCCGAATCTTTTCCTTTTGTTGCACCCACACTTGATTGTAAGAAGACCTGTAGTGTAGTTGTAAGTTCCGCATCTTTTACACAGAACATGCACCGAACAAATCCTTCCTCATGCAGACAGAACGATATTAGCAGAAGGTATTTGTCAACTAGCTCTGACTCAACAGATGATGGCATCGGAATGAATAATTCTGCACAGAAAATCGGCACTTTTATTAACTTTGTCTCGACTTGGAGACAACATGTAACTGATTAAGAGTCCTGGATTTCATTGTTCACAAAGAAATGTAACGTACGCTGAGGACACATGAATCGCACTACGTATCAGTCATATCATCCTATGAAACGCTTTTGAAGATGAAAAAGTACTCGGTTCAAAAAAATTGGTCCGATAAGACTTGATGAGATCAAAAGGATATGGTATAATCTTTTTCAAGGTTAGACTTCTAAGATATCTGTCAATATGCTCATGGTATTTCGTGCTTTTTTGGGCTGCAAGACTTTCCATGTCAAGGAGATTCAAAAATCTCCTTGGTATGATCTGTTGCAACGTGCCATCGTTTGTAGTATGTAGTTGAATATAGGTATCCTGTAGAACTCGTGATCAGGTCGCGTTCACTGTTCAGTACTTGAGCTGTGTTGAAGGCTTCAGTTTATTTCAATTGGAAGCAGTCTGGGATCGTTGGGATGGGGCGAGTGGCACGAGGTAGAGTCAGGTCGACCGAATCCAATACGAATACATGACGGTATACGGTATACGGTATACGGAGGACAATGGCCCCTTGGGCCTGGTGCGTCCGGTTACCCGCCTCACGCCTTCAGCTGAGCGCCTCTATCAGCTGCATGACTGACCGCCTGGCCTGTTGTGCGGAAGACGGAAGGCGTGGTGTTGGGGCCCCTACCTCGTCTGCATGCGGGGATCATATAAATCACATAATACTGCTTCATTGACTTCTGGTGATTGATCATGATAGCAGGTGTAGATTGGTCCAAGGTTCCAAGGTTCCAAGATAGTGGGCAGATGAATGTGTTTGAACCGAACGAGAGTTGAAAGACTTTGAATTCCAGCTGCAATAGTGTCGTCAATGCATTGGGAGCCACTGACTATTCTGCTCAGTGCTTTGTTTCGGAGCTCGGTCGTTCCTGTGGAGTTTGACTCCAAGAGCACGAGATGGACTTGTGTTGGTATAAGAAAGTGCGGTACAGGACTCTAGAAACACTCGAAGATCTTAAAGTTCAGTTCTGATCCACTTAAGCCATTACCACAGGATTCTCCTTCGCCATTTTGATTACGGGAGTGAGTTACTGCAATCGCCCGTCTGCAGACCGCTGGGATCGACCTCCACATTTTTCCATCGGCGCAAGGCCTGGCTTTCAACTCTTGAGGGCCGAACAGACCATCGCACGTCGATTTGCGGCCAGCGCAGTCTGCAAAGTCAATCGCCATTTCACATTCGGAGCTTCACATTTCTGCGACGGCCTCGGCAATTCGACCAGCGTAATCGCGTAATCTGCCATGGATTTTCCGTAATGAGGAATTGGTGCCGGAGTCTCAACGGGGGAAGATTGCAGCAGAGTAGGAAGAAGGCGGCAAAGACCATCGTGAATCGAGCGACTCTCGAGGTTAGAAAAGTTCGAGGGTCAGGAGTGGCGAGCAGTCAGCAGGAGAAGCCGTCGGTGCGCCAGATTCATGTAAACACGGCCAGAAGCGATAGCGAGAGATGGATCGACTGCTCATCTTGGACCCGCAGGATCTAACCATGCGATTCGAGGTGGGCAAGAAGGCCGTGGGCATGGTACAGCTGACCAATGTCATGCACACGATGCCCGTGGCGTACAAGATTCAGACCTCGGTGCCAAGAAAATACAGCTTCAAGCCGCCGCACGCCATCATCCCGCCGCTGGGCAAAGTCACGATCGAGATCGCCATGAACGCGCAGAACGAGCTCCCGGAGTGCTTCCCGCAGTGCAGCGACAAGTTCACCGTGAAGAGCGTGGTGGTGCCGTCGACTGGTTCACCGCCCGACGGAAGGCGGTGTTCAGCGACACGAGGCTCCGCGTGGTTCTGCTCGGAGGCGGCATTCTGCGCGCCTTGGTGAGCAGGGCCGCCATCGAGCAGATGCGCGAGGTTCTCGACCTCGACCCAGCGGTTATCGACGCCCGGAGCCACCGACGAGCGCGGATGCACCGCCATGCACGTTGCCGTGGCCATGAAGCGCCCGGAGCTGGTGCAGATTCTGCTCGAGTACAAGGCCAATTTGGAGCTCGGCAACAAGACCGGGCCAGAGCGCGCTGCAGCTCGCCGCGCAGGCGGGCGAGGCGCTCATCACCGAGCTCCTGCTGGCCAACGGGGCCGCGACCGAATCCGCCTATGCCTTCGGCTGGACGGCGCTCCACTGCGCGACCGTCAAAGGCCATTGCGCGGTGATGCGGCTGCTGCTCGACGGGCATGCGAACATCGACGCGCACACCCATTCACATGGCCGTGGCCGAGGGCCACAAGCACTGCGTCCATCTGCTGCTCGAGAAGCACTGCAATGTGGACGCCCGGAGCGCGGATGGCGGCACCGCGCTGCACACGGCCTCCGCCCGGGGCCACGTCGCTCTTGTCAAGCTGCTGCTGGACCGGGGCGCCAATACAGACGTGCGGAATTCCCGAGACCGCACTCCTTTCGACGATGCCGCCGACGCTGGCCACACGCTTCTGTTCGATGTGCTTTTGCTGGGCGATGCTCTCCGACACGCTGCGCGCAGAGGCGAGCTCAACTCGGTGCAGAAGTGCGTGCATGAGGGTGCGGTGGTGGACGGCGACGATCAGTACGGGTGGACTGCGCTCCATCGAGCAGCCTTCAAGGGGCGGCTCGATGTGGTGAAGTTTCTGATCGAGAATGGCGCGGACTTGAAGCTCAAGGACGAGGAAGGTTACACTGCTCTGCACATGGCTGTGGAGTCGGGGCACAAGGAGGTTGTCCATTTGCTCGTCTCCAAGGGTGCCTACGTGAACGAGAAGACCAAGAAGGGACTGACCGCCCTACAGCTTGCCACGGCCATGAAATACGTGGGCATCGTCCGAATTCTCCTCGAGGGTGGAGCCAGCAGGAATGCCTCGATCGATCCCGACAGATGGAGACCTGTGGAACTCACCAACGACAGCTCCAAGGGCAGCTTTGGCGAGAGATATTTCTGCAGTTCAGGACTTCGTTCGGAAGTTCACTAAGTCTGGGGCTGTGCAGCAGCCGCTTGGCTCCTATTCTAAGAAACGAGCGCCGAAGCTCAACTTGGATTCTGACATCAGCTCCTACAGCACGTATGCTGCCTACGCTTAGCGAAAACAACGGGGTCGATACGGAGGAATTAATTTCTGTTGACAGAGGAAACAGAACATCTAAATCCCCTCCACCCATGTGTACAAATTTACCAAGGTTTTTGATAGGCGGGCAGGCAGTGTGGATAACAATTTTTACAAATTGGGGATCGTCGGGGAAACATTGTTTCATAAAGCTCTTTATTAGGATGCCCGATTCGACTAAGTTCACTTCGTGCACCGTGAACGAACTCCGAAACCCCGATTCAAATCATGGCAAGAACAAGATACAAACATGTATAATCACATTTGTTCATAACATTATATTGGGCCCAGCACAACACAGCACGAATGCTCACATTGAGCATCGAAATCGACTCTCTGAAATCTTCACGACCATTAGCGATCATATCGCAGCCTTTTGAGTAGTTAAACTTGGAGACTCCGAGACTTTCTGAAGCTGCTGTCGATTGGTCGTTCATTTTATGGAGAGATCCTAAAAATTAATTGAGTTACCGCAGACTCCGAATGCCTGTACAGAAAGTTTCTTTGATCTGGAGGGATTCGGACACCATGTCTGATTGTTTGCTTATGAAAATTCGACCAACCGAACACAGTTCCGTCGGTCCCGCAGGCTCTGCACTTCAAGGAGTGTACGCACATTCTTCACTACGTATTGTCTACACTCTGACAGTACGTGCAAGGCTTGTTAACGATGGACAAGTTCCTGGGGGCGTTGTGTATAGGATGATGGCTGCATGCTACGAGGGCTCGGTTGCGGATCACATCGTCTTATTCAAAACGCCTAGGACTGTATGTAGCTCGCCAACTCCACCTTGAGCATTGCTTTTCCCTTCCATTTCCAGAGGATCAGCATTCTCTGCTGATTGCGTTAGCGTTGAATGCTGACCCACTCAACAAACGCTCCCGTTCGCATGCTCGCCGACTCCCTATCCGCCCACATTGTCTTTTCTCCGCGAATGATTTTGCCGCTCCACCATGTCCATGCAATTGATGCGTCTGACTCGGAGAACGAATGTAAGTCTTCTTCAGTGAGCCTTCCTCCGATTGTTCCCACTACGTCCCATGTCTTATCCTCCTCCCGCACAGTTTATATCTTGGATCAATAGAATCCGCGGATTTCTGCTAAATTTGTAGACAGACATTTCAGTTGTTGACAGCTACATGTATGGCCACTGGATTTCTCCCACTTGGTTTCGTCGGGAGCTTCATGCACTCTCGCACCAAGTCTAAGACGTACACCCGGAGGCCATAGCCCTCAGACAAGTTTAAATCCTCGTCACCAATATCAATTCAACATCTTCTAATCATGCTCAATGAATGGAGCTCTTACTCAGTATTATATCTTAGTCAAAGGCAGTACTAGGGCATGTCTCATCTAATACAATAATCAGAACATGTAAATACTCTTTTATGTAACTCGCATTTCAAAAAGCAATGATAAATTATATGGTAATGGTAAATAGATCAACCCTGTGTGATCCAAAGGGTCAAAATGCTAATAAATACAATAGAAACGATCAGACTCCAAACTTTCACAGAACCAAAAGAAACACTTCGTTGTCTAAACACACTTCCTCAATACCAAGACTATGAGATACTGTTCTATGTCGAGCAATGATATGACGTGAAAATATGTAGAGATATCCGCAAGTAGTTATCCTTGCTCACAATAAACAAGCATATGAGTCACATGAAGTTGATAAAATTCCATTTCTGTGCCTAGTCTGATCCAAATAATGCTGAGAAATTACTCTTTAATATGGCCATAGTTTCCAAATCCTAATCAAGTTACGTCACATTCCATCTCAAAAATCAAGTCACAAGAACTGCAAATCATATATTGGGACGTGTGACGCGCAAAGCTTCAAGAGTAAGTTTGAAAGTATCAATAGATCTCACTCTTCTCACGTAGGTGATAGTCAAGAAGAGAGTTTCAGTCTCAAAAGGTAAACAATCTGTTTCTGCAGAAAGAATAGCATATGAATTTTGGATTCTCACAACTAATTCTTATTGTAGGAATACCTTTTACACCCTCCCCTTCTTACAACCAGAATAGTCACTTGTATTCCATATAAGATATCCAAAAACACTAAGCTCTTGAATAAGAATTGCCTAATACTCCAAAACACCAGATGAGTCACCCTACATCTATTTTGCAAGTAATATAGAGCTTTGAAACCAGCTTCTACTCTCTTTTGCACACAAAGTGCCCAACTATAATCGTGGGAGAAATCAATGCGTAAATATTTGTAACTTGCCAGTTAGACGTGGCAATGATTCCAGCAGTGCACTGCACTTATGCAGAAGTTTATAGTCCATGAATGTGTGGATGTGGCACAAATTTCCCATCTTTTCAAACAACTCTTTTTTGACTCACTTTGGGAATAAAATATACCTCGTCATTTTATCGTCAGCGGAACCTATACATTTTTCGACGCTTTGATCCCATCCTTCGTTCTACAAGATCACAAGAGCGTATTCTATCACATAACTTTATAATCTCACTATTTGTAATGAAGACATATTTCTTTTCCATCTCAAATAGCACAAGATCTGTCTATGATGTTATACAGTGGATTTGTTATCTTCAGTAAAAATTGTATATTTTTGACTTTTATGATTTAAGAATTTTTGTGAAGTACATGCAAGATTCATTAGTCAAATTAGCATTATTTTCTCCTATAGTAGATCATTTTTGACTTGAAAAGATATGGTAGTGTGTTATGAGCTATCAGTAAATCAATAAAATGTAATGAAAACTGAATTTTCAAAAAATATAGATGAAGAATTTGAATGACATATTTTTGTTTTTTTGCTTTCCATGTATTAAATTATTATAGATATGTGAGATTTACAACTCACTTTACATGGTTTGTCTTATAATAATGAGTCAATAACATATATATATATATATGTATATATAAAATAAGATTGTTAAATGATATGCAAACTATTTCAAATTGACATTTGATAACTAATAATGCATTTAAGCATAAAGATTATTCAAGTTTAATGTTAGCTAATAATCTACATCAATTGCAAAAAATCCGATCTTTATCATATAAAAAAAGTAATCGTCTAAGTAAAAATCTTAGTTTAGTTGCAACAAATAGTTGTAATTAAGTGTGATCATTACAGTATATATAATACACCTTGTGATTTCTATTTAAAAATACATAAAATCAGGATAATTAAATTTGGAATTTCTAATTTGTAGTTCCAATTAAGTCTGATCATTACAGTATATATAATACACCTTGTACTTTAGATTTATATCTATAATTTTGTTTAAACTAAAGCGAGATTGATATAAAAAACACTGGTTAACAAATTGATATAGATGTTTATTTTTTAATATTAACGCTCGTCTTGTTAACCTTAGTGAGTCTTGGATTTTATTTAGGATTTGAGATACTTAGAGTTAAGTTGAGATACTCTAAGATGATCACATTTTAGTTTAGTCTCGCTCGTGCATGTGCAAAAGTCTAAATGAAATTGAAGTTCTTACTTTAAAATCCTTTAAGATACGGACAGTGACTTATCATGTATATTCATTGTTCTTACTGATCTATAAACTAAAGAGTTTTCTAAATTCATGAAAGCAGAAACTCTTATTCTTTTCAGTCTAAAGGGACATTGAAATTCATCATTGTGATGGCATTACTGTCAGAAAGGGTGTCCCTGTAAGTTTTACCGCAAGCAACGACAAATCAGGTGCGAAGTCTTATTGTACATGACGCACAGAACGAATGTGGAGACTGTATCCCGGTTGCGCATAGTAGTATGAATGACCTTGTAACCTTACCGTCCAAATGCAAAGGTTTGCCATGTGCCGATGGACAAGCACATGAAAGAATAGGACCCAAATCCAAGCTTGGAATCTAGAGAGCTTAATCGAGAACTCCCTCGACGGAGTTCAGTAAAATCGATTGTCTTGTTGGAGTAACTAAAGCGAATGACATCAGAGTCTGTATTGTGGCATTCACATAGAGATGTAGGTTTAAAGGTGGAATGGATAATTTCTCCTGCCTGTGAATGCGATGGGATTCGATCGCCCGACCCCGATTCGATTGTACATCGATTGAACATTTTACGTGCAAAATCGCATACTGGTTAACGTTCTTGGCCTCGTAGTGGGGCGAGCGGAGGGTTTTGTTCGAACCCTACACAGACAAGTTTCAAAGGTGGAACTCGTTGTGACTGTCGTCGTGACTAGAAGTTACGTTCGTGTTTTGATTCTGGGCGAGACGATTCCAGCTTTTGTGTTGCCGCATGGTGGTACTCTTCTTGTGCATGGGACTCGTACTTTGAGCATTTGGGCACCACGTCGTCGAAAGATGTTCCTCTCTTTCCGAATTTTGAGGACGCTCTACACTCGGCAATTTGACTGTGGGTTGGCGAAGCGCGATATCAAGCTTCAGAAATCTAATACGAACATAACCGCACATTTGATAGGCGTATTGTCCCAGGCAGGGCTTGTGGAATTGGCGTCGCAGTAATATTTGTATCTCGCAGGGGCCTCCAAATTGCAGTATCCAGTGGAGTGGCTGAGAAATGTGGAAAACTGGTGCTTGTTCGCCTCAGCGTAACGTGAGAAGGCGAAAACAACGTGGTCAGCTTTGGTTGTGTGATAGGCTCGTTTTGTACGTCGTCTCTTCTTATTTGTGGCGAGTTTGTCGTGGAAGTGCAAGCAGGAAGGCGTAGTTGATTGTCGTCTAGAGATGGTAACTTCGGCGTTGAGATTTGGTTCATGTCTCGGAAAGAAAGACCTAGTGCCCTTTATAGGCAATGATGTTTCGATGAGGCAAAACGTGACGCCCAGATGGGCGAAAGATAGAGAGAACCAGGAAAGAAATCTGGCGTTAATCTTGTGCGAAGTTTGATGAGAAAAACAAGCGAGGTACTTTTGTATTATGTCTTTCTTCCTTGCTATAAATTACGATCACGTCCTCAAATATGGTAATGTGCTGTACCCGATGGAAAAAACGACGTGATTTAGTACAATGTCCACAGCTAGTCAGGGTAAAGTACATAGTAAGCCTCATTTCTTGATATATCCCAACACCCAACGCCAACACGAATTTCGGCTATATTCATCACAGCTTTCGTTATCTTCACGACCACTAAAAGTAGCAGTGGTTGAATCCGGAAGTGGTTTGCAAACAGTTATCACTTTTGAAAATAAACCCTAGGGTTTATCTTAGCTTTTTCTTGTTGTTGGTGCATGCGCATCCATTCTAACAGATGGAGAATGGAGTGGGCAATGGTAGTGGAAAAGGCGGTGTTAGTGGCCCTGCCCTAGCTGCTGTAAGCGAGGTATGTTTCATGTCTTCCACCTAGAAAAAGTGACAACTCCCAGTACTGACATTTATCTCTAACATCAATGTATGTTGCTCTGTGGAGTTTATATTCAATCTTACGCACTCATAATAGTGATATTCAACTCTTAAACCAATATATGTTTTTGTTAGGAGCTTATAATCAAAGTTATGCATTTTACTCTTGTGAGTAACTAGTACTTTACATGATATGAATTCCAATATGGTAGTGTTGAATATTTTGACAAATTTGAGAAGAAATGGAATATTATACTCTCAAATGTATAAATTCCACGAGAGTAACATAGATTTGGATACTTTGATCCATTGTCCATATGATCCATATCCCATAGCATTCGCATATTACCTTTGATGTCAATAGCGGTAGTATACTAATACCTGTACAAGGTCATTTCTATCATACCTTTTTCTCACCGTACGAAGCTCCGACTTTTGCTACAAGATGCAATAGAAACGTACTCGTTATCGAGACAACTGCTCCACTTGTCTTTCTAACTGTCCACCATTCTCTTCAACAGTACCACGTTTAGCCTGAATAAATGTACACTCATTGTCTAGCCCCACTCCACGATTCAAGAGGGGGACTGACGTTGTCTCTCCAAGTTGTACTCATGTCAGCATATCTATCTCCTTGAACTTCCTCGTGGGGGACGGCTTCTTCCAACGCTTTAACTTCCTCTGCTGTGAGCTTAATGTCCAAAGATGCAATATTCTGTTGCAAGTTCTCCCACCTGGTTGTGCCTGGGATTGGTACTGCTCCCTTGTGTTGTACCCAGGCGAGAGCAAGCTGTCCTGGAGTGCAATTCTTCTCAGCTCCCATGGCAACCAATTTATCATAAAAACGTTTGTTCTTTTGAAAATTCTCACTGGTGAATCTTGGATGACTCTGCATAATAGGATTCAAGAAGCAGCTTGTCAGTCAGTCTAAAATCATCAGAAGTCGGTCTAAAATCATTCACTTTCTAAGTGGTGTGTAGATCAGAGCATTTCGGTGTGATGGCGTACAATCGTTCAGCCTTAACATCTGTTAAGGCTGCTCTAAGGCATATCTACAAAAGCTGCACGGCACAACTATCTTTACAAATGTTACAATCAACATGATTTCAAAGTAATTCAACTCTGAACCAATTGGCATACATCAAAACCTCACATCTTGATCTGTGGACGCTTCAAGATTGACAAATTCATCGTAAGCTTTGCCAGATAATTGAGTTCAAACTAACACACCTTTCTGAAGTCATTCTCTCCGAAGTCTGCCAAGTTTTTCCCTGAAAGAAATCCACGGCCTAAAGGACTGTACGCGATGATGCCAATGCCCAGCTCCCTGCACAAATTGAATTCCAGTCACGCTCAGGAGGACGTCTAAGGTAACAATGGAAAGTCAATCCTCTCCGGATCATGTCAGACATCTCACGATTCAGATATGAAATTGCCACCATCTGCACCTACCGGCATGTTGGAATTATATCCTCCTCGACATCACGAGTCCAAAGAGAGTATTCGAGCTGTATGGCGGTAATAGGGTGCACGGCATGAGCTCGTCGAATGTCGGCAGCCGATGCTTCAGACAGTCCGATGTATTTGATCTTCCCTTCTTCAACTAACTTCTTCATCTCTCCCATCTGCGAGCACAATCTGTAGCGTGGTCATGCGAAAAGAATTTCCAGGTCTGTGCAGGTCGGGCACTGGCGAAAAGGGAGACAAATCTACAGCCTTTTGCATTGAAGCGGTAAAGGAGAAAAAATCAAAGCTTACGTACAGTTATCTCGATTGGAACTTTATTATCGACTCGGTGCTGGTAGTAGAGATCAATGCATTCCACATCCAATCTCTTGAGGCTCCCCTCACATGCAGCTCGGACATACTCGGGATCTCCTCTGACTGCCATGCCCTTCTCACCCCACTCAATGGCGAACTTCGTGCAGAGCTGCACCTTGTCTCTGATTCCTTTCAAAGCCTGGATCATGATTGCAAATGGCACCCACTACTTGTTATTCTTCCGAAAGTCAAGTGAAACCAACAAAATCTCACATTCTGCGCATCTCCAGATAATTACGATATCTGCTTCAGCTCATTGTCACAGTAATCAAATCTCGTACCTTGCCTATGAGGATCTCGTTCGTGTGGGGTCCGTACATGTCGGAAGTATCGAGCAGAGTGATCCCGTGCTCGACAGCTTTGTGAATCAGCTCGATCATCTCTTCCTCAGGTTTCGGAGGACCATAGAAGGAAGACATTCCCATACATCCTAAACCCTGCGGAGAAACTTGGAACCCCTGGCTTCCCAGTGCAACTTTCGCTGTCGCCATGACTGCTCGTTCTTGAGCTCCTTGCTGCTCCCAAATTCAAGACTCCTGCACCTCGTCTGGAACGTCCCGACCACAACTCTCAATGTACCAATCGAGTTCTTTACGCGCTTCACGATAGCACTTCAGCTCTGTAACCACCTGAACCGACCGACCCTTGCGATTCGAAAGTATGAAAGAGAAAGCAGGAACGCGAACATTAAGTGCTCGAACGACTGAAGCTTACGAGCTCGCAATCGTGCCGTCCAGTTGTCGCTCGTGACTTACGCGTCAAGCAGCTGAGCCGCATGACAAGTAGTCAAGATCTGCGTGATTGGTGCATTAGATCCATCGCTGATGCATTTCCGGTGATGAATTCATCCAAGTGATTCTGAGGACTGTCTTCATCGCTCAGGACAGAAAAGGACGGATTTTTTAATAACTGCCTCCTGCAGACACTAATATTGTCAGTCTATGAAGAGACTGCAGACAGTCAGACACTTTCCTTTAAGATCCTTCGTGGGTTCCTTCCTCTTCTGCTCCAGTGCTTCAATTCAACGATGTGACCGTTCGGATTGGCTTCCACGCAGAGTGAGAAACAGCCAAAGTTCCTGGATCCGGTTCCTTCTTGAGAAGATTCGACGATGTGGTTGTTCTAGACTCTCACTCGCCGGTAAGACGTGGCAATGATTCGAGCAGTGCACTGCACGTATGCAAAAGGTTAAAGTCCATGAATGTGTGGATGTGGCACAAATTTCCCATCTTTTCAAACACCTCCTTTTTGACTCACTTTGGGAATAAAATGTACCTCGCCATTTTATCGTCAGCGGAACCTATACATTTTTCGACGCTTTGACCCCATCCTTCGTTCTACAAGACCACAAAAGCGTATTCTATCACATAACTTTATAATCTCACTATTTGTAATGAAGACATATTTCTTTTCCATCTCAAATAGCACAAGATCTGTCTATGATGTTATACAGTGGATTTGTTATCTTCAGTAAAAATTGTATATTTTTGACTTTTATGATTTAAGAATTTTTTGTGAAGTACATGCAAGATTCATTAGTCAAATTAGCATTATTTTCTCCTATAGTAGATCATCTTTGACTTGAAAAGATATGGTAGTGTGTTATGAGCTATCAGTAAATCAATAAAATGTAATGAAAACTGAATTTTCAAAAAAATAGATGAAGAATTTGAATGACATATTTTTGTTTTTTTTGCTTTCCATGTATTAGATTATTATAGATATGTGAGATTTACAACTCACTTTACATGGTTTTTCTTATAATAATGTGTCAATAACATATATATATATATATATATGTATATATAAAATAAGATTGTTAAATGATATGCAAACTATTTCAAATTGACATTTGATAACTAATAATGCATTTAAGCATAAAGATTATTCAAGTTTAATGTTAGCTAATAATCTACATCAATTGCAAAAGATCCGATCTTTATCATATAAAAAAAGAAATCATCTAAGTAAAAATCTTAGTTTAGTTGCAACAAATAGTTGAAATTAAGTGTGATCATTACAGTATATATAATACACCTTGTGATGTCTATTTAAAAATACATGAAATCAGGATAATTAAATTTGGAAATTCTAATTTGTAGTTGCAATTAAGTCTGATCATTACAGTATATATAATACACCTTGTACTTTAGATTTATATCTATAATTTTGTTTAAACTAAAGCGAGATTGATATAAAAAACACTGATCAACAAATTGATATAGATGTCTATTTTTCAATATTAACGCTCGTCTTGTTAACCTTAGTGAGGCTTGGATTTTATTTAGGATTTGAGATACTTAACTCTAAGATGATCACGTTTTAGTTTAGTCTCACAAGTACATGTGCAAGAAGAGATAATGACAAGTTGAGCTATGAAAGTTCGATGTAACATTCTCGCTTTAGTGAAGCTTTTATCTCGACCGTTGATGTAGCCTAATGTGGAGATGAACCATTTACTTCATGTGTGATTCTAGTAATTCTTGTACAATTGATATCATATATAGTTCAATGCATAGAGATTTTTGATTTCCACAGTTTTTTGGACACCAATTCGACTATGGTGATAACACGGTGAGCGATGAGTTGCAAAAATTCTAAAATTTGAGACGGTAGAGCATAGACCTAGACAGGTTGCAGGTCATCTGGATTGGGCAGGGCCAAACAAGAAAATGTTTGCGGGCGCTTTCATATGGGATATGCAGCAGCATGTGAAGATTCTTGGCGAAAAAGTAATAAAATAATAAGCTTAATTTTTGGCATTTTTAGAACATTTGATCAAGCAAACACCATACGGTTGAGCTTACATTTTGCAAGATGTTTCTGTGAAAAGTTGAGCATGCAATACAAAAAACAGTTTTGGAAACGAACAACGTAAGAATATGTGGTACTAAAAATTTACTCGTGAGATCCAAATTCAAATTTTTAGTCCTCTCAAGTCTACGGTTCATAAATTTATGAACCGTAGACTCACGGGTGACTTTGACAATCCATTTTCACATTTCAAAAAGTTACTTTGTAGGCTCTGCAAAGATGGACTCATATTGTAATTTCAAGAATTTTCATTTTTTGATCATTTTGGCTGTTAAGTGTTGGGAGGTCAGACGAGATTTTTGTCGATTCCATGAGAATTGAGCAATTTGAGCAATCTAGAAAGTAACTCAAGTACATAGGAAGAAAAAGATACAAAACTAGCCGATCTTAACTTACGTTTAAGTGGAAATAACGATTGATGGCATTAAATAAACTTGGAGTTGCACAACTTCATGTGGAAAAATTTGATGGACTAAATGACTATGTCTTGTGGGAACGATTAGTCACCAGTCTACTTGGTGCTATAGATTTGAGCAAGATGCTTAAGCCATAACCCGATGATGGAGATGATAAAAATTGAAATGACATTTAATGCTAAATGATGAGTATTGTGTTTTTGTATATCAAGCCAAATGTTTTCAAGCAAAAGGGAGTGGCGCCAATGGTAGTAGAATTGTTTGTGGCATTGCGTGAGAAGTATCATAAGAAGTAGTTATAAAACCATTTGTACACGGATTTGAAGCTCACTAGCTTTAGTATGACAAAATACTAAGATCCAAGATCATGTAGATGACTTCAATGATATGGTTGTGGATTTTGAGAACCTTGCTGAAGAGTTGAATGATGAGCAAAAAGAAATTCAGAAACTGATTTCTTTGCTAGTCTCAACCATTACTGTCACTGATGTTACTTCATCATGATAAAAAAATCATCACATACAATGAAATTTTATTGTTTTATTGACCGACGATATACTTCAGAAGCTGTTGGTGTCTTTGCATTCCTCTTCTGGTCAATCCATTTCATTGTCTACTACCTTGACAGTCACAAATCACTTTTGCAAAGATTGTCGTAGTAAGTCAACAGGTGAATCATCAACAAGCGTGGTTATAACTTAGGATTCCAATTATGCACTTTATACTTTTGTCCATACTAAAAATGATGAATGAATTTTGAATTTAGCTTGCTTTTATCACAATTCTCATCTTAAAGATTTCTTTAATTCTTACATTCCGTCAACTAGTACAATTTTTTTATAAAATGATCAATCTTGCAAAATTGTTGACATTGAATTTGTGAAGATTCAATTGTTTGATGCATGTTTTGTACCTTGATCACATAGGATGTGTAAGAACTTGAACTCATTTGGAATATTGGTCTTGAAAGTTTTCAAATGAAACACCGACAATGGAATTTTGAATCTGTTGGATGGTTTTCACATCCTTTTGATGACCTCAAGGTTGAAAAATCTAAAAAAATCTACTTGAAGGGAATAACGATATTTGAAGAGTCATATGTTACCACACCTTCAAATTTGATATCTCATTTATGACATTACCGACTAGAATTCATGTTGCAAATCTACATTGAAAGTAGTCATTGTTGATGAATTAATAAGATTAGAGTTATTTGATATTGCTACAATAGTAATAACTACTTTTTTAGCCATCGAACTGGATTACTCATTTTTAAAGACTTTCTCTATCTAATAGCAATTCAAATGACTTCAGCCTTAGACGAGGGTTTTTTGTATTTCACTTTACTTCAAACCTCCAACAAAATTCTTTTGAGCATCACATTTATCACCATCATTGTAGAACCACTTTGTCCTCATCATTTATCAACACCACATGAAATCTTGACTCCAACTTCTTGATTCTTGTAACATAGTAACTCAATTTCTCATATTACTCTTATTTCAAGATGATGATCTCACATGTCAACTTTTCATGATTGGAAAAAAAATCTATAACATTTTTTGTCAATGTTTTTCAACTTTCAAACTCCACGTGCTACCTCTTGAGTTCTTTGTTTTATTTGAGAGTTGAATAATACAAAAAGTTCGGCAAAAGCATAACACACTTATACCTCTTCCTGTCATTATTTTGTAAGCAAGTTTGCTTGAAATTCCTAACAAAAAATTTTACATCTTCATTCTTCCTCCCATAAAATACCAAAAATTTTTCCATTTTTTATTTTTATTTTTAATTTTTTTCTTTTGAAATTTATAATACAACACCAAATTCATACTTAACTATTTTATCAATGACGACATGAAAAAATTGATTGTTCCGAAATAGCCATAGTTTTTTTTCTTAAACACACAATGAGTCTTATCTTCATGAAATTTTTTCAATCATTCAAATGATGATCTCCATAATCATTTAGAACTTGAGCCGGCCATTTAGAACTTCCCTATCTCTACACTATGTTTGCCATCCATATCATAGTCATGCATTGGGCTTGAAACTGTACCCATATCCGATCCACAACTGCGCGTGAGTCAATTGTAACCAACCATTACTCATCCATGGCACCTTGTTTGGACCTAATTCATATCCATCCGTCTATCATCAAAATACAATGTAGATCACAATCTTTTGCTTTCGTACACTTTGATCTACAAGCAACACTCATTTGGTTATCCGTAAAACATGACACTTTGTTCATATCCAACTCATACTCATCAATTCATCATCAAATACAGTGTAGAGCATACTCTTCTGCTTTCGTTCACTTTGTTCTACAAGCAACACTCATTTGATTATCCGGAAAGCATGTGTTTACAAAAAAATATTCATTTAGTATATGAATTAGACTTTTCAACAGGTTTTTGAAAAGTAATAGCTAATCAGCACAATGTGGTGATTAGCTCATAGCGTTGTGCAATTCAAGAGTTCATTTATTTAACTCAGTTGTTTTAGAGACCAGCTATATCATACCCATCCATTACCCTTCCATTACTCCAAACCTATACCCAGTAGCCATTCATTGTGCCATGGGCATGGATGGGTATTTGATACTCATAGATCTGGATATTCATTGCAGGACTCTGATCCATATCATCCACAAGTGATTCAAGATATTTTTTCACTTCGTTGTATTTGTGTCTTGCCGGTAGTTCAATCACTCCACAATTGTCACAATAAGTCGTATGTGAAGATAATATTTTCAAATAAAGTTTCAACACTTCCAAGTTTCTTTGGTTACTTCACTTCCAATCTTTGTTACATAGAGAGAAATTAACAAATTTATGTTCCTCTTTGCCACAATAAAATCATGTTAACGTTTCACTCTTGAAGATTGATTCACTTCTTTGTCTTCAAATTCTACTTTAAATTCCCTTGTGTTTGAGTCAATGGAGACAATAACATACAAGCCTTGAGATACTTTGAGTAATTGAACTTTCTAACTCAATTGTTCATTCATTTTTTCATAAGATGAAAAATACTCAAAATGTTTTTTTAACGTTCTGTGATGAAAAATTGCAAATTTGCCATCACATAGCATAGCTTATAATCTACAGTCGTGCAAAGTTTTAGAAGATTTTAGAAACTACGGAAAAAATAATCAATTCTGTATATATATTTTTCTTATAGTTCATTTTTGGTACCCGTTAAAATTTCTCAAAATTCTAAAACTCAAGACTTTTGCTACACATAAGATTCAGACCTCAAAGAAAACTGAAAAATATATCAAATTCTATAATAAAAATACTAAAAATTTTGTTATGAAAATCCACTCCCCTTCTTAAAGAGTCGTGTTAAGATGAACAAAATGTACAAGGTCAATTCCAAAATATCATAAAAGATTACTAGTTATACAAAGAGTATTTTATTCTAAAGCATGTCTTTTGCTCTCTTGTTTCCTATCGTAAAACTCATAAATCTTTTCATAATCATCTTCTCTTGGGCAAAAAATTGAATCCAAAACATTGTACTTCTAGATTGAGACTTTGGCAGCGGAATCAAAAATATTATCTTCAGGTTATCATTACTTAGGTTAACATCCGATAGATTTGTGGAAGTCATCAAATGTTAATCAATAAAGAGTTAAAGGTACTATAAACATTTCAATATTTTTCATGTAAACGGTCAATTGTCATTGAATAGTATACCGGAGCTTACTCAATATCAATTCCCACATTCTTATTTTTTGCAAATTTTTATTAGTTTGAAACACAAAAAAATCATTATGACTATAGAAGATAAAAGATTGCCAACTTGTCCGTGCTCCAAACATTTTTTCACACAAACTCTTTACTCATCAGTCAATTGCAAAGACGTAATGATATTGAAAAAAGATAACATAACTCAAACTTATATAAGTATGGATTTCTTTTGAATAAGTATCCATATAATGAATACTCAAAACTTGCTCAAGATTATCTTCTCCAACTCTCTACTTATATTATTTGAGAAATTATCATGATTTCAAATGATAATTTGAAATCATGATGAACTTACTTTTATAAAGATAAATCTAGAAATTTTAGACTAATTTTTTATGCGTGGCAACATGCCATTTGCCTATCTAAACCTTCTAAAAGTTTCTTTGTCACTAGATTGAAGTGGCAATATGTCATTTGAAACTTCAAAGTTCTAGAAACTTCACTTGCCACTAAGTCCATTCTAGTTAAAATCTAAACAATGAAATTTACTTTACTTTATGGAACCAATCAAAACCAATCATGTAGTCAATGTATTATCTCCTTGGAATCTAAATTGTGATAGAAGAAAAAATAGAAGTGTTTACTCAAATCTCCAAAAGTTAAACTAATTATTATACCTCGTATAGATTTCATAGCTAAACTTAGTTATAACTAGTTAGATTTAGTTATAACTAAAAATTTCATGATCAACTTATTGGCTAATTCTAATAGTAATTCACATCTACAACATCCAATTTTACATGATACCCTTTGTATCTGATGGTGTGCACTAGGTCTTATATTACTCTACGATGGGTAAAATGAGCAAGTATATGTCAAATTACTTAGACGCAATCAAATTGATATCCACGTATTTGAAGATAACTATGAATTATGTCGCATAGTTTGATGTTTTACTAGATAATGTCAAATCCTTGATAGATTACATTGATTCTAACTACGGACAAAATCTAAACCAAAGAAAAGCTACAATTGAGTATGTGTTTAAATTTGATGTTGAAAGCATTAATTGAATATGTACCTTGCGTAGCTCAGTCTACAAAGTAAAACTTCTGTATACAACGATATACAATTGTCTTCCATTGTAGATTAAGTTAGATTAAAAGCTTAGTTTATGACAACAATAGAAATTGCAAAGGAAGCTATGTGATTAGATAGACTTATCACAAAGATGAGATTGAAAGAGAATGTTATCAATCTTCATTTTGATATCCAAAGTGTTTTATATCTAGCTACAAATCAGATGATGAATTGCAAAATGAAACACATAAACATTAGGAATTAATTTCTCTAACATGCAAATTCTGATTAAAGGACTAAACCAATCAAGATAGATGGTAAACTCAATCTAATTGATGTGTTGATCAAAGTTATTACTTTGAAAAGTTTCAAATAACATTGTGCTACTATGCAAGTTTTGCATCATAGCACAAATAAAGTTTGCTAGCATTTTTTTAGTTATCTCTTTGTAGTATTACTCTATACTATTATGATTACGATTTAATTCTAGTCAACTCTAATTATTAAAGTGATTCTTATGTCCGGTTTCTTTTTGTTGTATTAATTCACTCTTTCTCAGCAACTTCAAAAATATCTCATGAACATAATGATTACAAAAATATCTCATGAACATAATGACAACAAATGTGATACTCAAAGATATAAAACATCATGTTTATCTAACAATATTCTATCAACCTAAAAGCCCACATATTATTTCACAATATATCAAGCTTTTGCACAATCTCTAATGAGATAAACAACAAGTTTGTAAGTCTTCATGATCGCTATATGATAAAATATAGTTGCTGTTCAAACGCATTCACATTTAATCTCAACATATTTTCCTCTCTGTTAGTTTTCCACAATTGGCTGAGTGAATCTTGAGACTACTTATGAAGTGAAGGTTAAGTACAATGGATACTATCAAGAGTAAAAAATTCAAATACTTTCAAGTAAGACTTTACAACAAAGATTCAATACTTTTTGGAACTAAATTCAAGATTCAAGAGTAAAGATGATCTTGTGTATGAAAATTGGAGTTGAGAACAAAGATTATTTGTATATGATATATTTTGTATGATAAAAAACTATGCATAAAAAAGATACAAAGTCATGAGTTGATGTCGCAAATAGTTTGGTAATGTAAGATTCCACTTCTAATCTGGAGCTTATTTGCCCATATATATGTAACTTACTTACGCAATGTGATGTGCAAGCAATAAAATTAAAAGGTTCATCAATTTGATAATGGTTGCCAAGCTCATTTGTGTGATTAAAGAGAGATCCAAGTGATTGAACACAATTATAACACATAAGATAGTCTAAGAAAATAATAATTTCTAAGCATGAAATACAATTCCTTATTATTTTACTCACAGTCCTATGTTTAACTGCTGGGATTTGAATGGTTATACTTTATTGTATACTATTTACACATGTTTTGAAAACGATATGAGCCTTGAAAGCATTGTCAACCCGATTCCATGTATGATGATATTCTTATCAGTATTTAAAGTTTTTCAGACTATGCACAACTTCTTTGACTACAAAACTTTAAAGGAGTCCCGTATAGACTGCATGTATTTAAACTTCCGTCATTTGGAAAATCTGACTTTGACAACGAAACTTTAAAAAATCATGCATAGTTTGTATGTATCACAATTCCATTATTTGGAAAATCTCCCTATTCACTTTGAGTTTAGGTGATGATTTAATGTTAAATGTTTTGGTGATTCAATAAAACTAATGAAAAATTTAAGGTGGAACATTATTTCATGTGTATTGAAACAAATTGCAATGTAAAACCATCTTCTCGATGCGCACATCTAAACTTCATGCACTAATTTATAACCAACCACAACTTTTGAAAGAGAAGAATATAATCTTTTGAAAAAAAAGATAATAACATAAAAGAAAAATGCACATTCTTCAACACGGTAATTATAGTGAATCATATTATATGTCAGCTAGATGAAGTACTCTGATCTTCCACGGAGATGTATGACTTCATGTCGAGAATAGACCGAGTAGCATTTTCTATTTTTCTCCCACCTCAAGTTGTAACAATTTCTTACCTTCTCATAAATTCTATTCAAGCATAATAATTTTGATTCTTATGCTGATGAATTACAAGTAGTTTCAACGATATAATCTCAGGCATATTCAGGAGTTTCAACTCAGTTCAATGTGAACTGGGTTCACTGGATTTCTATAATTCTGCAATTGCGTTTATCAAAAGCACAATCTTACATATCTATTTCATGCTAAGATGAGGTTTCTTAAATGAGATACAAAAGTTTTAACCTGTAACTTTCACATGTCGTGATACAGAAAGAAAGTACATCACGTTCGTTCTAACATGTCAGTGAAACTAGGTTGCAGAAGATACACACCAGAACTTGAAAATTAAATCCATCAATCTATCACAATCTCCATGCATTTTGCAATATCAGTCTAAATGAAATTGAAGATCTTACTTTAAAATCCTTTAAGATATGGACAGTGACTTATCATGTCCTGCGGATCTATAAACTAAAGAGTTTCTTAAATTCATGAAAGCAGAAACTCTTATTCTTTTCAGTCTAAAACGACATTGAAATTCATCATTGTGATGGCATTACTGTCAGAAAGGGTGTCCCTGTAAGTTTTACCGCGAGCAACGACAAATCAGGTGCGAAGTCTTATTGTACATGACGCACAGAACGAATGTGGAGACGGTGTCCCGGTTGCGCATAATAGTATGAATGACCTTGTAACCTCACCGTCCAAATGCAAAGGTTTGCCATGTGCCGATGAACAAGCACATGAAAGAATAGGACCCAAATTCAAGCTTGGAATCTAGAGAGCTTAATCGAGAACTCCCTCGATGGAGTTCAGTAAAATCGATTGTCTTGTTGGAGTAACTAAAGCGAATGACATCAGAGTCTGTATTGTGGCATTCACATAGAGATGTGGGTTTAAAGGTGGAATGTATAATTTCTTCCTGCCTGTGAATGCGACGGGATTCGATCGCCCGACCCCGATTCGATTGAACATTTTACGTGCAAAATCGCATACTGTTTAATGTTCTTGGCCTCGTAGTGGGGCGAGCGGAGGGTTTTGTTCGAACCCTACCTACACAGACAAGTTTCAAAGGAGGAACTCGTTGTGACTGTCGTCGTGACTAGAAGTTACGTTCGTGTTTTGATTCTGGGCGAGACGATTCCAGCTTTTGTGTTGCCGCATGGTGGTACTCTTCTTGTGCATGGGACTCGTACTTTGAGCATTTGGGCACCACGTGGTCGAAAGATGTTCCTCTGTTTCCGAATTTTGAGGACGCTCACCACTCGGCAATTTGACTGTGGGCTGGCGAAGCGCGATACCAAGCTTCAGAAATCTAATACGAACATAACCGCACATTTGACAGGCGTATTGTCCCAGGCAGGGCTCGTGGAATTGGCGTCGCAGTAAGTTTTGTATCTCGCAGGGGCCTCCAAATTGCAGTATCCACTGGAGTGGCTGAGAAATGTGGAAAACTGGTGCTTGTTCGCCTCAGCGTAACGTGAGAAGGCGAGAACACCGTGGTCAGCTTTGGTTGTGTGTTACAGGCTCGTTTTGTACGTCGTCTCTTCTTATTTGTGTCGAATTTGTCGCGGAACTGCAAGCAGGAAGGCGTAATTGATTGTCGTTTAGAGATGGTGACCCCCGGCGTTGAGATTTGTTTCATGTCTCGGAAAGAAAGACCTAGTGCACTGTATAGGCAATGATGGTTCGATGAGGCAAAACGTGACGCCCAGATGGGCGAAAGATAGAAAGAACCAGGAAAGAATTCTGGCGTTAATGTTGTGCGAAATTTGATGAGGAAAACAAGCGAGGTACTTTTGTATTATGTCTTTCTTCCTTGCGAGAAATTACGATCAGATCCTCAAATATGGGAATCTGCTGTACCCGAATCATGTACACACTCGAGAAAACGACCGTGATTTAGGACAATGTCCACAGCTGATCAGGGTAAAGTACATAATAGGCCTCCATAATTCTTGATATATCCCCGCATCCTACGCCAACACGAATTTCGGCTATCTTCACGACCACTGAGAGCAGCAGTGGTTGAAACCGGAAGTGGTTTCCAAACAGTTGTGAAGATAAACTCTTGGGAAGGTCATGCCCTTGCATTTTCTCGTTGTTGGTGCATGCGCATCCATTCTAAGAGATGGAGAGTGGAGTGGGCAATTGTAGTGGAAAAGGCGGTGCTAGTGGCCCTGCCCTACCCCTAATTATTTTCAACTGCTGTAAGCGAGGTATGCTCGATGTCTTAACCCTATAAATTTTGTCTGAGTTCTGTCGATGATCCTGATATTACAGTGTTCGAATCTATTATTGTTATTTGATTTATCCGTAACTTTCCTCAGGGGAGTTATCAACGGTTGTTGAGTGTTCTCTTTGAGATACAGAACTGGACATTATTCTGATACATTCCAAATAATGCAGAATCACACACGCCCAATCAAGGGTTTAAGCATATGGTGAGGAGATTCAGAGGCTCCTACAGAACTTTATCGTAAGTAAGACGGCATTTGAAGATTCAGTTTGTTCAAGCTTATCCTTTCATGCATAAGCAACAGTACCAATTTATCATCACCGAAAGTCCACTCTGTTATTATTCATATACAGTAGACATATCAACAAAAAGGCCTCCAACTGCGCATTGTTACTCTTGTAATTCTTCAGGGCTTGTAATAGAGTGCAAAATAGACTTCAGCTACCTCAAATTAGATCATGAGATGCAAATACTTCAGGGACATCCGCTGTGCAGAAACAAGGAAGAAATTTCACTTCAGGTTTTCAACGATGGAGTTCTCATTATCTTTGGCTGTCCAAAAGAGAAATTTACTCCGGATGAGGTATCGGACTGATGGCCATATCTGACGTCCACTGATGTTTGACATGCAATATCTCGGTTGACCAAATTTCTATGCTCGTATGATCAAGTAAACAAACAGATATTGTACAACTATCATCTAGGCTTCAGATCTCATCTTGTCAGTATATGATTGCTATGGATTTGTCTCAAATGGTGTTTACTTGTAGGTGGAGGCCATATGGGGATATGTTCGTGGTGGGGGCTGCTTGCTTTTCTTAAGCTCTTCAGGGGGTGATGGCCACCAGAAAACTAACGTCAATGATATCATTCAGGAGTATGGGATCACCATCAACTCGGACTGCCTTGTATGGTTGCATGCCCCTCGATATCTTGTGTTGAATAATACATGTATATTGTACTTTCATTTAATTCTAACATGTTTTTCTGAAGATATTCAGAATCTGATCTTCATACGTGACCCAAGGTTTTGCAATTTTACTTGTTGGCTGCTTTCTTTGAGTGCCCAAGTAATTTGATTACAGTTGCGCTGCCTGCATCGTGCCAGTATAATCAAAGCCTCATGTGGTTCCAACGTTCAATTTCAAGCTTGTAGCTCGAAAGAAAAGACGGAAGAGCCCTTTTCACGGCAGATTTGCACAAAACAGCATGTCAGTCTGCTGGTTTGGTTGCTAAGCTTTTCTCAGCTGGCAGTAGCCAGCTTACGACATACCTTCTTCTCGCGTTAAGAGTGAGAGGGCATGTTCTTCTGCCGTTCTTCAAATGTTACGTCCATTTGTCTACTCGGGGGTTGGACGATCAGCGTGGTCACCGTCCGGTCTGGCCAAAGTATCAGGAAATCTAGAACCCAAGTCGTAAATAGAGTAACGTCAACACCTCCCCAACGTCATGTCTTTCTCTAGAGATGGAGACAAACTGTGATATCGCAGATCAAACCATCTGTCCAAAAGTACGCATCGTGCCTGCAGTGAAAGGCCTGGCCTCGCAAAACTTTTAAAGAAATGGAAGCCATGCCTCCAGTGAGGATTGAACTCACGACCTTTCCCTTACGAAGGGAACGCACTACCACTGTGCTATAGAGGCTTGATGACCGGTAGCCAGTGTAGGGAGGACATGAAAGGTAAATCTTGGAGGAATTTCAAGTTTAGCCTTCTTATGGGGTTTACACGACGATCCAAGAGTTGGGATCTACGAAGGTAAGTAGAACCAAGCCAGGGACATGCGTGGGAAGCATTGAATCCACTGGCTGGCAGTAGAGAATCTCTGTGTGCGGGTTCTTTTGTCTGGTTCGATCCTCCTCTTGCGTGGTGGAAGAACACAAGTCTGTCCGTGTTAGATTGCATGCTATTCTCAGATGTCTTTAGGTTCTGGTCCGTAGGAAGCTCAGCTACGCCAATGTTTTACAATAGCGATGCCTTTTTCATATGTATCTCACGCATTAGAAAAATCATCGAAGAAAATGAACCAAATTCGAGAGAACAATCTCGAAAATGAACTTGTATCTTGGACATCACACGGGGCTGATTGCCAGTCTCGGCCCGACGAGTTGACATGTAAGACTACAGACTGCATAACGATGTCCTGTATCAAACTCTTCTGTTCAATTTCTACCCGGAAATTCGATCGAGATGTATGAAATGTGAGGAATCTCTCAGAATTAACAATTTCGGTGCTTTCAACTCTCTCCGCGGTTTTTTGTCCTCTACATAACTGGGAGGACAGTACTGTTGTGACAGATAAGGACAGCACAGGAGAAGTACCTGCATCCAAAGGAGGTGTATTTGACCGATTCTTGTTTGTGCAAGGAACTCAACAATGTATGGCCTAAGTTTCTGCTGTCTATCTTGAAAGAGTTTCCGTGCATTTATGAACAGAGTTAAATCAAAGCGAATTTTCTTCTTCCCTCCACATCTTAACTTTATGCTCACATCAGAGGCACATGCCTGTCATGCAGTTTGGTAAGAGCGGAGTGAAGAGGGTCGAAGAGACTCCTCACAGCAGCCCGGATAGTAACAGGTTTCTCTCTTACATGTTCCGGAGAGTCTGCACAGAGAAACGTGGTATTCTAGCTTTATATAGAGAAGATTCTAGTACGTATCTTTTGTAAGATCGGAATCATCTGAGCTTATCATTATTCTAAGATACAAGCAGCATATTTACTGTCAGATACTTATCACCGGTGTAGAGATTCTGGTTATAGCTCGGTTCAAACTAAGATAAGCGCAGTAGGTAAAAGAAGCTGAAGATTACGGGAAGCAACATTTGTCGTACTTCCTTGTGATGCTGAACGTGGGTCTGTTCCGGCTTACACCTATTGGCTTAAGGTCGCCTCTTATTTCACCTTGTAATATGGCCAGGATGAACTTGCAAGACTTCGATAATAGAGGCGGGGATAAAGACTTCCACTTGGTATATCCTCATGGACCCACTTTAACAGTCCAAGCACCAGCTGCGGCCATCCTATCATCAGGGATGATAGCCTATCCAGTTAACAGGCCTATCGGTAAAATTGAGTTCTGACCCGGTGTTTGCATTTTATTGATATGTATCCTGGCGCACACACTTTGCACTGAAACGTGGCTTACATCATAAAGTTCAATAATAAAGTATTATTTTACCTTTATCCCATCACTGTATGGGTAACGTTTAAGGTCGAAGTATTGTAGACCTAGTTCCGTCGTTCGATACGTAGGCTGTTTCTGTCAAAGAGATAAAGGTACCTAGGAGTCACATGGTATCATTTTTTGCAGGAGCGATATGGGAGGGTCCCAAGGGTCAAGGGAGGATAGCAGTGCTAGGAAGTGTCACAGCTTTTGAGGATATTTGGCTCGAGAAGGAAGACAACTCTAAGTTGTTGGACTTCTTGCTTCTGTGGCTAACCCGCCAAACTTCTATAGAGGTTAGACTCAAACCCTTCCGTCGTCGAAGTGAAATAATACCCAAACATGAAGGTTTTCAGATCATTAATATTCACATTTCTGAAACTCTAACGAGCTCCTGGTGGAATATCAAAAGGTCTGCTAGTTCCTGAACAGTTATTACGCTGCAACTTCAAGAGAATATTATTCACAAGGCGAGCTATGAATTTACGAAGATTTGCTCCTTAGAAGCAATGAAGAAGTTTTGCAAATGTCTCTCGGCTAATTCTGTGATCCTTCAACAGGTGGAAAAGCTGAGCTCTGAAGAATTAGAAACCGGTGATGTGGAGCACGTGCCAAGCATAGGTGCTTTGGCGTCTTCATTGCGGTGTTGCCTGCAGGCAAGCTTCTCTATTGGACAACAACAACCCCATGGTTTTCAACATCGATTGACCATTCGTTAATATCCCCGTCAACTGTCTCGGTTGTGTATAAATGTACAGCATGGCTCGGATCATACTTGTCAGTACACCATGTTCCCTGTGAGAGCATCTGTGAGTGTACGCAACTGACATGCTCTGCTCTAGCACGAACGGATCCACCTAAAACGATGTTCAGACCACAGTCTCGTTACTCCAGCTGGTCTCTTATGAGCGGATATCCAAAACATTTCCAATAATTGCGCAGGAAGCAGAGGAGTTACCGAAGGACTTTACAAGACTTGTTGACGACAAACTTTTCGAGTATCACACAAATTTGACACCTGAGGTTGTCAAGTTATACAAAAAACTCGGCGTCAAGCATACCCCGTTGACCTTAATCGCTCCACAGGTATAAGAAATGGGTCAGAGTTAAACGTATAGTTGACGCTTGTTGCTATTTGCTAACCGAGCTCTCTAATACTCTATCCTCATACATTTTATCTGCAGTTTGAAATGCCGACACCACCTTTACAACCTGCTGTGTTTGCACCGGCCTTGAGAGAATTGCCGCCACCTGCACTTGACCTGTTTGATCTGGATGAGTGCCTTGCTTCGCCAGCCAGTCACCTCGCTCAGCTCACAAATAAGGTTTTTCTGAGCCCAACATCTGCACCCTCAACAGATATTGCTTTTGTCTCTGGACCAATGAAGCCGAATGTCTTCCGACTCGTAGAATAACAGAAGGACTCTAGACTTTCGTTGGTTGGTCGAAAAGTCAGGAAAGTCGTCTTTCGCTTGGTATCTAGTGCGGTGTTGTGCACGATGAAATGCCAAAATCAGATCATTATGAATTACATGCCCTTCACAGGAAGTAAACCTTTAATCAACCAATCAACCAGGTGTGGGTTGCTAAGATAATTAGCAAAGGAAGCTAAACCTTTTGTCGATGAACAGGAGAAGTGAATGATGACAGTGGGTATGATGACAGTGTAAAGGTGCCGATAAGGAGGACCTTAACTACTACATTACAAAAGGGGCTTCTTATGTTGGCTTGACACCGGAGGTATTGGATTCGCTCGATCATGGTTCATGACATGTGTACTAAGTTATCACGATCCTGCCAATCTTCGATGTGTTGCCTTTCCACTTTCAGCAGGCCATGGAGTTATTGGTGATCTGCTCATTCGTGCATGTGACAAAAGCTCTAACCTATTGTCTTTATTTTCCTAGAAGGTTAGCCCAGGTTGTATCAGATTGAAAACTTTCTGAAGTACGTCTTCCCATGTGCAAGCAGATCGTAGGAGTTGCGGCTGAATCCGGCTCGAGGGAAGCAGGCATGGCCTATTTGTCATTCTTGTTTAAGGAAATAGTGAGCATGAAGAGGCGGAGAACAGGTTCTGACCCTTGTCATTCGGAAAATATTGAGGAGTAGGTTTATGACCTGACCGGAACATTTTACCCGAGGTAATTTGTAGAGTAAGTTTCTTTCTACGGTAGCTCAACATTGTGAATTAGAAGAAGCCACATGAGAGAATCACCTGAATCGGTATCAGATTTCAGTAGGACCCTTGTCTTTATTTCGACGGCATGACATCAATTCAGCCTCAGATCGAATCAGAGGATGGCGGGTATGGATCAAGCCCCTGTCGATGTACGAAGCGAATTTCGATAATGACTAGGATGGTTGCGCGGATCGACTTACAGTTGGGCTGTTTGAGTCTGTCAATCTGGAATCCAAATGCTCGATTCACTTTTTGACCTCACGCGCTTCGTCATACACTACATAACTACCGCAAACATGGAATGACGAGGTCAGTTTCGACCACCTGAACGTCTCACGAGTTTTCTGTCCATAACTTGGCAGCCAGTGATGTGCATAGTCCACACAAGCAAGCTCTGGAATCAGTCCCAGTCTTTTTGTTGAGCCTGTAGAAGAAACAAACCGAACCAAATGTCACATCCGCAGGCTCCAAGTGCCTTACAAACCGCTGCGAGTTTGTCATCACTCTGTGTGATGAATGTGAGCCGAACAGAATAATGAAGCCCGCGAAGGCCATGAGAGAATCAGTTCATATTTTAAGCTGCGACTCAGGGAGAGAAACACAGAGAGCTGACCATGATGGAGGCTGAGTGGAAGTGAAGAGTCGGACGTCCGAATGCGAGTGGGTTGGGTTGGGTCGGTCGGCCGGCCAGCCATGCCACGCCCACCCACTCCCGACGCAGCTTTGTCGAGTGATCATGCCCCACTGCCCGAGAGACCGACGGTTGCCTTCTTCTTCTTCTGTTGACACAAATCATCTACAGAGATGGGAGTGTTGTGGCCTGTCTCGTCACATGCAGTGAGTCCTGTCGGTTGCATAAAATAATGCCGGCACTACCAGATGACAAGCCTCAGAGCAGGACGAGGTACTTTGCCGGAGTCGTTTGCCTGCCACTGATGCCAGATTCTCTCCTCAAAGGAAGAAGATGCGCTTCCTCAGTACGAAACCTCGCTCGCTCCCTCACTCACTCACTCACTCGTGCTCTGCTTCGAACGCCGTGAACCTTTGTGACACGCACGCAGGCACAAAGGCTCGCAAGGAGGCATTATCCCCATCGCCATCGCCATCCCCGCCACTGGAAATCGCCAAACCTCTAATCAACAATGGCAAAGCGTCTGTCAGCAGCCAGCACGTAATCGGATGTCATAACAAAGGGCTTCCCTTCTTTCCGGGAAAGTCATCCATCTTTGATCCGGCCTGAGCGGAACGGAAGGAAGGAAGGAAGGAAGCTGTGAGCCGAGCGGGAGTCAAGACTCGAGCCTCGAGACTGATCCGGAACCATGTGCAGGTGCAGGTGCAGGTGCCAGAAGGTGGCAACTTCGGAGTGAAGTTTGAAGTCTGAAGTCTGGTGATGGCACTGCTGATGTAACGAGCCCTCGCATCATGAAAAGTGGGGGCCGCTTGAGGCCGGAGGCCGGAGGCCGAGCTCGGCGAGAGCAGGGGGTGGCAGTCGGCGCCAAGGGGAACAACGGTGAAGACGGGAGGAGGAGGAGGAGGCGGATTGATGAAGCTGCAATCATGTGAGGCCCGGCTGAGCTGAGCTGAGCTGAGCTGAGCTGGAGGGGGCCGTCTGGTCAAGAGGTTGATACGAGTTTGTACAAAGCAGGCGCCATTCCAGAGTCGTCAGTTGTTGCTGTTGCTGTTGCTGTTGCGACGAAGCAAGTACAAGTTGGACTCCGAGAGATTCTTGTCAGAGATGTTCTGCGAATGCTCATCAATTGAGGAATAAGTTGGTACAGAACTGAATGAATTTCTGATGTGATGTGATGTGCCCCGCGATGCATCCGGTGCAAGTTGCAACGCCCTTGGGAGACATACCTGTCGCGCGAGCTCCATGGAACCCCAGCCCAGCCCAGCCCCGCCCCGCCCCGCCAGGCCGGGCCAGCCCAAGGACCAGCCTCTGAATGTACGAGACGGAAAGAGAAACTCATCGATCCAAACGACTGCGCCTACCGTATCGTCCTCTCATGGACTCACTGACCGTCTCGTCTGTCACAGGGCTCCCTTCTCTTGTCAGACGACCTTCCACTCAAACACGAATGCGTAGCAGGCCTTCCGGAGTCCGGCCTTGGCTTACCTTGGCATGGCATGGCATGGAGCTCTTCTGTGATAAATCATGTGCATCAGTGTGCTTAGTACTTGGGGAAGCTGCCTCACAGACGAACTCACATATACCCACTCCCTAAAATATTACGGGACCTAGGACTGCATTGTTTGTCAAGCTCGTTTGTATGAACTCCTTATGTGCTGGACTTTGGAGGTAATGTAGAGCCGAGACCGACGTCCTGTGTAGTGAGTGGTGCAGTTGGAGAAGTCTTCGCGTTCCTCAAGAGAGACATGACATTTTTCCGTAGCTGTGCTCTCGTTCTTTACAATTGCCGGGGGCTATTTGAGCAGGGGGCCCACAATTGCTTATGAGGCAGCGGATCGGGAAATTCAGGGGAGAGAGGCAGGCAGGCAGTCAGGCAGACAGAAAGAGACAGAAAGAGACATCAGGGGATTGGGGATTGGGTATTGTATACGCCGATTTAGCTGTTTATTTATATGCCTTCTGACTTCAGAAGCCAGGATATTAGGACAAGAGAGTTTAATTTAGCTCATAATTTGTCTGAAGTTTTCTGTCATCTGTGAGCACCTGACTGACAAAGCTCGAGTAGTGTAGAGCTTCCGTTGAACTCGAGTGGTGAGACTTCTCGGGAAGCATAGCACTTGCTCTTCTGATGCGCACGCACCCATAGCAATTGTCATGACGCCGACACTGGAAACTTGGGGTTGCTCGAAGCGTCTCCCTCGTCGTCGTCTGTGATCGAGAAACATCTGACCCTGAGAGTCGTCTAGAAGCAATAGGCTCTCTTCCAGCAGACCGGACCAGACCAGACCAGACCCTGCACATTCGCAGCCTCGAAAATCACAGATCCAGATACAGTTCGGATATTCTTTCTGTTCAATATATTTCGTTCTTGCAGTCAGCGCCCTTTTCGAATTCCTGCGTGAGAAAAACATCCATCAGACACGTCTGGGCGCTCTGAACTCATCAGCTTCTGAGATCCGAGTCACGCAGCAAAGCGATGCATCAGCCCAGGAACTTCAGATCCTGAGCTTTCGTGTACTACTACGCGTCCCTTCACATGCACCCGGAGCTTTCAAAGGCCATCGAGTGAAGCGCAGCTATCCAAGTAAAGCGCGAGCGAGTAGGCAGAGCCCTGACGATTCGATCGCTTTCAGAGCTGAGCCAAGGTCAGACACACTTGAATCTATCGAGCGAATGATGCGTGCTCCGCCACAGTCGCTTCCGCCATTCCATGGACCAATAGCCAAATCCAAAATCGACAGTGCTACAAAGATAGCCCCCCTCTTTGTCTCTCTGTCTCACTGCTCTCTCTCTCTCTCTCTCTCTCCCTTCTAAAAATCCATTCAGGTTCTGGGACTCGGTCGACTTAGGACCGTGTCACGCAAGATTCCGAAACAGCCTTGACTACTGGAGCACCTGTCCCGAGCTCGAGTATCGAGTAAGGTGGAGGCTAGAGGCCAAAGGCTTAAATATCGGAACAAAAGGTACACAACATGCAAAAGAGTACAATGGCAAAATAAATAATGCTCCCGAAGGAAAGCAAAAAGAAGTGCAAAGCGTCATATGTCCGAATTAGAAAGACCAGTTTATTGTGGAGCTGTTGAAATATCAAACAATGGCTGTGAACAACAGCTCTCCTGTTAAACATTCGGTCCCAAGTCAATGTAGACTTGCTTCCAGAGATGAAGCAAAAGACGTATTCTTCTTCTTCTTCTTCAGTTGCACTTCCATTCATCCTTTGTAGCTTGCTTGCTTCTCATGATGGACTCGATGAATCCCATCTTGACTACGGGTCCATTAAGAAGATGTTAGATCCAAGATTGTACGTGGTACATGCATTTTTCTCTATTATTCTTCTGGGGTACCCACAGAAGAAGAATAGAGAGGCCTGCAAGGCTGAGAATCAAGTCATGGTTCAAGTTGTCCCTCGTCCTCCTTACCCTGCAGCTTTATGCAGCTGCGCACATAAATGAGCCCCCGGACAAATTCCTTTGACTGTGCCAAGACGAGATCGCATGGTCTTCACTTTCAGAGCTATGAGTGTCGTCCATGGACGTCGGTTGCACTGGCACTTGCACTTGCACTTACATTGCTGCCCGGGCAAGCTTGCACGCCAAGATGTACGACGCCTGCTTTCAAAATCAAGCACAAATCCATAGTCACCTATACCATAACCACGAAGCTTCAAGTCCAAAACTCCAAGTTGACACACAAATGGCAAAAGCCACAAGGACCTCCGTCCGTCCGTCCCTCCCTCCCTCCCTCGCTGCTGCTGCTGCTGCACAGTTATCGTACACGGTGATGAAGAAAAAAACGTCATTCTTTGCTTCTACTCGAGCTGCAAGATAAGCGATGGGATGAGTCACATCGACACTTGCACTTCATCGAAGCACATCCACCGGATGGGCGACTTTCCATTGACTCCGGGCCACCTTGTACTACTGGCAGGAATATGCTGGAAGGAAGAGCAGACAATTAAGTAAAGGAACATGTCGAGAGAGAATATATTAACGTGAATCAATCGATGATACGCAGTTATATTTAGGCCTCGGGCATTGGGGTATCGGTACAAACAAACCGGAGTCTGAGTCCCGTCGTCTGGCAGGTATCGTGGAGGGAATAAAAGTCTACCCGTATGGCTCATTCCTTCACTTGGTGGTGGATTTGCCAAATAATGCACTGCACTGTTTCAATCATAGAGCAAATTATCGAGCAAGAGATTCGCTTAAAAGGAGGGGGATTCTGATGACGATGCCACATGATGAGCCCCTGCGGTGCCATATCATGAAAAAGATTCATTCATCATAGAATTTAAAAATTTGTCTCGAGTTTCATTGCTAAAGCTGCTAGACCACGTTTGTGACGAAATTCTCATCATCTTGCTAGAAGATCAAAAGCTTACACTCGAAAAAGTAAATACCAGCGCGTGCTCAGTTTTCTCGTGCTCGTCTCTGGCAGCCCCCAGCCCAGCGTGAGCGAAGTCATACTCCAGTGAGGTTTATCTCGAACGGCGCAGCACATTTATCCCCACAGCAGAAGGAAAATTCAAGAAGCGCTCAACATCCTCATGCACTGAGCAAGTCAGTCAGTCCATAAATTCTCGATTGACAGGTCGGAGGTTTTTTTTTTTACAGTACGTTCACGAAATTCACAGATCAGGAAGGGCCTTGAGGAAGGCAGTCAAGAGTTACTTCCCCAGGCCCTTTGCACGTGGATTTCGATTCCATTGCTGCGAGCTGAGATTTGGGGATGACCCCAGCCAGCGCTCCGAATCAGTTGGAATCATGTTGTGGTGCGAGGCAAGACGTAGCGAGGGAGTAGCTGGGGACCGGAAATCGAGCCAAGCGCAATGCAATGCAGACACACTACTGTATAATACGTACCATGATCAGTCTACAGAAGTACAATACAATACACCGTATGGCGTCCAGAGCCTTGAATCTGCGAGTCAACGCATGTACAGAAAAGTGGCATGAGTTCCGAGATCTGCGAGAAAAATCTGAAGCCCAAGAGATTCAATGGGGAGCTAGTGAACAGGGCGGGCATGAAAACTAATGCCCGAGTAGGGCACGAGCACATATTAAATCCGTAGAATACGATATTAAATTGGGCCGGACTGCCTGTCGTGTCCTGTACGTCATGGCAACGTAATCTCCTCAAGAATTTGGCCCCGTGCGAGTACGTACGCGCTCCGTCGTATGCGTCTTTAATTTACTTCGCGCGCTGACGTCGCATGGACCGCATCGCTCCAAAATCTACAGTTCTCTGTACCTGACAGTTCAGAGATCGTACGTACGGCACGTATGGAACGATCGATGCTGTACAGCGTGACTTGTACACGATGTCTTTTGACCGCCGAGGTCCGGTCTGTGGGGCAACAATGCCAAAAGCATGACCCTGTTTCGACATCACCCTTATTCCCGGCCCACCCCCGGGAATATCCGCGCCCATGAACGTAAACCTGGCACCGTACCCCGCCACGGGTTTACGGAATTATTACGTGGATATTATACGGCGATGTCGAGTAGAATAACCTTCTTCGGAATGTGGAACGGAAATAGTGAAAACGGTTCGAGGAAGAAGCACAGCGAGTGCATTTTTTATGAACCCCGGACCGGAGCATGTTCTCCCATTACTCCGGTTCCCCGATACCCGGAAACCGTGTTGCGGTACTGCCGTAAAATCTTACGGATATCGTTTGCAACGATATGGGCTTTCAAGATTGATTTCGAGAAATCAACTTCGGGAATGGGATATTTCTTTCCCACAGCCCCTCACCTTTTGTACCCGCCATCGGTTCTTTTCAGACCGAACCGAATATGCAGATCCGTAGAATCCGATAAATGGATCTAAGAATCAAACCTGGTGAAACGGAAGGCTGCGAAAAAATAATTGCCGGAAATGGGTCCCTTTATTTGAGCTCATAAAGCAGTCTTCTGCGTCCCATAAAATCTTCGAACGAGACTGCCATAAACAGGTACGACCAACAGATTTGAAACGCCTAAAATACTTTTCGCCGAGACACTTCAGAAGCCTTTGAGTTAAAAGTAATTTGTCACGATCACAAGCTTTCACGGCGCGATGGGCTGGCCCGCATGAGTCTCCCCATAGCGGCCAAGAAGCAGCCGTTCGAAACCGTTGGCAGCTTGGAGGGGAGCCTTCCTAAGAGTGGGGGCTTTGAGCTAAGCACTTCGTTCGCCCATTTTCGGTCTTAAGATTTGTATTGACTACTTATTTTTAGCACCGGCTAAATTACGTCCATGGGATGACTCTACGATCCTTGGAGGCCTCCCAAATGTTGCCAATCCATGTATTTCAATACCCCAATGGATGTTGGTGATCGTTTTTTATTGATTAGCTTCCCCATTCACCTACAATAACTGAAATGATCATTTCAGTTATTGTAACTATGAAGGTTTAAAGCAGAACCTTCATAGTTCAATTTACATACACACAACATGAATTTGTAGGATTCATTAACATTTTCTAATTTTATCAAATTTTATACTGATTTTACAGATTTTGTGCCCAGCACGTAAGGTAGCTGAGAAAACGTTACAAGCCAGAAAGACTTATAAAAAAACTTCAGCTGAAGCAGAATCTGGCTTTATCTTGAGTATCTCTTTTGAAGTTATAATTGAACGTTTGGATTAAATGTGCTTGGCAATATTCTTGATATTCAGGACACAAAAAAAGTTAACCAAAAGTTAAAGGTTTAATTTCAAGAGGTTTAAGAGATCTTGCTAGAGTTTAGTATTTGGATTCTCCATAATAGTTTATATAAGAAAAAATGAGTTTCTTCTATTTGGCCCCCCACCCTTACTTTTTGACAAGAATATGTTTCGAGATAGTAAATAATTTTACATAGTGCCTTACAAGATTATATAATAATATAATAGTTATGTATGTGTACTTATTCACTTACATACTTACATGATGTTCAATTTTGCTAGGATTTTTATAGCAAAAGGCTGACGATTTTATGGCTTCGTTCTTTTGCCTCCATGTACATGAGAAAATTTTTATGAATCAGTCTAACTATACTGTAATACGACTTTCAAATTTTATTTTTATTTTTATTTTTTAGATATTTCAATAAAATAAGAAGTAAAGATTATGGTGAGCTTGTATACATTTTTTTAAAAACAGAAGTAAAGAATAATTGATTTTATTTAACAAATTTCGCAAATGAAACAATTCTATTTTCTTTGACACCATATGACATGTACAATTAAAGCACAGCTTTTGTCTGTGCACAAGTGTCTTTCGTGCTGAAATCCAGCTCGCTTCTACTGTCTACCTCCACTTTGAAAAATGACAAAAGTGCCTTTTCAGGGGTCTCGATCATATCAAAGCATCTTCACATGTCGCATTCGGGTCCACAGGAACTATAAAAGAGCATACTTGTATTCCAAATTTCATAAGATGGGAAAAGGAAGAATCCTAGAACCGAATAATGTCTGCAACCTAACATCTACTTAGCCTACTGATCAAACAAGCAATTCGATTTTTCTCTCATCACCTTGAATTCCTATCAATAGGTGTGCTGATCCACTGGGCTACGGGTTAATATCTTTTGTCAATCTGAATCCCTTCTGCGATCCGTTGGATGACTGGACGTTGGCAAGGAAAGGAATTAAGTAGATAGAGTTCAGTCTTTGGGTCCAGAAGTGCATCTTTGTGCTCATAGAAAAACATTATAACTTGAAACCAATAATATAATTTATGCAGCGGGACAAACTGTATACATCAGTTTAGGAAGATGAAACAATGAGATTCGTTTGAGACACAGCGGATGAAGTTTGAATGTGCTCTGTCCTACGTTCTCCTTTTTTATATATGGACTGTATGTGTGTATATTGAAGTATCAATATGGAAGACAATAGATGGAAAATTATTCAATAACTCAACCCTGCA